CACAAGACGTATTCTTGAGAATAGGAATGGTATTTGTGATGGTAATGTGCACTGCCCCGTTTCTAAACTTGATGAAGCAGAATGTCCGAATGATTTGGTGGAAGTACCTAGTGGGGAGTTGATACGTAAACATACGATTTGCGATGACGAATGTATAGCACGAAGGGGTAACATGGCTGGTGATGGTAAATATTACTGCGAAGATGAAGCCTTATGTAATGGATATGAATATGGCATGTATTGCAAAGATGAATTTGGCGACAAATCTAGACATTTGTTTCCACAATACATATGCGATGGAGAGAAAGATTGTCCAAACGGAGAGGACGAAGCAAATTGTCAGGTCACAATTGACACTATAGAAACTTGTAAACATAAAGTTACTTCAGAAACTGTACCGGTACATAATTTCACCAAATGTTTCCCACTAGCTGGATTTCACTGGGTTTCACTGACCCCCGATAGTACAGGCATGTATTGTGAGAAATTTGTCGAGAGTCATTCAAACTGTACCGACCCATCAAGAGTTGGTATCATTTGCAAAGTAGCTGGATATTTGTCTACAGTTTCTAAGTACATGATTTGCCTTAAAACGAACGAAAAAATTTGTGATGATGGCATAGATAAAGTGTGTTATCCAATATCAAAAGCCTGCACTCTGCATAAGCACTTCTTGTGCGATGGTGAACCAGACTGTGATGGAAATGTAGATGAAAAGCAACTGATATGCAGATCCCAAACTGAGGGAACATGTAAAAGAAGAGTCGGGAACCGAGGTGAATTAACTCTGCCACTGTCTTGGTTGGAAGATGGGGTCGAAGATTGTGTGGACGGAAGTGATGAGATGCCAATATGGCCAACGTGTGGAATCGGCAGGACCAAAAGATTTGTCAAGAATAAAAACATTTTCGTCTGCCTTAATGATTATGAAAAACCGGGTTACGTGGAGTTAAGAGATCTGTGTGACGGAATTGAAACTTGTGGCAACGAAAACCAAATTTGCATTCAATCCCGAAGTTCTACCGAAAAGTCCGTATATCTCTTAACTACGGACAAAGGCCTTACCAAACGGATGTCTTATTGCAAAAAAGGTCTAAAGAGCATCGAACTACAAAAAAGCGTTTGCACAAGTAAACTCTTCATATTCCCAGAACATACCTTTTTCGGGGTCGACAAAAAAACTACTTTGCATCTTCCAAGCAGCAAACAGGTTTGTGACAACTTGTTTGGGGAGCAGTATGTATATACAAGCTGTACCAACAAATGTGCCAACTCGCCATGTCCTCTCAGGAACATACCAAGGTATGAATATTGCCCGGACCAATTTCCTAACAGAGTCGGTACCATAGCAAACAACGAATACCTTGTTTTTGTCACCAGATCATACCAAGATATATACACCAACAGATACTTTATTTGTGACGATAAAATCAGGTGTTTAGATTACTCGAAAGTTTGCGACCTGGTAAAAGACTGTGAAGACGGATCTGATGAGAACTCTTGCACAAACCATTATAAATGCTCTGCAGACCATTACATTCCGAAAACAAAAGTATGTGACGGGGTCTTTGATTGTTTCAACTTATCAGACGAATGCAACGCTGAGTGTTCAAAAGAAATCCTAGAAAACAACCTTCTTAAAGTGATGTCCTGGGTTATCGGAATATTCGCAGTCTTAGCAAATCTAGTCATTATAGTGAAAAACGTTGGAACTTTGAGACGATGTGAGACCTCAGTTGCACTGATAAACAAATCCCTCATTATTCTCATATCTTCTGGAGACTTCTTGATTGGCTGCTATCTTATCGTGATATCTGTTTATGATACAATTATCTTCAAGAAAGGTTACTGTGTCCATCAGATTGATTGGATCACAAGTGTTAAATGTTCAGCAATAGGCATCGTCAGCACAATTGGATCTCAAATTTCTTTATTTTCCATGACGGTGCTGAGTCTCATCAGAATTCATGGGATATGGAACCCAATGAGGATTCCAGGAGAGGTCAACGTTAAAAAAGGTTTTCAAATAGCAGCAGGAATTTGTTCAATCGCAATTGCTTCAGCAGCGATTGCTGTGACTCCACTGATCGGAAAATTTGAAGACTTTTTCGTAAATGCGCTAAAGTTTCCAGAGGAATTACATTTGTTCATTGGAACACCTAACAAACAGCAAATGTTCAATACCTTGGAAGGTTATTATGGAAGAATGAAAGCAACAACCTTGAGCTGGGACTTGATAAACAAGATGACACGGCAAATGTTTTCTCATGATCTTAACTACGAAGACCACACAGTGAAAGAAAAAAAAGTTGATTTCTATGGAAACGATGGAGTTTGCCTCTTCAAATACTTTGTCAAAAACGATGACCCTCAAAGAATGTTCGTCTGGGCACTTATTCTCCTCAATTTTGTATGCTTCATCATAATTACAATGTCTTATACCCTCATCGGGTTTATCTCAATCAAATCATCAAGACAACTTACTGGAGGTCAGAACGATCGCCAAGTCGAAAAGAGGAATTCGAAAATGAACAAAAGAATATCTCTTATCATAGCATCTGACTTTGCTTGTTGGTTGCCTTTCATTTCTATCTGCATTCTTCACTCCATAGAGGTGGTGGACGCCACCCCATGGTACGGTTACTTTTCAATGATAGTTCTTCCCATTAACTCCATCATCAACCCCCTCCTGTTTGATGATGCCTTGACAAGTTTCTTCCTGACTGCATTACGAAGAACACATAACAGACTTAAAAATTCAGCTGTAACAGTAAAAGCAGTAGCTCGATTCAGGAGAAGGATTCAAGAAGAAACTACAGAACTAGGGGAAGGCAAAGTACAATCAAAGAAGTTGACCAAAGAGCCAAGAAAGCAACAAAGAATTCATGATACTGTTCTGCGAGCTGTAACACAGAATAAAAATCTACAGCCGAAAACAACCGAACAACATAAGGAACCAATCGAACTTGTAGAAGTGAGAGTCCAATCAAAGGCATTGGCGAGAGAACCAGCAAAAGAGCAATTAGAGGAACAAATAAAAGATGATACATTCACTCGAATAGAAGTACATCAGGACACAACTGAACTTGAAGAAGTTAAAGTGCAAGCAAAGGATCTAGCCAAAGTACCAGGAAATCTTGCAATTGATAAAGAATTTGAAGCAACTGAGCAAATGAAAGCGGAAGAACATAGAATCGATGATGGAACCAAAAATGTTTTACTTGAGCAGAAGAGAGTGAAAATGGATGAGCTACAACAAAAGATGGCAAATGGAACTGACACGCTTGAGCAGATGAACGTACAAGAGGACGAACTAGATGTTGGAAGAGATAATGAGGGAATTGAACAAAAGAAAATTAAAGCCGAAGAGCTACAACAGAGTGGCGATGACAAAACGGAGGGACTCAAGGAGGAGAACTTGGAAATGGAAGAAAAGGGAGATCGTGCTAGAGTCAAAGGAGATAATGCTGCCATTAACGTTGCTGAGAGAATTTCAACTATGGAGAAGCGAGAAAATGAAAGAGCGATGTCTGATGGAGATTCTCATGCTTAAACATATTAAGGAAATATGGAAGCTCTATACAAATTGCAAAGAAGGAGAGCACAGATGAAATCAAACTGATAAATAAAAGATGAGCAATGCAGAGGAAGCTTTAATCATGCACAATATAAAAGAGCCGATATAGCAAGAATCAAGATACATAACCATAAACACTAAAACTGTTTGATCTTGATATAGAATAGATACGGCACGATATGAAATGTGTTGTTTTCCTGAGGTTTTACTTCATCATTAAGATATAATTGTTGGACCACAATTATATCTCATATTCTCACGTATAAATTGTATATAATGTATATTGTATATCTATAATATTCTCCTTTAATTTCACATAAATAAATAAAGTCTCATATCTAATATAATATCTATAATTTTGTTAATAGGTGTCTACAACTAGATTTTTATATATCATTTTATGCTCCAAGACGGGTCCAATGGTTGGATAGAAGTGACCGTTTTGTGGATAAGAATGAAATGAGATGAATAAAGAAATCATAGCAGGATTTTTATAATAATAATATGTAGTTATGATTATGTAAGATATGATTAAATAACACTAAGAGATGATTAAATATCACTGACAAGTGACTTTTTTGCAATATTATTATGTTATGAGCCCTATTCTCTGAACCCGGTTTGGTATCTTCATTTTGGTTTGGAAACATTCGCTTGTAACGGAGTTGTTTGGCGAATGTCAGATTTGAAATTTCTCACAGCTGATTTGGTACTATCCGCTATTTTATATCGATATATCTTTGTAAAAATTGTGAAATGTAAACCTTGTAATACTTGTGGAACACAGAAATCAATCATTGTTAATTAACAGTAACGAACAAAAACCCACTTTAGATAAATCATTCGATTTATTTAAAATTTCCCTGTCCCTGTCCCTGTCCCAGGTCCCTGTCCCTGTCCCTGTCCCTGTCCCTGTCCCTGTCCCAGTCCCTGTCCCTGTCCCTGTCCCTGTCCCTGTCCCTGTCCCTGTCCCTGTCCCTGTCCCTGTCCCTGTCCCTGTCCCTATCCCTGATTGATTACGTAATCAACGACCAACCCCCTCCCCCCCCCCATAATCAACCGTAAGCATTTGGGACCCCCCCTCGGCTGATTACGTAATATGTGAACGACCCCATACTGCCGTAAAATACAGTGGACACTTCTGTTCTCGATATTACTATATTATCATCAAGAAAGTAGCTGTTTACAAATCTAAAACATATACCTCGCCAGCCCTTGGCTTATTCATAATTAAAATCATTATGATTTAGTAAAATAAGTTATATTAATCCTCAGAAAATGTTTGGTCACTCCATGGTTGAATTTGACCCCTTTCCATGGCTCTAGCATGAAGTAGTATCAAGACAGAGGACTTTTACCACGGCCAGCACATTTTAAAATTTTGTAACTGAATGAGAGAGTAACCGAATTAAAAATCGCTGTTTACAATAACGGAATTAGTTAAATTGAAAAACTACAAGTACCATATTTATAAATTCGAAGTCCGTCAACATAAAAGAAAACAAAACATTTATTTGGCTGCACAGAATCAAAATTAGGCACCAAATATCATACATTTAGTTTGTGTCGTCCTTTCTTATACTTAAATTTTAAAGTTTGACAGTCAGTTTACAGTCTAACACATCGTATCTATACAGTAAAACCACGATTACAGCGGGCTTTGGGGGAGAGAAAATAATTAATAGCTTGATTTATCAACTATCATCTGATCCTCGTTACAGAGCAACTGTAGAGATAAGAGAGGGAGAGAGCATTTCTGATCAATCTTTCCAATAAGATTCAGAATAATCATAATTTGGAGAAAGGGGAACAGACGCGGGCGCAATAAATAGAAACAAGGGTTTTACTGTATCATAACAGATCTGAGCAAACTGTGACTATTATAGAATCCTCTCATCACTTGAATAGTATAAGTAATGATAGAAAAATGGGAACATTTTCGTGAATATTAGAAAATTAACATATTAACTTATAGTTTACAAAGCTGTTCTCAACTACAGACAAAACCATGAGTAACAACAAAAGCTAGTTCTTCCTACGATTACTAATAAGCAAGAGTTAGTAAATTATGAAATTAGTAACTACCAACTGTATATAACAATTTTCAAAAACAAATGACAATCAAACCCATTTTAACTATACTTTGTTCAACAATAATTCGAAAATATTCTAAGATTAAAAATCAAAAGTAAATTCTGTTCCAATTCACATTCACAAGCAGAGACCAAGTCTGAATCAAACATCGAACTAATAGCACATAAAGTTGTAAAAATAATTTAACAAAAAAGTATTGTTTAATAACAATCATCGACCAGTCAATTCCTAAATGCAACGTATAACGATAACAGGTAACAATAACGTTCAAACTTGTGTGAAGGACAAATTTTAACCTTCTTTTTCGACCCCAGGTAGCTTCTTATAAGATGTTAATTAACTGTGCCTAATTTTTACACTAAGCACTGTTAACATAACTAATCAAGCAACTTAGTTAATGTAATGCTAGAAACGTTTTGTTTAGGATCTTAGTATCTTTCATGTACAGGAGATTGGGATTCAGATTTAACCGCTAAAGAACCAGTAAACTGCAGTGACAACTAACCAAGTCACTATCATGATTTCTTCAAACTTTTAAGTTCGGCCACTATTTCAGCCTGCTGAAACACAAGAGTCTTAACCAAACCGCTGATAAAATAGTCTAAAGGGTCCATGGGGCCTCGCTGTATCCACTTGGGGATAGTGACTGTAGGGTTCTTGAAACCTAGTTTGTTGAGGACCCAGTCCACGTTTACCTCTACTTTGCCGCCCCCTTGCAGTCGGAGAGGGGGTTTCAGTTCCCACTCGTCGCATACAAACTCTCGGGCGTATTTCTGAGTCTCCTGAGAGTGAAATGGTTAGTTTGAACATTGGGAGTTAAGCACCGGTTTTTGTAATTAAATATTATAATATACTGTGTTATTAACGCCTTATTCAACGCGAACACAGGGACAAGTCTGTAGACTTAACTGTGTTCTCTGCCGTTATCTGTTGCGAATTCTCCACAAACTAAGGGTTCATATTTTTTTCCACCCAGTTTCTGAGTTTCTCTTGAAATTTGGAATATTATTCGTGACTTATTCATGAAACGTAATAGGTAGTACCGAATTTAAGCTTGGATCTGGGTTGGATAAGTTGAAAAATAATCTAATAAAATCTAACGATTAAACTGAAAGCAAATGTGTAACCTCAGTAGATTCTGCAGTTTCACTCGACCCGGAGGAGGCTACATTCGTTTGGGAGGGCTTCTTCTCGAAAGCGAAGATAGGGTTTGCGTCCATGTATATTTCCATTTTCTTGGTGTAACGTTGCGCTAAGTCGTGAAGGAAGAAGTAGTTTCCCGCGTTTGTTGCTAGTCCTATGCTCCCTGTACGATCACAATGATTAATTAAGCGGGAATATACGACAAATATTAGTGCTATACCGTGCACCAAATTGGAATATTTCACAAAATAGTAAATTAAAAGACAATTTCTAGGCAGTTTAACCACCGAAATGTAATCTGAGTGAAATGTTTCACATTTTTTTTTTATTAAATACTTTTCAAATTTTACAGAGTACAGCAATAGATGAATATAAAATAGAATCGTTCAAAATATCGCCCCCATCTGTAAAATATGATGGGCACCCAAACACGGTAAACACATAGTGAACTATGTCCGCAGTAACTTGGACCCATTACATCGAATTAATCTAAATCCAAAAATTTATGAAAAACTATTTAATAACAAACAAATCCATGGTGAATAACTGTGGATATAGTCAAAATTGGAATTTCAATACGTCAAATTCCAGATACATTAGATACAGGTCTGAAATGGTCATTAATGTGTGAGAAGGTGTGCGGGTGAAGTGTGATATGATGTTGAAAGTATAGGAAGGTAGATAAAAAATTAATAAAACAAAAATAATAATAATATGGGGAGCAAAGAGACTAGGCTAGACTGTTGTTTCACTATCCAATAAACATTTCCATAGATGCTTAGTGACCTAAGCTTTGAAAAGACTAGTAGACACAATCTGTCTTACCTGTAAAGGGAGTCCATTCCACAGTATATGGGTTCTGTAGAAAAATGATTTTGCCAGTGGGCTATTTGAGGTACATGTGGTGTGTGAATTCTGACTTAACTTAGGTAAAATTGATGACACAATAGACAGACTGTCGAGGTGGCAACGTCTTAGTCGAGAAGTGCCCTGATATAAAGAGAGATAGTGAGGCAGCGATACAGGAATTAAATTGTTAAGAACTTTGTGGAAAAAAATAAGATCATTCAAGTCAAACTTTTGAGACAAAGGGAGAATGTCGACAAGCTTGCACTTTTTGACATATTGCTCAGGTGGATAACTGCGGCCCTCTTCAGACAGAATCCATTTAATAGCTCTCTTTTGGAGACTTTCTAATTTATCACTAAGTGATTTATTACAAGGGCGCCAGATTATGGAACAATTTTCGAATTGGCTACGAACCAGGGAGAGGTAAAGCGCCCGGCGACGTTTCTGATCAATGACAATATGGCCATCTCTTCTGACCATACCAAGTTGTTGGCAGGCCTTAGTATAAATTCTGTCGCACTGACTATTCCAACTTAGCTTAGGAGTAACATCAACTCCAAGATCTTTTTCTAACTCTACATACACAAGAGGAGAGCCATCAAGATTATATGCGAATGGAGGAGATAAAGATGGTTTTCCTGAAACAATAAGCACTTTACATTTTGCTGGATGGAATCGCATTTTGTTTCTTAGTGCCCAGTCAGAGAGATAGTCTATATCCATTTGTAAATTAGTATTATCAGAAGATGAATGTATTTTACGCCAGATTTTTGTATCATCGGCATACAAAACTATATCAGTATTATCCGAAAGGCCAAGAGGAATATCATTGATAAACAATACAAAAAGTAAGGGACCAAGAATAGAGCCCTGGGGGACACCAGAATTAACTGAGAGGGTAGATGACATCTCATTACCAATAACCACTCTTTGGTAACGGCCTTGAAGGTAATTGGTAAGAAATTTGAGAAGTGTACCATCAATGTTATATAAGGTCTTTAGCTTATGAAGAAGGATATCATGATTTACAGAATCAAATGCCTTAGCAAAATCAAAATACACAACATGATTGATAATGTTTTCGTTAAGAGACAATGCCAGGCTATCACAAAAGTCAACCATATTGGTTGTGCATGACTTGTGCTCTAGAAAACCATGCTGCCTGGGATCAAGAAGGGTACTTGTCAAAGAAAGCAGTTTACGTTTAAAAATGTGAAATATGTTAACAACGCAAATACAACGTCAAAGTTTGATTTATGTTGAAACAGTACCTCTAAAGTGTGATCTGAGTCTACAGTTGACTATGGGTACAGGTAAGTGGTGCATGCTCCGGTTGGAAGTGGGACTTCCCGTCTCGGCACCATCCCAGTTGTGATCCGTCGTCAGATTCAGCTTCATTTCCGGTAACTGAAACAACAGCCTGGTTAATAACACCTCCTAATTAATTTATTTGGACGGTTATCAATAAGGTTTTTCCCCAAAAAAACATGCATTACGTAGGTACGTAATCAGATTTTTCCTCTCGTGGTTTAAATCTAATAACGGTCACATGACACAAGGCAACCAATCAGCATGTTATAAATTAATGATTTCACTCAGTATTGCAATCTGATCTGTCCTAACAGAGCCTAATAGTAATAACTTAATTTGATTATGTTTGAATTACTAAAGGAGAAATGTTCGTCAGGACTAAGGTCACGAGTAGGTCGCTATGCAGGCTTATTACTTAGTATCAAAAGCAAAATTAAGCTTTTGATTTCCGATTGCGGATAATTTGTCACGCGTGTGAATACTGAATGGCGATTGTGAAGGACACGTAGCATTATAAAAAGACCGCCACATCGTCTTGAAGTTCATTTCTTTCTCAAGATCTCCGAATTAAGTTTAAGTAGTTTGAATTTGAGATGAGTTGGCAGACAACTTCTTTGCTGTTTCTGGGTATGCTCCAGCTAGCAACAGGTGACTGCGGAGCGAGCACCGCCTGCTGGGACGACGACCTGAGGCTGGCAAAGTTAGAGTCTCTAGTCTCTCACCTCCAGAGAGAAGTAGCGGACCTAACAGCTGCCAAGGTACAGACAGAAGCAGAGCTGAAGATCACACAGGACATAGCCAAGTCAGCACTGGGTGATTGCAGCAGTGCCTGGAATCTGAAGAGAACCCAGATAGTGTTCCCCAACCTGGAGAAACTGGCACTTCATCAGACTACTCCTACCTACGTGGAGACCATGCCTACCCCTCTTCCCAACAACACTAGAGCCGTGATAGTCCAGGTGTTCTGTAACTTCTGGAATAGTGGCGGACACGCCTACCTGAACGTGGACATTCAGCAGGAGGGGAACGAGGAGGGCGGGGTGGCAAGCGTGGAGAACACCCATTTTAGTGTCTACGCTAACACCTTCTACTATGAGGTGATGGTACCCTGGGATGGTACTCTTCCTGACAGACTCAAGTTCGTTGTGACGAATAGTTATCAGACAGGGGGAACGGACAATTGGTACCGACTTAGGGTGGTCGGTTATATAACAGCTTAGTGCTGTTATGTCGGTACTGCTAATTTCTGAGAAGACATTTAGACTTATTGATTATTGGGAATATAGCTTACGATAATGTTGTGCATGATCGTATTTTAAAGAGTATGCGGTACCAAATTTTATTGTTTTCTACTTTATCAATAAGTTGTATCACTTGAATAATGTGTCTTTTCGTATGTATATCTATGTCAAAAGTTTCGTAAAATTTAAAACCTTCAAAACGATCCAAAAAGTCAAAACATTATCAACGACGACAACCCAAAATACTCCAACATATGTCCTAAACTAACCTGAAATATTGTAGAAAACTCCACACTACCTCCTCCAAATATCGTGGCTCTTGTCTTTCGCTCTTTATCTGGATTTCCTGAAGTAGATTGGTGAAAATAACTGAAAACCGGGGTCTCTAACTGGTTTTCTTCAGAGTCCCTACCTAGTAGTGGAGTCCTACTGGTATCAACTCTTACCGTGAGCAAAGTCGTGAGTACAGGCGTACTGTAGCCACTTCTTACCGTGAGCAAAGTCGTGAGTACAGACTACAGGCGTACTGTAGCCACTTCTTACCTTGAGCAAATTCGTGAGTACAGGCGTACTGTAGCCACTTCTTACCGTGAGCAAAGTCGTGAGTACAGGCGTACTGTAGCCACTTCTTACAGTGAGCAAAGTCGTGAGTACAGGCGTACTATAGCCACTTCTTACCGTGAGCAAAGTCGTGAGTACAGGCGTACTGTAGCCACTTCTTACTGTGAGCAAAGTCGTAAGTACAGGCGTACTGTAGCCACTTCTTACCGTGAGCAAAGTCGTGAGTACAGGCGTACTGTAGCCACTTCTTACCGTGAGCAAAGTCGTGAGTACAGGCGTACTGTAGCCACTTCTTACCGTGAGCAAAGTCGTGAGTACAGGCGTACTGTAGCCACTTCTTACCGTGAGCAAAGTCGTGAGTACAGGCGTACTGCAGCCACTTCTTGATGTCATCCGTCCTTTCCGGAGGTGACAGCTTCGTGCTTCTCACACACTTCTCCACAAGTCCAATGTTGTTTTCCGGAGCTTTAAGTTTGAGAGAAGAGAACTCGTCAGGTTCAAAGTTACCCATCACAATGACTGCTTGTTGTTTGGTTACACGACTGGTATGTGTGCCCTGAAAAAGTTAAACGTGGTAATTGTGGATACATCTTCAAAAGAGAGGTATCAATTTATTTAAAAAATTGTCATCAGCATTTAAAATTATAATTAAAACTGGGAATAGGAATTGTTGAGACCATAACCTTGGTGTTTACAGTATTTAGGTCTGTGCGGCACGTACACATTGTAAATAGGACGGCAGTGACAGCGACTTACCTTTATGAGTTGCTCGACCTGGGTATCGTATCTCATTCCAATCTTGTTGAGGTTAATCAGCGCCCACGTGTCATCCCTAAACTTCTCACCCTGAAACAGTGCCACAGAGAACTGCTCTCCTTTGATCTTCAGAGAACCTCCTAGCTTCAACGGCTTCAGGAACTGTCCGTTCTCCAACAAAACCTAGGGTTTATGATCAACTGATAGACATTTTTACCATTTGATCGGGGTTTGTAAAACGTTTCCTAACAAAATGAACGGAACTAGTTATCTACCAAAGCAGATGTTGTTTACCTTGATGCTTTCGAAGGTGGAGTGAGGGTCCACAGCCCAGAACCAGTGATGCGCCAGAACTTGGGCCTCTAACTCGTACTGTTTCAGAGGTATGGCCTGCTGTTCCTTCTCCTCCGGCTCCAGGTTCAACAGTTTCAGATATGTTCGCTGAGAGTACCTGAGACACGTGAATAGTACCAATAAAAGTAATCACCAGAGACTAGATAATCATTAGTGTTTGACAATTGTTCAATACCAATCGCCTCATAGAGGTAATGACTACCTTTCGGAACAATATCAAATGACAGATGTTTTTGAAAGTGCACCAGTACAACATGTTTTAATCAACATTATGCGTCAGTTTATTCGATATCGTTGTTCCTACCTAGTATCTACGTGTATATTGTCGGGAGAGTCAATATATTTAACTAACTTTTTCTGGTGCAATATAAACTCGTCCAGATGAGCCTTTATCTGAAGAAGGTTAGGAGCAGTATTACAATTCATCATGTTCTGGATGAGGTCCCAGCTGATGGAACCTCCCACACTTAGCTGAAGGTCTCCCTCCTTCTCCTTCCAATGGTCCGTCAACTCCGTACAGAAGCCTGTTATCCTCAACATGTGGATACAGTTACTCAGGTACTCTAGTTTGTTCTCATAGCACTCAAAGTAAACTTTGAGAGAGTGGGTGGGTGCTACATCTGGAGAGATACAGTGCTCGAATATCCCGGCCAGGTTCTCCAGTTTCACCTGTCCAGTTATCAGACCAGCTGTTGATTCCAGCAGCACTTTGCCGAACAGAATGTCCACTTTGCGGCGCTCGTTGTGCCGCTCTTTGAGGCAGAGTGTTGTGCTGTTCATGGAGTTGGACATGGAGATGTTGATGCGACCTAGCGTGTGTCCCAGGTTGGTGGTGAGGGTTATTTCGCGCGAGTTTATGGCTAGTGTCAGGTTTGTTTCTGCTATTTCTGTCTCGTTGGTGTCTGAGGATTTGGTGGTTACAGTTGAAGCAGGGCCAGTGACAGGAGGTTTGACGGTGGGTCCGGGTGACAGTGGCTTGGAGAGTTCTTCTTTGATGTCCCGCAGTGGTTCTTTGTCACGACGTGGTAAGGTGTAGAATGCCTCTGAGCTGGGCTTCTCGTACGTCGAATAAAACCTGGAGTGATGCTGGGTTAGGCTTAGGATGTTAGATTTTCAGGAGCTGCTTTTCATAATTTAATCTAGTGTAATCCGGTTGACGAACGAGGATTGAATTATGCTAACCCCTTCTTCTAAAGTAAGAAAATAATTCTTATTCATCTCAGAAAACTTGGCAACAAGTAAATATACAAATTGTAATCCTGTGACCTGTCACTCCTGGTGAGGGGTGTAGCCTGAGAAGTAGGAGAGAGAGGAGGACTGGCTGGATCCGGGGAGACACCCTCTCCAACCGGTCTAGACAACAACAACAACCTCTTTATGAACTGTCCACTCAGCCACGCGTTGTGGAATGACTCAACTTCGTCCATCCGCTTGATGTCGTATGTCAGGGCTATCTTACCGATGTCGAGCATGGAGCTCACGTGCGCTATTAGCTTCTTTGGATTGTGTCCCGGGATAGCTGTGCCTTCTGAGTTCTGTGAAATAAAGTGTTACGATCTGAGATTAACAAGGACTGATTAAGAAAGTAAATATTTCAAATGCGATAAAACACGCAACATGTTCCAACAGTCCAATTGTGGACAACCCATGGGTCTTATAGGGAAATGCGATGGGACTAACCGTGAGTTCTTTAGGAGTTGTAATCCGTGTCACAGCAATATTCCCACCTCCTATAGTGACACTGAGCGCGTTTCTCACTTCAGCTCGGCTCGGCAGACTCTGAGACTACATTTGTATGATAAGGAATGGAATGTTACAAACTGCAACTTCAAACAATTCTCGAGATACAAATTTCAAATAAAAATATTAAGAGGCTACTGAATAGTGTTATAAGATCCTGACCTGTTGATAACTGGACATAGCACTGAGAGGGTGATAGAGGCTGAGTTTACACTGTTCCAGACACCAGGTCAGGTTCCAGCAGCTCGTAGTTCCATCCCTCACTATAGGCACCTCCTTCCTTCAAGATAACACAATTACCCGCCTGACTACGTATAGAGAACAATGATCTGCCATTAGAATAGCCAGATATCTGGCTGTTCTAATACTTTAGTCTTTCAATGTATCACTGAACTGAACATGCGTGTAAACAGAGTTTTAAATACTGTACAGACATGGGTTAAAAACAACGGCCTTAAACTAAATGTAGGCAAAACTAAATAAACTGTTCCAACAGCCAACCTGCCAACTACCGCGCCGTTGGTGTAAACAGCCTCAAAGCCTCAATAACCAGTTGGTGTAAACAGCCTCAATAACCAGTTGGTGTAAACAGCCTCAATAACCAGTGATAACTAACCTGCCAGTAGCAGCAGAGAGAAGGGTCTGAGAGGGAGTTCCCTTGGTGGAGAGAAGGAAGCAGCTCCGGGGCACCACTAGAGAGCACTCATGTCTCGAGTAGGGCTGACAGCTCAGTTTTATAGTACTGGGCTCATTCATGACCATTATGATGATGTCTATTGGGAAGGTGTCAGTAGGACCCTGCTTGTAGGAGGAGGAATGCTCTGAGCTAGGTGTCGGGGACGCTTTAGCTTCTTCTATCGCTGCCTTCGACCTGAGTTGTGGAGGTTGGGTATCCAGGAAGATTTAAAGCAGCAATTATAATTAAAAGTCTTGGCATATTTAAGATGGGAGAGTTTTGAGCTATTCACTCAAGTTTATGTAATTTTACCTTTTAGGATCCTTAAAGATTTCCTCGATTTCATTAGGAATGAAGGTCTGTAGAGCGCCCGCTGCTGAGCTCGGAGATCCAAAGCTTTTATCTTTGGAGAGCAGCTGGTCGAGGTACTCCAAGAGACAAGGTCTGATGATCTGGTCCTGCTTTAAAGACAGTATCCGTACAGTCGAGTAAAGTGAGCCTGTCTTGATAGCCTTGCTCCCACTCTCGTCGCTGCTGGATGTGCCTGTATCAGCAGATACTCTGGAAGTGGCGGAGGTGCCAACCCCGCCAGTCGAGTTGGGATAAGCACTACTTTTCTCCGTGAGCTTGGTGGACGAGTAGTGGAGTTCACATTTAGTTTCAGGGATCAGGAACTCTGTATTATCCGTGACAAAGTCTTGTGATTCGTTAAATCTCTGAAATCTTCCTTTTTTGGAGAAACTGTCCTCTGATTTTGACGTGGGGTACAGCGTTATCTTACCGTTCCCCAGTCGAAGGTCTAAGTCCATTTCAAACTCGAGAAGGGGTGGTTCTAGAGATTGAGATGCCAGAGTTGAGCTGACACTACTTATGCTCTCTTCCTCCCGAGAACAGATCTTGAAGTTCTAGTTGAAAACATGCTCACCTCATCAGGTTTTTTCTCTTTGACCACAGTATCACTGATTGGGGGCTTTTTCCGTTTTCCACCGCTCGTAGTTCGCTCAAGCTTATTATCCTTCTTGTCTGCATGTAAAGCAGTTCTCTTCCAGATCTTAACAGCTTGCTCCTCATCAAACTGCCCCTTCTCAGCGGACTCAACACCCAGGTTCTTAACCAACTCTGTCTCATCAATAAGCTCGATACTGCCGTCCTTAGGGTCGTCAGTCCCAACTATAGAGGTCAGGGTCTTGTACAGACCCACTAACTTGGTGATGATGTTGGTGCTGAGATGGATGTTGACACCCTTGATATCACTGTTCACTCCAACTGTCATCTTCCCAGACTGCTCCCCTTCTAACCCAGTCTCCTTGTTGGTCACGGTGGGTGAGGTGGTCAGGGTGGTGTAGTCGTAGTTACCCGAATCTACAGCTATGGAGTTCATTTCCTTCTCACTACTCCGTGGTACAGCGTTTTCCATCCATTTCTTCTCGTCGAACTCATCAATGAACCTGATAACAAAGTCGTTGAACAGTCCCTTGTTATTGTGGATTGTTCCGAATGCCATCTTCATTTCGGCTGTTTTAATGGATATGGAGAGAGCACCGTCACTGGCAGAATACTTGACGAGGTCAGTCTGAGAGGCTGACAGTAATTCGTCGCCTGGTGACGTCACGTTGCTTCTCTGGATTGGCAGACACACGGCTAGATTCTTCACTGTCATCTTCAGCTGAGTGTTGGTTGGCAAAACTGGGGGACCTTCAGGGAGATTGAACCGGTTTTTGAAGGTTTCAGTAGCGGTAACCGTTTCAACGTTGAGCTTTTGTCTGTCATCGTTAAATATAGCGTAAGCAGTCTTGAAGTTGAGGTAAAACAGCAGCGCTTTGTCGAAGGCACCGGGCTGCATGAACAGTTGAGGGTTGGAAATGGTTGCGTGGAAAGACTCACTCGAACTCAGCTTATTCTCGAACAAGCCCTGAAAGAATTCAGGTCATAATATCAAGAAACCGTGTTTATAACTAAACTGTTGAGAGTTGACTGCTGATGTATTTAATACTGGTTCCAATTTATGGAATTGTGTGCACCAGTAAAACCTACCTCATCGTTACCCAAACTAGCAGTAGCTCTGAACTGAAGGAACTTGATCATGTCCTCCTCGCTGGATCTGGGCACCCCGGGGTCGATATCAGCTAGCTGACCCAATGTGATGTCAGTCGTTATCATCGTGCTGATGAACATGCGAGGTCTCTCGACTGAAATTATATCAGTTTATTATTTTTAGTCGTGGCCGTGGCCAGGATGTTGTATCGCAGTTCGTTACTAGATTCAATATTGAACAGATTAATTCATAAAGCTTCGCACAGTCAAGTCAGCTGCTTGCAAAACGCGACGTAGGAAGATAATTCTGCTAGATGGACCGGCAGAAAAATGAAGGACTTTATTCAGCATTTCTGATTTTAGAACTTAAAAGCTAACAGATTATATATATCTAAAGGACTGTTTATAGCTCAAATAACGTGAACTGCTTGTATCATATTGTGATGAAAAGCATGAATATAATGGGTGGTGACATTAACATAACGGATATCTTCGGTTATGTTAAATTGAGCCAACATTTGAATGTTCAGACCGTGTAGATGAGCATAGTGTATCTCATGTTTTCTGAACAATGGACAATGGACATACCATTAGTTTAGCATATTTAGATTTGTGCCTCAGCCTCTGTCAAAGCCTAAACCGACCAGTTTTGAAAAGATCTGGACGTCTTATTCCTCAGAACAGAAAGTAAGTGAGGCCTATGTTAAATGTGCTTGGTTCATCACATTTTCTTTTAGATTTGTGCCTCGCCCTTTGCAGTCTACCAAGAGCTCAAACTGGCCAGTTTAAAAACATACTACATGTAGTTGCTTCCTCCCTGTGACCATGGGCTTTATATTCCTAATATAATATTGTTAACAATCGAGCGTACGCCATCTGAATTTCTGCGCAAATGCAAAATTTGATGAATTCTGCAAAATTTGCAGAATTGTTCAAATCTATTATTGAGTAAATTTATACGGCAGTATCTCAACTCTCTAAAGAAGAATCCTAGCATGAAATTTCCACGGAATAGACCTGAGAGCTACCCTGTGCTCCTTCCGTAGTAAAAACCTCATTTCGGTAGACCATCATGCAGTACATGACGTGTGAAATGGTGCTCCACTCTGCATGATAACGACCACGAGCTTCAGTACCTTGTGATAAGGACGCACCCTTATAGCTTCCTATACAACTGCTTACTGTACTCTTACTGTGAAGTATCTGTCTAAAACCTAGTGGTACTACTTGTTCCCGATCCCGAGCCAGTAGTTAAATACTTATAGTTAGCCAGTAGTTATAGTATGTTATAGTATGTACTCACTTATTTGCTCCCGATCCCGAGCCACAGTGATGCGCTCTGTGACCATCCTGTTCTTCACTTCCACGTTTATTGTCTCTGTTTTTAGCGACATTGCCAGGTCAGAGGGTGTTGTAGCCAACAAGTCGATACCCTGAAGGAGAGGATTGTTATCGTGGAGTTTATATTTTATGATTTAACTGTTAGTTTTGGGAAAACATAATAAATATTGTTTATCTAATGATTAGATTCCAGACACTTTAGCGCTAGTAATACTTTATGTTTAGTTTTTACTTTTTAGATTAGATTCCAATTAGCATGTTTTCACTTCAAATCTGCTGTAATTTACACGCCATTTAAAATATAGACCTTGAAAATTTGAACCTGTTTTACAAATTACTTGCTTACTCATTTTACTGGGTGAGTGGCCGAAAACAGTGAAACAAACTTCTTGTATGGCTTAAAATTCTGGGGTTTGAACCTCTGGGGTTTAAACTTTCGTTCTCTATCGTTCATTATTAATCACAGGAGCACGAACACCTTCTGTTAAGACTGTTATCACCTTAACATTGCAAGTACGGTTATCACAGGTACGGTTTTAAAACAGTGAAAGACCGATTACTCCTCCTTAAGACCGATTATTCCTCACACATCTGCATACAAAACTTAAGTCGATAATCTGGGTATTGAGGTTGCTCTCGAGTTCCTACACTCACAACCGCAAACTTGTTCTTTCTTAGTTGTAACTGTTGCGTTAAATTGTTGGCGGTCCTCCAGCACGGATGGAATTGTAATTATAGGGGGTTTAGGAGTACAGTGACCATAATTTGAACAAATTCAGGTTGTGATGGTCATGGACAAAGGATCCACGATCATTGGCTATCCACGACAATTTGAATTCTTGTGATTTAATCACAGCCATTTACAAAACATTCAGATTTTGACCCTTAACTGAGATCAAAACTGTAATAATCAAGGTTATGATCGCTCCCCAACCTCCGTAATCCGTTACACATACCGTGACGATCCAGTCCAAAATAACAGTTGACACTTGACAATGACACTAATTCTCAAAAGTAGAGAAGGGAAATTGAGTACCCCCGAGTCATACTACGTCCTGTATATAATTTCAACGCTATGTTTAAACTCTTCACCACATTCGCTAATAAACAGTGATAATGTCAATTCACCAACGGTTACCATTTCGTATAGCTTATATTATTCGAACTACCAACCACTGTGATGTTAATATTTTAAGTTTGGACTTGGTTCAGTTTTATTGAAAAGTTTGGAGTTCGGCGCTTCACTTTAGCTCAGGTTCTGCTGGGTTTTGGTGAAAGTACAACTCTTCATTACCTGAGCTCCATGGTGAAAGTGAAACTCTTTAATACCTGAGCTTCATGGTGAAAGTGAAACTCTTCATTACCTATAGCTTCGTGGTGAAAGTGAAACTCTTCATTACTTGAGTTTTATGGTGAAAGTGAAACTCTTCATTACCTGTAGCTTCGTGGTGAAAGTGAAACTCTTCATTACCTGAGCTTCATGGTGAAAGTGAAACTCTTCATTACCTATAGCTTCGTGGTGAAAGTGAAACTCTTCATTACTTGAGTTTCATGGTGAAAGTGAAACTCTTCATTACCTGTAGCTTCATGGTGAAAGTGAAACTCTTCATTACCTGTATAGCTTCATGGTGAAAGTGAAACTCTTCATTACCTGTATAGCTTCATGGTGAAAGTGAAACTCTTCATTACCTGTAGCTTCATGGTGAAAGCGAAAGGTATCATGTGAGGGCTGGTAGGTAAGCTGCTGCTGCTCTTTGCTATCGGATTTGTTTTTTCTACCGTGTATCTGATAAGGTTTATCGTGTCCAAAAACTCGTTGATTTCCTGAAAAGTCATTAAATTTAAATTAATTTGTAAAATACGAGGAGTAATTGTCGTACCACTTGTCGAGTTTGTTGACTACCATTTTTCACCGTAATAGTTGTAAATTAATAGTAAAAATGTAATACGTTGATCTCATTCAAAGACAACTTGTAGGACAAGAAACAATAAGATCTGATTATTCGAAGGTTTTATTAAACGATTCTAATTTGTATCACCATTTGATGTTAATTAATTATTTAATCATGTTATTTTGCAATCATTTTAATTATAAAAAAGGGATCTAGGATGGGGTTTGACAGAGAAACGTTAAGACAATTGTACGGTCATTGTGATGACAGAATTTTCACAGAAATCTTTTCTACATACATTACTGATCCGGTTCTAGGTAAGTTATTTCTATGAATAATCTACTACTCAGCTCTGTGAATAACGAGAAAATATTTCGGGCCACCAAGTATTCTTCAAACTTTGATATATTTCGTAATAAAGCTCATATGATTTCAATCAGAACATTCTGACGAAAATCTCTTTTCGTAGGAATCCTTCAAGACGAAAGCAAAGCTCGAGAGTTCCTGTCAGAACGAGGGTTGCTGATGTTCCTTGCAGTGCTCTGCGGAATGCTAGGACTCCTCTGTATCTCCGCCAACTTCCTCCTCCTCACCTACTACATTCCTAGACGTGGTCAAGTGATCCCCTTCGTCTACCTCTCCCTCGTATCATGTGACCTGCTGAGCGGGGTGGCTGCCATAGCAACCAGCGTTACCCTAGGATACCTCCTCCAAACGAGCACGTACCAGAACCACGCTATAATCCTCACCTCGTACAGCGTGGCCTCGTTCACCTGCCGGTTCTCCACCTGGGTTAGCCTGGTACTAGTGCTGGTGAGGACTGTCAGCATTGTCACACCCCACGTGACACTCAGACGGGGTCACGTGGTCCCAGTCATCATGACCTGCTTCCTGCTCACCCTCACTCTGCTCTGTCTGGAGCACTGGTCGGAGAGAGATATGGGAGGGACCAGTATTTGGCACAGAGTCAGGTTTAACCTGGTATTCAATATGGCCGGAAGGAGGGTGATCCTCTACCTTGGTAGGAAACTCTGCCTGGTCTTCTCTCACGAGGTAATTTGGACGCTCTGTGTCATCATACCCTTCGTGATACCAGCCCTGATAGCCCTAATCGCCATGCTGGTTCAGATCTACTACATGCAGAGCAGGCCAGGAACAGCGAGCAGGAAGAACAGTGTGAACAGGAGGATAACAGAGACTATCCTCATGCTAACCTCAGTGTACGTGGCAGTGAACACCCTCTACTTCATCACTACTATTGTGTTTCTACACGAGGTACGGGACATGTCCCCCTACATGTCCCTGGCTTTGTTCATCACCTCCACTATCCTCCCCTTCATCAGCTCTCTGGTGAACCCCACCATCATGATCTTCAGGGGTAAGAAGATAAGACAGCATGTGTTGAGGGTGGTAAGGTGTGGGGACTGGAGACGGAGTGTGGCCAGCACTGGAAGTGTAGCCAGTGGGAGGGTGTCTGTTGGTACCCCCCAGTGAGGACGGTGTTCACTGTAGACTGTATCGTCAGTGACCCTTTCGGAGGAATACAGAGGAACAGACTGGCTTATTATTGTAGTGCTGGAGCCAAAGTAACTGGAGTAAGCAAAAGGGTTTGATCGTGGGAAGAGACAAAGATAAGATAGGCCAATTATTTCTGTAGTCAAATTCTGTGTGCGTGTATGATTTAAAACTTCAAGAAAGAATTAAAACTTATTTATTCAACCTTGATCGGTAAAAATCTCGAAAATTTGTTTTTTATTCTCTTGTTGAAGAATGATGGAAATTGTGTATTTGTTTTTAAATTCTCTTTTTGAACAATGATTATATTACAGGGTGGCCCATAAGTGACTACCCACACGCAACCTCTTAATAACTCACGTAATTCGTCTCCAAATTGCACCAAAATTTCAGAGATTATAGATATGGGTCAAACTTAGATTTCCTGAAAGTTTCGTAAGCCACGCCTAATTACAGTGGGCGTGGCGTGACACTCCCTCTTTTTCACTATTGTCTTCATAAAATGAGAACGCTTTAAGCTAAGAACTCAAAATTTTTTGCACACATTTGGCTTGATAATTGAAAACTTTTCCAAAAGTTTCAAGTTCATTGGTTAAAATATGGCTGAGTTATGACCATTTTAAAATCCATCGGATATGTGATCCGAGCACTCAGTCAGTGATATTTGCACTCAATTAGTGATCTCGTCACCCAATCTGATCAAGAGTAAGGCGTTAGCGTGTATTAATGAGGTTCATTAGGCTTTGATTGGATACCGATGATGACTTTGCTAGAAAGGGAAACACAAATTTTTAGGATAAAAACCAGATCGTGACCTTTTCAGGAAAAGCCGTTCTCTCCACCACTTCATCCGGTCTAGTAGAGCCCCAGTGAATTGCATTCTGGGAGTTGACATATCCGTTTATATGGCCTTGTCGCTGTACCAGATTTCGTCCTCAAAGTAGGGATCCACATTCTGCTTGGACAGGAATGTGTTGGCGAAATCTATCCTCGATTGGAAATCACGGTCCAAAAGTTTGTGTTTCTTTGTGATTCGGTAGGCCCGGTTAGAAAGGTCTTGCTTTAGGATTCGCTGAAGGGTTCTGCTGATGTCTAAGGCAGGAGCTCGTTTCCGGGTGCCAATCTTAGGTGTGTCCATCACGTCACCAACAACCATCGTGATGTTTTCTACAGTCCTCGCAGTTCGTCTTCTGCCGACTCTCCGCCGATCGTGTGCAGAAAACGTAAACTTGATCTTGTGATGAATGCCAAAGCAGCTTTTCCGGCAAGGGGGTGGTCGGTTGAATTTAATCTGAAATTGTCGTTTAATCTGAGGGTAGAACTCCCCATTTTCTTTCTTCAGGTAGACGAACAATCGTTGTTCTGCAGTAAAGGGAGGATAGTGAACCATTTTCGATGATTCAATGGATGGTTCATTCCTTTTTATTGATTGTAAGGAACCTGTGACTAGCAGGGCTAACAAGCCCTGAAATGGTGACACCACCATAAATTCGTGTGATAGCGTTTTAGGTGCAGTCAGCTGTATAGGCCGGCCCATAAGCAGGCTGCAACCAATCAAGCGGTGCATGTGAGCCAAACAGGCCATTAACCAAGTGACGAGATCACTGACTGTCGACTGAGTGCTCGGATCACGTATCCGATGAGTTTTGAAATGGTCATAACTCAGCCATATTTTAACCAATGAACTTGAAACTTTTGGAAAAGTTTTCAATTATCAAGCCAAATGTGTGCAAAAAATTTTGAGTTCTTAGCTTAAAGCGTTCTCATTTTATGAAGACAATAGTGAAAAAGAGGGAGTGTCACGCCACGCCCACTATAATTGGGCGTGGCTTACGAAACTTTCAGGAAATCTAAGTTTGACCCATATCTATAATCTCTGAAATTTTGGTGCAATTTGGAGACGAATTACGTGAGTTATTAAGAGGTTGCGTGTGGGTAGTCACTTATGGGCCACCCTGTACTATATCTTATAGATTAATCTTCCTAAAGGATAAAAATAATTGATCAGTAAAAGTCAGAAATAATCTAGATCCAAGTGCAATGTTACCTGCATGAACGAGATATGTGTACAGTATATAAAAGACATCAGTATCTCAATTTATACTGATGAAGTTCTGCAACGGAAAAGATTGGTAAAGTTCGTAAGGGATGCTATTATTCGTGAATCAATTTCGATAATCATTATCGCCATCAGACAACAAGATACATTGGAATTTGTTCCGAGGATAATCCAATAATGATATCCATTTGCTCAGAACGGGGGGGATGCAACGTCAATTAATGTCAATTAATGTCAATTAATGTCAATTAATGTCAATTAATGTCAATTAATGTCAATTAATGTCAATTAATGTCAATTAATGTCAATGTCAGTTTTGCAAAATTTTGGAATACTGACATTAATTGACACGATATTTTTCGACCAGAGATTATGTAGTTCTACCATGTTTTTAGCACTTTAGAACGTTTATATCATCAATTTATTCACTACTATCACATATGGAAATGTGAAATGTGAAAAAATTCAGATCATTAAACAATAAAACTAAAATAATACGGTTTTCCGAAATTTAATTTTCTTAAATGGGCGTGGCCATCCAAGGGCGTGGTTCTCAACATCATCAGAACTTAAAACCCACATTAAACGAAATGCCTTCATGACATTTATATTTGAATAACGAATCTTAAACAGCTAACATTACTCCTTCATACTAAAAAAGCCGATTCTAGATATTTTACCTGTATAAGAAACTAATAAAATATGGGCGTGGCCGGTGGGGACCGAAGATGGAAGAGCTGGAAGCTGAAATTTTTTTTGGTGGTCTTTGAACCTAAGGATCAACAGATAAGAACATACTCATAAATATTCAAGGACATTTTGTTTTTTTGAACCGGTCTAACTTACATAGACGTGAATATCTTGAATATTTATCGAATAATGATAATCTCAAATTTCAAGACAAATTAATGTCAATTAATGTCAATTAATGTCAATTAATGTCAATTAATGTCAATTAATGTCAATGTCAGTTTGGGGTTTTTATGGAATACTGACATTAATTGACGTTGCATCCCCCCCCTCAGAACAAGGGGAGAACTAAAATTCCAAATTCCAATTGTATCACGTTCAATCGAAAAAAATGCGACGTTTAGATAGTTAGATATCAGTCCCATTGAAATATCTTGATTTCTACAAAAAAGAGATTAAAAAACATCCTTCAAGTTCAGTTGCATACTGAACATATTACACAACAACCCTTTTCAAAAACAGCTAACCAACTGCGTTCCCTTCATCCAACTAGCAATATTCAAGGTTGAACACTTATCATTAAAGCTATATACAGTAAAACCCCGATTTACCGCGGAGTTTGGGGAAAGGAAATAACTGAGGTATAAATATCTAGATTATCACATAATTACCTTCATGAATGCGTTCTGAACGAGCAGCACGTGGTTCAACATGGTTGTGGGTAGTTGTAGTTGGAAAGTCTTGATCTCCACAACTCCCGTGTAGTGCTCACCGTGTATACCACTCCTTATACCACTGGGATCTCTCTTCTTTACCTGCACAGATAAGGGTCGAGATAAGAAAGATAAGGGTCTTGTAGAGATAACAAAAAAGAGATAAGAAACATGTTATGAGAGTGACTTTACTCAATCAGCAGAGCTTGACTGGATGGTTCTGAATTACGAAGGTCACCTCGAAATTGATAATACCACCACTTGATACAATTGCCCACTAAAACAGTATCTTGTTTTCTACCTTCTCCCCGCGGATAAAGATCTGAGGTAGAGGGAGATGGGTGTGGAGATCTATCTCTTCTGCGTTCAGGGACAGCTCGTGATGATGGATATCTAGCTGAGCCGTCAGTCCTTTGCTCTGAGCGAACCTGATGTGTAGGTCTCCTATCTGGGCAGGAAATAGTGGTGTAAACAGAATATCATGGCAGTAGTACTTTTAGTGCGTGTTTTTGTTCCGTTTCCAAAAAAACTTTAATATCAACATTCGTTCGCGTATAACGGGTATTCGTACCCTTATAACTATAAGGACGATGCTACCTTTTGTTCTATCTAAACAAGAACACACAATATAAATGCTATTGTTTTACCTCGTGTTTAAGAGAGAGGGAAGGGAGGAGGTAGAGGTCGAATATAAATGCTAGTGTTTTACCTCGTGTTTAAGAGAGAGGGAAGGGAGGAGGTAGAGGTCGAATATAAATGCTAGTGTTTTACCTCGTGTTTAAGAGAGAGGGAAGGAAGGAGGTAGAGGTCGAATATAAATGCTAGTGTTTTACCTCGTGTTTAAGAGAGAGGGAAGGAAGGAGGTAGAGGTCGAATATAAACGCTAGTGTTTTACCTCGTGTTTAAGAGAGAGGGAAGGAAGGAGGTAGAGGTCGAATATAAATGCTATTGTTTTACCTCGTGTTTAAGAGAGAGGGAAGGAAGGAGGTAGAGGTCGAATATAAATGCTAGTGTTTTACCTCGTGTTTAAGAGAGAGGGAAGGGAGGAGGTAGAGGTCGAATATAAATGCTAGTGTTTTACCTCGTGTTTAAGAGAGAGGGAATGAAGGAGGTAGAGGTCGAATATAAATGCTAGTGTTTTACCTCGTGTTTAAGAGAGAGGGAAGGAAGGAGGTAGAGGTCGAATATAAATGCTAGTGTTTTACCGCGTGTTTAAGAGAGAGGGAAGGAAGGAGGTAGAGGTCGAATATAAATGCTAGTGTTTTACCTCGTGTTTAAGAGAGAGGGAAGGAAGGAGGTAAAGGTCGAATATAAATGCTAGTGTTTTACCTTGTGTTTAAGGGGGCCGGGGGGGTCTTCATCAAAATTCTCTCGAAATTGATTTTATAGTTGTTTCTGATAGAGGGGAGTGATATCTATCAGCTGCTTTTAGTCCCATGGAAAAATATTATTCCTAGCCAAAATTATCGCCAGTCAAAGGTCAGCGCTCATGTGTAATTGTATTGCGCGAGCGATTTTCAATCGCGCGCCCTGAAAATCGAGACTGAAAATCTATCTTCTCCTACATTTTTTGAGCAATCACCCTGAAACTTTCAGGATATGTTCTAGGGATCATTTAGAAGATATCTGTCGAGCCGAATTTTGAGATAGGCCTTAGAAGATTTTTTATTCATTTTTGAAAATCTTGGACCTGGAAAAATCGTAAAAAAATGAGGTCCAAGATTTTCAAAATTGAATAAAAAATCTTCTAAGGCCTATCTCAAAATTCGGCTCGACAGATATCTTCTAAATGATCCATAGAACATATCCTGAAAGTTTCAGGGTGATTGCTCAAAAAATGTAGGAGAAGATAGATTTTTAGACTCGATTTTCAGGGCGCGCGATTGAAAATCGCTCGCGCAATACAATTACACATAAGCGCTGACCTTTGACTGGCGATAATTTTGGCTAGGAACAATATTTTTCCATGGGACCAAAAGCAGCTGATAGATATCACTCCCCTCTATCAGAAACAACTATAAAATCAATTTCGAGAGAATTTTGATGAAGACCCCCCCCGGCCCCCTTAAGAGAGAGGGAAGGAAGGAGGTAGAGGTCGAATATAAATGCTATTGTTTTACCTCGTGTTTAAGAGAGAGGGAAGGGAGGAGGTAGAGGTCGAATATAAATGCTAGTGTTTTACCTCGTGTTTAAGAGAGAGGGAAGGAAGGAGGTAGAGGTCGAATATAAATGCTAGTGTTTTACCTCGTGTTTAAGAGAGAGGGAAGGGAGGAGGTAGAGGTCGAATGAAGCAGCTCTGATCAGCAGGTTCAAATCTATCTCACTGTGCTTGTTAGAGTTCTCTATGTGTATTCTCTGCAAACTCTGCTGCGGTCTGATAATAGGGGTTAGTGACAGTGTTCACGGGAATTCCAAGTTAAAAACTCCAGCCAACTTTATTCAACTATCATCCAACACTAAAAACTGAAATAGGTATCTCCTCAGAGGGTACTAAGACAGAAATATAGCATTGTAATATTTTGTAGAGCATTGAATAAAACTTAAGTTATATTTCAGACAGCGAAAACAGTTGCGTGAGTGATGATCATCACGTGACGTGATATTACATCACTTGATGTGACGTAACGGCACGTGACATGACGTCACGCCACGTGATAAGCTGTGAACCTGGCCGATGGTGGTGGTATGTGGTGTTGACTGGGTGGGTAGTGAAACAGAGCTGATAACACTCTCAACTGTTCATCTAGTGACATGAGGGATGATCTTCCGTTTCTATAACTGTAGCTGAGTAGATTATGACTGTTAGTGAGTGATTTGTGTTGAATTTGATCGTATCTTGAATTTTTAATAATTTGGCATACGGTTTTTTACGTTTTATTTGTGATATTATATGTACATGATATAAATACACTGTTTCATGCAAATTATTAAATTATATCAACTTTTAAAATACATGCATGCTATTTTTGGAATATATGGTGTATCAGTGACTACCATGTTACATCAAAAAGATGAATTTTAAATGAACATGCCTGTGGAAATAACGCTCGAAACTCTTGATTTCGTGAAGAACAAGCTTGGTGGATATCAGTAGCACATTCTTAATCTCAACTATAGGCTTGGGAACCTTCGCCTTTAGTTCTGTCACATTAATGAACACTTTCTGAAAACAATCTTAGTAAAGTACAGTTTACAGTAAAAAGCATCGTTAAAGTTAAACTAATGGTAATTAACTATTCTGTACTGTAATTAGCAATTAGCATTTAGCTGGTCATTGACATACATTTTAAATTACAATTATTTTGATCGTAAAATAAAAAACTGGTGTCCGCATATTGTTGGACAAAGTCTGTGTATTTCAGTGTCTGGCTATCTAATTAATTAAGAAATCCTAATTTAACAAGAAATGCGGCCGCTTTTTTTTGTGCATGGCCGCTAAATTTCCCGATCCGTGATGGCGTATTTTATCATTTTCTATACAACCTGGGGACCCCAGTTTTTACTGTTTATATGTATGCAGATATGGCGAAGTGACAGGCCGAGCGCCACCAAGTTAATATAATTCCATATTGAATTTGAAAATCGTGTATATTTTTATTTTAAAAACCATATGCTTATTGTTTATGCAACCTGACACCCGACACGGATGTGTGCAAAATAGTATAAGTAACTCAAAATAATAATACTAATAGTATGCTATCAATTAGTGCCTAGTAGGATATGTACATGGTGAAATTAACAATGTACTTGGTCAGTTCAGCGCCGCGCGCCAACAATTAGCTAATTCAGATTATTCCGCAAAATAACTTTGCGCAGGTAGTCACGTGGGCGATTACCTACAGTGTGTGCAGGCACGTACGGTCGCACGCTCGCAGGTACGGTCGCAAAGCTACCATATACAAAAAAAAACCTCGTTCGCTAACCCTTGTCCTTGACTCTTTTGTGCCTTCGGCACTTTGAGTCATGGATCGGGAAAAAATAACTAACCTGTATTCGAGTAACATGAGGTAGGAATGAGTAAACAGTGTTCAGGGTTGGTACATCAATACAGATCAGCTCACTGAAACATAATATTACTATATTATATACATAATATTACTATATATATAAAGCGAGACGATATTAAATATCCGTTACCATTTTACTGACACCACTACTTCAAGTTTAACAAGACTTTCCGCGAAAACCGTGAGAGATATAATTTTGAAACTTTTTGGGCTTGGTCGAATGATTTTATGGCTTTTTATCAATATAATACCTCAGTCTAGTCGTGTCTGTGCTCTATCTATTGCACGGCATCTTAAGATTGTGCATTTTTAGCATATTTCTGACAGAAAGACATATGTAAGAAACTATTTCCCAGACAATTTGCCAAGAAAGACGGACAGTTTATCGGAATACTTATGTGTAAGCTTTCAAAACCGGTTATAACTCCCAGTAAACCAACAATTCTCATATTCTTCTATTTCTCCTACTCTCATAATATTCCAATACATTTCCCATGTAAATATTTGTTTTCTCAAACCAACATGGTATCAGTTGAAGGTAACTTCGACTGGACTGTCATCCTCACACCGTGATAACCTTGATTTTGGGAGGTGTTGGCATCGCTTGCAACTCTCTTATTTTACTCTACTATGTGAGAAAAGTCAAGAAGGACCAACTCTCCATCATATATGGATCTCTGTCAGGGTTCTCGATCATTCTATCCTTACTCATGATCATCAACTTTATCTTCTTCTTCATCGGGGATCTCTACTACGAATATGCTCACGCCCAGGATTGTCAGTCCAACTTTGGGCTGTTCATCTCGGCAACCTTCAAAGTGTTGTTCATGGTGGGGTACAGAAGCATTATCTACATCCTAACAGCGCTCATCTTCCTGACCGCATGTAAAGTTAAGTGGCGCATCTTCAAGATCCGGACTCAGATACTGAAACATCTGATAGCAGGGTACCCGGTCCTATTGTTCCTTCTCGTCGCCATCAACTGCTTCGTAGAGATGAACTGTGCTACCCCCTTCTACATCCCCTGGATAGGTACAACCACCAGCATGACAGTTGTCTACTTCTGGATCTTACAAGCAGTGCCGGGGGTGCTGTCTCTGGCTTGTCTTATCTTTCTGTTCCAGGTGGTCACGTGTGATCCTCAGACCCTGCCTGCTGATCTGCTACCTGGCGAGAACAAGGAGGGAGCCATCAAGAGGGCTCTGGAGACGATAGAGGAGACGATAGAGGAGGAGGAGAAGGGAGCGTGTAGTAAACTGAAGAGCTCACTCTCGCAAGTCAAGACAAAACTGTCAGCCAGCAAATCCAAGATCGCCACAAAGTTCACCGGACGGGAAGTGACCAAGAGGACGATCTTTACAATCCTGATCCTGACATTTGTGTTGCTGATAACGATTATCATCAGCACGGTCATCCCTCTGCAGAGCATCTACAGCAACAACGACATCCTGGTGTACGACATCCACCACGACACCTCCGACTTCAACACGGTCTACGTGTGCTCGGTCCTGGTTCCGGTCCTGCTTCTCACCATTGTTAACCCTGTAATTCTACTTATCAGGGTTAATGGTCTCCACAAGTTCGTGGTCAGGTTATTCAGGAAGTCTTGTGCGTCCTGTATATTAGCTGCTGAACGGAGAAGGAACGTGGACAACTGAGATGGAGTTCAGAGAAACGGAGATGAAGCGTAGAATGAAACCCTCGACTAATAAACACAACATGTTAGGCAAGGTTGTTTACACAAAGTGCAGGTTGGGTCGGAGTACATTAGAAGTTGCTAACCTTCAACAGATAATCTTGTACTACATTATCTTATACAGGCTTCTCACAATATCTCGTTAACTATAGATCGCATTGTAGAAACATTTCTGTCACCAAATTGTGTAACGATACACTTGAGCGAAGGTAAAACGCACAGAAACACGAACAGTTGAAGAGAATATACAACATAGAAGATACTGTGAGGGTTTGTAAACTTACCAGTCCTGTTCTGTCTCATCATCGTAATAGCTTACAGCAATGCTCGTCTCGTCCAGATTACCAGAGATTATATTGGGAGACAGTGGCTCCAGGATGATATCTGGAGGGCACAATTTAGAGAGTGCAGATGTGTTGTTATTTAGTGATTTAGCTTACTTATCTGAACAAATGTGTTGTTATTTAGTGGTTAACTTTAGCTAACTTATCTGAACAAATGTGTTATCAATTAGTGATTAACTTTAGCTTACTTATCTGAACAAATGTGTTGTTATTTAGTGATTTAGCTTACTTTTATGAACCATTGTTTGAGTTTACAATAATTGTGCTTCAATGAGTTTACATTCTCTGACAAATAAAAAGGACTTATCTTGTACACAAGTTAATATTCTTACCACTGTTAGGACTGTTGTTCATCTCGACATACAGGTTCTGAAGAATTGCAGCTGCTCCACTTATACTCTTCACATTAATGTGCGACTTTAAACCTTGCAATCTACGGGATGAAAACGTTATAATTATACGTAATCACTGAATTTAATCGATTGCGTTAACTGTGACATTTAAGCGCCTTGGCAGATTACCGAATTGCCAGATATTCAAATAAAACTAATTTGAGATGCGCTAGAAACAGTCGTGTTCAAGGAGAAAAAAGTAAACTCAGTAAATACAGACCTGCCAATAATCTCAGCCTTGTCGAATCTCCAGGTTGCAGTAACAGAGAGAGGAATGTCAGGCGCCTCAGAGTACAGCATGATGTCTCGGTTTATACGGGGTTTCAGTGATTTAGAGGTCTCTGAACTCATTCTCGCCACCATCGGGTCTCCTCTGGGGGACACAATCGGGTGAATATTTATCAAGAATAATCTTGGGCGGGGGTATACTAACGAATACTTGGCTGGCTTCAATCACCTCGAGCCTCCCATTGCACAAAAACGACAAGATATTTCAAGTACCTGAACATGAGTTGTATGTACTCGTCCATCTTCTCCCAAGCTCCAGCCAGCATGAACTGATCCTCAACAGACCTGAGAGGTGGATCCCCGGTAGGAGAGGCTGGTCCACTACCGCTGATGACAGTAAAGTCACCCAGCACCGGGTGGAAGGAGCCCGGCTGGAAGTTGGACATGCCGTCCACCAGCGCTTTGGAGAGCCTCAGCAGGTCGAGGTTGATCTCGGTGACACAGGTTTCTATCTGGGTGTTGATCACCAGGTGTTTGACTACGTGACTGATGGACTTCTTGACGTTCTGTGCCATCTGTATGTCCAGGAACTTCTTAGATTTCTTCTTGCGAGGAGGTCTAGGAGGAGCTCCCCCGGGTGTGGAAGCAGCGTTGTGTCTGTTAGAGTGAGAGCTACGTTTAGAGAACAGACTGTCTGTACTGTCACTTCTGTGGAAACTTCTACCTCCACCAACTCCTGAACTGGAGCGAGAATCATTTCTCTTGTGTGTCCCATCCCTGGTGTGTCGGGGAATACTGAAGTCTTTCTGGGCGGGGAACAGCGAGGTCTCCAGGAAGAGGTTCTTTGCATTGAAGAAGGGTGAAGCGGCGGTGTCACTCCTGAAGTCTCTGTGGCAGTCTATAGCGGTGATACTGGTTCCATCTATCTCCAACTTAAGCTGGTGATTCACGTGATCAGTTTTAGGAAGTCTCAACTGCAGTGCCTGGTACAGAGCAAAGTATTTCTCAGCCAGCTTGGCCTTGTCACTGGAGGACAACATCTCGATCAGGGCGTGTCTGTGTGTTCTGTGTTTAGCTTCTACTTGCACGTTTTGAGGAGGCTTACCTATACTGATCTTATCAAGAGCGGCTATGGAACCGTAGTCCTGTTTCCCTACGTAGTATACAGGTGTTTTATAATTATCACTAGTTCCTGCATCAGGGAGTAGGTTACTCGGGGGAGAATGATGGCTGGTGGGGGGAGGCTGCTGCACTGAGATGTTGTCCATGAGGTTGTCGTTAGTCAGAAGGAGGTTACCCTCGATAGCTGCTAACATTGACTGTACCCCTCGCTCTAAGAGGATCCTCCGAGGAACAAAGTCTGGGTTTAAGTCGTGGTACAAGTCCGTGTTGGAATCCTTGCATATTTCCAGAGTGTACCTGAGCTGGTTCATCAGTCTGATTACTGCGGACTCCTTCAGAGTTTTGGAAGCAATGGTGAGTCGACTGTGTTTAGTGGTATAGTTAGGAGGTTCGTACTGGATCTCTTGTCCCAGAGCTTCTGCCAGGAGAGCAGCAATAACAGCTTGTACCCTGGACAACTTGTTGTGAGAGAGTTGGGTCACATGTTGAGCCAGGAGAGAGCCTGGTTCGGACCAGGAGAACACAGCGTGGGGGAGAGAGGTGTACGGATTGAAGAGGTTCACGTCCGTCTGATCGGCTGAGGGTGTGGCTATCTGGATCCACAACTCAGAGATCTTGCCGTTAATGGAGGATTTGTCGTGGTAGGCGGTGGTGTCAGCTAGTGAGGTTAGGGAGGCAGCTACTTGGGCTCCCATAGACACCTTCTCGCTGGAACCTTCATCTCGGTCTGAAGAAATTAGAGGGCATGAAAACGATGACCAGGACGTTTGGTTTAATTGATGACAGAAATTTAGTACACAAAATACGCTCCTATCAATTAACCATGCAACATTCCAAAATCAAATTCACATGTAAAAGATCCCAGTTTTAATGAGTCACGCACATGCATAATTAAAAGACATTTTCACAACATCGAACAGCACACAATTTTAATAATTGATAGTGAGCGCACTAAAATTCAGCTCTTAATCACACGTGGGCAATATGTTCGCATGGAATTCAACATGTCAGCGCAGGGGTGCACTCGCCGGGGTGCACGTGCAAGGGTGCACGCGCCGGTGTTATGGCACCCCTTCATTCAGCAGGTGCTAAATACAGGCTGCTCACCGCTCTCTAGACGCTTATACTCAATACCCTCCACTGTCAGTACGTCCTCTGAACTGCTGTTATCGTCTGCGAGTTTACTTTTAAACCACGTGGGCAGGGTGCTAAGTTAGGGGGCGGCGCACAAAGTGCTGGTGCTTTTTAAGCGATCATAGAATACATCACAGGTGGGATAGTATAGAGTGCGCAACAGAAATAAGAAGTAAATGTGAAATTATGAAAAAATAGGGTGTTGGAAGGGTTCGATGTTGATGTAAAATGCATGAGATGTGGTTGATTTATTGAAACATGCTCTAGTTACCTATTTCAGGGTTACTGCAAGGCTGCTGCTAACACAGCAAGGCTATTTTCCTCAAACCTTTTTATTTGTCTCCCGAAATTTATAAGTTTCACTAATCCACTTATCACCCACTGCACGTATCATAGTTATCAGTTATGTGTTAATAGATAGCTAGCAAATAGTGAGACTCACGTTTACGTAGTTTCCGTAGTCTGGTAACAAAGCTCTGCTTTCTAGACCGTTTACGGTTATTTTCCATCATCAGCTGGTATCTCTTTCCTTTTGAGGCGGTTACTAATCTTTTGCTTGACCTCTTTTTCTTATCGCTTTTTCTCCTCTTTTCGGCTAAAGACGTTCGACTTTCTCTGCCAAGCAGGTCAATTTGATTGTCAGCATCATAGTAAACTGATTGCTTTTTGATAGCCGCTGTTTGGAATTGTCCGTATGCACTGGCGAACTCGTCGACACCCATTGACTGGTCAGAAAATATCTGATTGAGAGCCCTTGGGTCATCAACTGTGCTACGAAAATAATCAACACCGTAACTATTATCACCATTATCAGTGAAGTCACTACCTATACCAGCTATAGCACTTTTGTACTGAGCAAAGCTTGATGAAGGTTCTATTTGGTGGAGGTGGACAATCCTTGGTGAGACAGCTAAACCAACAGAATTATTTCTAGATCTTACTGAGGTAACTTTCCCTCTTATTGCTTGCGAGAAAGAGTTATGGTGTTTTCTGGGAGCCTTCAATGACTCCATGTCAGGACTGGCAGCGCTTTGAATCAAGCGAACGTTATCGCGGCAACCTGAAGACAGTTTAGCCTGGGATTGAGATTTCCTCCTAAATGTTGGAAGACCGTGAAACTTTATCGTCTTTCTTCTATTTGGAGGTGATTTGAAATCAATGGTTAACTCGTCACCACCCGTGGTGAGATCAAAGTGTGGTTGGCGAGGAGATCTCGTGTCCTCGACGGTGCTTTCGTAATAGTCAACACCGTAACTCTCTTGATATGGTTCATTCCTGCAATCAACAAACTCACTTTCAATACCATCGATAGCACTTTTGTATTCCGCTATGCTGGTCGAATACTCAACAACTCTGCTAGACTGCTTCTCAATACTGTTACGGCGGGCCTTATGTCGTGACCTAGAACCACCAACAACTAGCGTCTTTTTAGAACGTGCTGAACCAATTGCAATATTTCTTATTTTGCCCATAGCATGGAAGATTGAGTTATGACGGTTTTTAGAAGCCTTTTGTGTCTCCATTCCAGGAATAGCGGCGCTTTGGATCATGCGAACATGATCACGATTGGCAGGCGCAAGTTGCAGTTTCCTTTGAGATCTCGCTGCCTCGATACGTGAATCAATATATGAAACATCAGACAGCGAAACGGCCAGATTTGAGGAACAAGATGGAGATGCTATTGTAAGTTTGACGGGTGGAAAAGGTTTTTGTTCGTTCGGATTGTGGGGGCTATAAAGTGAGGCAATTGACTCATTGCAGTACATGCTATTGGAAATGTCCGGTGTTGAGACTGCATATCTTTCCGCAGATTCCAAATTAGTCTGTGACAAATCAACATGCCGTTCTTCAGTTATGTTTCGTTCATTCGGACTGTGGGGGCTATAAGGTGAGGCACTTGACTCATTGCAGTACATGCTATTTGAAATGTTCGGTGTTGAGACTGCATATCTTTCCGCAGATTCCAAATTAGTCTGTGACAAATCAACAGGCCGTTCTTCAGTTATGTTTTGTTCATTCGGACTGTGGGGGCTATAAGGTGAGACACTTGACTCATTGCAGTACATGCTATCGGAAATGTTCGGTGTTGAGACTGCATATCTTTCCGCAGATTCCAAATTAGTCTGTGACAAATCAACAGGCCGTTCTTCAGTTATGTTTCGTTCATTCGGACTGTGGGGGCTATAAGTATAAGGTGAGACACTTGAATCATTGCAGTACATGCTATCGGAAATGTCCGGTGTTGAGACTGCATATCTTTCCACAGATTCCTCTTCAATACCAATTCTTATACTGCTCTCAGACTGATTATTATTTTTTATATAGTCTATGATAATGGTCGAAGAAATTTCTTTAGGTGCTATATTATCATTATTATGATTATTATTATCAGCCTCTGTTAGTTGCATATTTCCATCACTAAGAAAGTTTACCATCCTGCCTTTAGCCTCAGGTGTTCTCATACTGCTCAATTCAACAGACCTACAGCGCTTAAAACCAACCTCAGTTTGCAGTAAGTGGGTATCAATGACAACCTCACAGCTTCTAGATCCTTCCGATTCACATGACCTCTCTACTTCAACTCTTGGTGTGTTACCATGAATGATTTTAGGATCTACAACATTTGGGAGAGATACAGAGAGTCGTCGTGAACGATTCAACTCTTCCACAGCAAGTACTGTTTCTGATTTGCTATGCTCAACACGATTATAAGTTCTATCAGCTAGACCATCTGAGCACTGTGAGTCTGGGTGAGAGTGAATATTGTGATGAATGTCTGGTAAAAGTGTGGGGTTTGAAGAGGTGTAGACTTTTTGTGATGTTTGGGATGGTATGTGGTCAGATGAAGTGGGAGAGATTTCGTCTTGAGATGGAATGTTTCGGGGTAATTTATGATCGCCTGAAATTTAATAGAATGAAATGAAGACAAGAAGGCTTAGAGAAGATCAATAACTTCGAGTCTGAATATATAAAGATATCATACTAGTGCACATGTAATTGAAGAGAAGATACAAAATATTAGCCGGAAGTTGTTCACAATTACCAGATATGAGTGGTTCCTGAGCTTCATCCATTAGACTACTACTCAAGGACATTCTGTCCGGTCCGGAGTGGTAGTGTATGGACGCCTTAGGTCGCAGTTTCTTGTACTTGAAGGGGATGTTGTTGCTTGAGGGATCCTGTTTCCCCAACTCGATATCAATTGAATCTGATTGTAAGAGTATTATGATCTGCTGTTTAAAAAATAATTATAATTTTGCAAACAATTTTTTCTGATATGTATTACGATATTATTACCTTCATTTAAAAACTCAGTTTATAGTTTATACATGCGTTCAATTGTAGTTTCCCTCTAGACACCAGGATGCTTTAACACTTTTTAATCAATATTTTCATTCACGATATAACTATGATACACATTTACACCAATTGACCGTGCAACCTAAGCTATCAAAACAAACCACCCCGACACCCAACCTCGTTTAACCCAACTATCCGTCCTAGCCCCATAAATACATTCAACCGGTTCTACCTCCATCTAAAGCGAAGGATGGTATATCCTGCTTCTCCTCCTCCTTCTTCTTTGGTTTCTGCTGCTCAGGAGGTTCGGGCAATGCCACCAACAGGTTCCGTTTCAGAGATCCTCCAGAGAAGTTACACTTCTCAGCGCCCAGCTCTATCACTACTGACGTCTCCCTAAGGGTGGTCTCCATGACAAAAGGAAAGCCTCTTTTTAAAATTCTCTTCAGAAAAATTCAAAATCACCAAGGACACACAAGATAGCGAAAGAACATGATATGGCAGCTCCATCAGATTTTAAGTCTTTCAGTGCATATCAGTGTTAGGGGTGGGGCAATGTTACCTGCTACTGAGTTTCTGAACGTTGTCCTTTATTTTCTTGGCAGCAACTACTCGAGTCTTTGTGTACGGGATAAAGGTATCACTCTGCTTTCTAGAGACAGATAAAACTATAAGAAAAGTTCCAAATAGAAACAAATGAGATATTCAACCAATATTTCAACCATATTTAAAATCTTAAAGTCCAGGGTTTTAAAAAAAAAGAAAATCACAGTTTAAAAAGTAGCATTGGAAGAATTGGATTATGCATATTTAAAGTGTCACTAACCCAATCATAGGATGAAGGATGTGAAGTTGGCCGAATATTCCGTCCACAGAGGCTTTGTAAGCAGTCTGTGTGTACTCTCCAGGGAGGGCACTGTCCATAACACTTTTACTTCTCGTACCACCGGACTGATAAGATTATTGGACTGTGACATTTATAACTGTGACATTTTTAATTGTGTTTCGAGGAGATAATGTTTTTTAAAGGCGGTCTTAAGATGTTGCGGTCGAACTTACCGCCATAGGCTTCTGTCTCTCGAACTGATGGTAGCTGAAGCTCACGTCGATGTTGTTAGCCACGAACTTGACAAGGGAGAGTTTGGCGATCTTGTTGGGACAGATTACATTACTGCTTCCTGCCCCTGAGGACGGGTCTCCACTGATATCTGATCTGGCACTCTCACTTCGGTCTGTCATAGCTGGGGTTAAGGGGGTTAGGATAATGGTTATAACGTTATATTCAACCGAAGCGAAAGACTAGATCTCCTGACGGACGATGAAAATAATTAGGGTGATAGTTAGTTAAAAAAGCATCTCAAGGTAACTGCAGGCCTTGTAACGGTGATGTAGGAAGGACTTATATCAGGTTTCTAATGTCCAGTTTCGCTACATAAACAATGTATTAAACATCCCACCTTCATCATCTGTCGTGGACACTCCTCCAAACTTAGATTCGGATTTGGCTCCAGATTTGGTTCCAGATTTGGAGGGGACTTGAGCTTTGCTTCTTGCCGTTTCTAGTTCAGCTTCTGTACCCACCCACTAAAAAGGTAATATTTAACATGTTTAAGAGAACAAAAGATGGTATGTTGGGGTCTATATCTATTATCTATTATGTTATACAATAGTGTTGTGTCTTGTGAAGAGGATATATAGAAGTATAGACCGTATAGCTTCAAATATTGATCATGACTTTTATATTATATGATAGACAGATGGCCACCCGTGCATTATTTTCACATTATTGTCTTCATTCTTATTGGAGGCCAAAAATAAAGTAGGTGCTAAAATAATGGAAATTTTTTAAGTTGTCCCAATAACAGGTTTCAGAACAAGTCAATTTCTTCGTCTAGGCTTGACGGTCTGGTCACATTTTGCACAATATGTGAAATTTCATTCTTTTGTCGTCGTTTAACACCTCAAAATTTTGCTACTTTTCTGTTTTCATTCAAAAACGATCACAAAAGGTTTTAAAGTTGTCAATTTTGACGTCAAAAACACGGTGCGAAAACTATGTATAGAGGACGCTTTATAAAAGGTACAGATTTTCCTGTATCTTCATCATATTAGCAATATTTTCACATCCAGACTTTCACTTCAATATTTCGACATCATGAAGTTTTTCGTCTCACTGTTTGCTGCCGTCTTGGTCGTGGACCTGGTGGTCTCTCTGGAGATGGAAGAGGAAGAGATGCCCTCATTCATACCAATCCCCATTTTTACTATAGTTAGCATGGCCATTAAAGTTCTGAAAATGTTCGTGTGCAAAAATGAACAAGTCGAGGTTAGAATTTATTGATTAATTTAATTTAATAAAATAATTTGTAAGTTTTTGTAATAGTTTGCAACAACTGATTCATTTCTGGAGCAGGAAGTATAAATATCAATAAGCTTTTTTGTGTGGATTGCTTGTATGGAATATTGACATAAAAAAGGATCCATGTGCCTTTACAATGATAAATCATTGAATTTTAACCAAAACATTCAATAGGTTGAGGAAAGAGGTATGGGAGAAATGGTTCAGAAGTTCATCGAATTTGCCAAGAATGTTCTTTGCGGTATGTAACCTCATCAAACTAAGATCGCCATTGAATATTCTATATTTTTGAAATATGTATTTTGTAACTCTTTAGACAATCTCATTATTTGTTATTTTCCAGACTCACCTTAAATTAAAAAACAACGTTAATTAAATCTCGCGAAACAATTCGAAGTTCAGAGACAACTTGAGAATATGGAAATAGATGTTTCTGAGAGGACAAAATTTGACTAATTCGGTAAAATTTAAAAATAATTGAATCGTCCTTGCTAATGATCATTGATCACTTGGTATTACCCAATGTTGGACTAAAACTAGAAAACGAAACATTCCCTTGTGTTTCACAACAGCTCTAAATAACAACTTAAACAGTACCTGAAGATCTCCACCACCCTGTAAAGTACGGATAGAAACAACTGGAATGTAGAGAAATAGTTCCAGGTTCAGTCTCTCTTCTATAGTCCTCTCCAGAGAATTGTCGAACTTCTTCATACCTACTGGCTGTGTGGGAACTACAGTTAGATATGTGAGGTTTTATTTTATTTTATTGAGGTTTTATTTTATTTGGAATTCAGGTTAGAGTGAAGTTTGGTCTGTTAGGTTCAGAGTTAGGTCAATATATCAAATGATTAAATTAAAGGTTTGATTGGGAATGCATTAAACCACTCTTTCGCTGTACATACGCTTCAAAAATGAAAAGCAATGGCAGACGAAAGGTGTTAAATCCAGAACCATCAACTGTCTTGGTAACAGTAACAGTAACTCGCAAGTAGGAGTGATGTTCCCATCTATTTGCCAGGATATCCTTCCATCACCTGTCTTATAACTTTCCCTCATGAAAAGAACACATCATCTGTCTTATAACTTTCCCTCATGATAAGAACACATCACCTGTCTTATAACTTTCCCTCATGATAAGAACACATCACCTGTCTTATAACTTTCCCTCATGATAAGAACACATCACCTGTCTTATAACTTTGCCTCGTGATAAGAACACATCACCTGTCTTATAACTTTCACTCATGATAAGAACACATCACCTGTCTTATAACTTTGCCTCGTGATAAGAACACATCACCTGTCTTATAACTTTGCCTCGTGATAAGAACACATCACCTGTCTTATAACTTTCACTCATGATAAGAACACATCACCTGTCTTATAACTTTGCCTCGTGATAAGAACACATCACCTGTCTTATAACTTTCCCTCATGATAAGAACACATCACCTGTCTTATAACTTTGCCTCGTGATAAGAACACATCACCTGTAAATGGTGGGAGAAGAGGAGCGCCTTCTGAGCGGTGGCATGCTGTATAGCAATCTCCAGGACAGTAGGAGCTGTAGCAGCCTGCACCAGGTTTATCACTGCTGCTGGGTGCAGGTTCCGGTAGTAAACTTCTGCTGTCTCGATATACCTGAGGTCATGGAGGTAGACTGTTTGGTTTTCTAATCGTTCTAATTTGATTTGTAATTGAATTAGGCTATCCACTCCGATAATCGTAACCGATAATTATCTCCGATAATTCGTTAAAAAAAGTTATCTGTTTATCTAGATAAAACATATTTTTATCGGTATAAAAATTCACTAGATATTACCGAAAATACTGCCAAAATACCGTACAATTGTAAAGAAATATTAGTGTTTTTGCCTTCCCAAGTAATCCAAGAAACAGTCCCAAACGTCTTCTAGTATAATAGAAGAGGTAGTTTACTTAGATGTGAGCTTAAGAGGTTTATTTACATTTGTATACCTATGGAACTGTAGAACTGTATGAACTGTTGAAATCCAGAGAAGGTTATTGACATTGTTCTCTTGTATTGAGGTGCTGGCGTTTTACCTTTTAATCATTCTGGAGACGGGAACGAGCATGTTACTATTAACAAGAGTCAAAAATACCGGCAGGGCACTCAATTGAATTCCGTAAGTGTTCTGGGCGTGAAACATTGTCTTCAGGAGAAGGAATCTGTTGCTCCAAGTTATCAACAGGATAAGAAAACGGTTCACTGAATCACTTTAAATGCTTTACTGTTTCGAGGAGATTTGGTATTTGGTGCACTACTGTTCTCAGGAGAAGGAAACCCTTGGTCTACTGTTTTGAAGAGAACTAGTACACTACTGTTCTCAGGAGAAGGAAACCAGTGGTCTACTGTTTTTGAAGAGAACTGGTACACTACTGTTCCCAGGAGAAGGAAACCCTTGGTCTACTGTTTTGAAGAAAACTGGTGCACTACTGTTCTCAGGAGAAGAAAAACGGAGGTCTACTGTTTTGAAGAGAACTACTAGTGCGTTACTGTTCTCAGGAGAAGAAAACCAGTGGGGTCTACTGTTTTGAAGAGAACTACTGCGTTACTGTTCTCAGGAGAAGGAAACCGTCTGTCTACTGTTTTGAAGAGAACTGGTACACTACTGTTCTTAGGAGAAGAAAACCGTTTGTCTACTGTTTTGAAGAAAACTGGTGCACTTCTGCTCCCCGGAGAAGAAAACTGATGCTCTAATATTTTTAAAAGAAAGGAAGTGGTACTTTAGAAAGATTACTGGTAAACAGTAATAAAAGTCGACAATTAGTTTTTGCGAAATTTGGAAAACATTTTGGCTTTGGCCTTCAGCATAAAAATTATCGGTTTTATCGGTTTTATCTAGATAAAACCTAAATCTTTATCTGTTTATCTAGATAAAAGATTTCATACCGATAATGGATAGCCTAAATTGAATAGTTTAATAACTTACAATGAATACAATAGATACGATGAAAATTCTAGAACTACGAACTTGTTGATAGCGTGCACACAGAAGGGTGTAAAGAAGAGGTCAACAGGGTCCACTATCTCAGCAATACAGATCACTTTACCATCTGTCTCCAAACTGTCAGGGTCTGATGTCTCATCTGTGGAGACTTTCTTTTCTTTCAGCTTCTTCTCCCACCTAATATAGAAACTTTAGTATGATCAAGATTCACAATTGAGGGAAGCGGCTAAAAATAAAGAACTGAAGCGAGAGAATATTTCTGTAGATTCGTCGGAACTGAATACTGATCATTTTTAGATTTTATTTAAATTGTTCATTTCGTAGAGAAAAATCATTGCGATTTAATAGAAAAGCCGCGGAAACGATTCATCAAATCGTAGTATAATGAACGGACTTGCGACGAAGTTCGAGGAGTTTGGGGTCGGACTTGTTGTCGGCAGCAGAGTCGTTGGAGAAGAGGTTGTCTGTGGTGAGGTCACTGCTGGTGCTACCTGTAGATTCTGAGTGGAACTCAGGTAGGATGTACTTTACTATCTGCAGGAGTAGAAGAGGGTTGTTTTTAAAACTTAGATTATAAGCAAGTTGGATAAGTTATCAGGGTGATATAATTCCGCAGAAACTAATCACAGAGCTAAAAGTTTGTTTACGTCACAATTCCTAATCTAAACCTTCAAACTGGATTATCTAATTGATATGAAATAAGCTAAAATTAAAATTAACCTGTAAAAGTTCATGGATGGAGGGTTCCACTGGAGGAATTTTAAAATCATCACTCCCCTTGCTTCCTTTGCTTTGTCGCTTGTTAGAGGATATCCTCTGAAGCAATGTTTTAAATTTCAAGAAACTGTTCAACCTTGTTATAATTTAATTGCTCATCATATCTCGTACCACGTATTATTAACTAACGTAAAAAAGTATATTGTTATTAACTAAAGTGAGGTATGTTGTTATTAACTAAAGTAAGTTATGTAGTTATTAACTAACGTGAGGTATCTTGTTAGTATCCACGTCCTCCAGATCAGAGTAAGACTTGTTGAGGACCACAGTGTTAGAGTACCTGGTCTCTGTTAACCATGCTCTGGGCAGGTGGTCTCTGTAGATGTCTATTAACTCCTGCGAGGAGGGGGTGTCAGTTGTTAGAGAAGGTGTCAGGAGAGGGTATTAAGCATTTAAGGGGGGGGGGGGGGACAATGGATATTTTTTTGTGAAAGTTGATTTCGAGATAGCAGTTGACCAACAAACTAGGACCAGTGACCGAACTTTTGAGGGGGTCCCGGACCCCAACCGCCAAACGGTGCCCGCGGGGCAGCCACGCCCATATTTGGTCCAAATTAGGCCCAATTTAGCCAAATACCCTGAACATGCCCAAAACCCAGATTTTAGGTGCTCTACTTGTAGCTAGTGGTCTCCTGAACTCGTATATGAAATTTCATCAAGATTGGACAAAAAATGACTGAGTTATGGGCCAAAAACCATATGCCCATATTTGGGCATACGCACCAAATTTGGTAGATTTCGTCCCATAAATTGGGCAAATATCAATATTTTTGAATGAAACTTACTTTATAAGAAAGGTAAGCCTAAACTACATATTCTCTGTAAGTTATAGCTTTGTATTTGTTTAAATGTGGATACTAAGGCGAAAAAACCACAAAAAATGAACTAAATTGCCCGTATCTTGGTTCGCGATATTCGCGGAATTGATCTCATTAAAATTGTAACAACTCAATCAGTTTTCAAAATTTTTGCATGAAATTTTCGGAATCGACTCAAAATCGCATTTCCACCTTATTTTGAGAACAGATTTTTGATTTAGGCCTCCAAAAAAATTTGGCGGCCAAATTCCAAAATTTTCCCGGATAAATTCAGAATTTGGCCGCCAAATTTTTTTGGAGGCCTAAATCAAAAATCTGTTCTCAAAATAAGGTGGAAATGCGATTTTGAGTCGATTCCGAAAATTTCATGCAAAAATTTTGAAAACTGATTGAGTTGTTACAATTTTAATGAGATCAATTCCGCGAATATCGCGAACCAAGATACGGGCAATTTAGTTCATTTTTTGTGTTTTTTTCGCCTTAGTATCCACATTTAAACAAATATAAAGCTATAACTTACAGAGAATATGTAGTTTAGGCTTACCTTTCTTATAAAGTAAATTTCATTCAAAAATATTGATATTTGCTCAATTTATGGGACGAAATCTACCAAATTTGGTGCGTATGCCCAAATATGGGCATATGGTTTTTGGCCCATAACTCAGTCATTTTTTGTCCAATCTTGATGAAATTTCATATACGAGTTCAGGAGACCACTAGCTACAAGTAGAGCACCTAAAATCTGGGTTTTGGGCATGTTCAGGGTATTTGGCTAAATTGGGCCTAATTTGGACCAAATGTGGGTGTGGCTGCCCCGCGGGCACCGTTTGGCGGTTGGGGTCCGGGACCCCCTCAAAAGTTTGGTCACTGGTCCTAGTTTGTTGGTCAACTGCTATCTCGAAATCAAGTTTCACAAAAAAATATCCATTGTCCCCCCCCCTTAAGAGAGATAATGTGGAGACTGTTGGATAGTCAGAAGATCTTTAAAAAGTGGGAATTTTGTTAGTCAACTAAACAAATAAGGATAAAACTAATAAAACAAGGTTAACAAACGTGGTTTAGGGCACTGTCAGCTGCTTTAGGGAAGGGGAAAGGTATGGAGAGATCTTTAACTTGGTTCTCTTCATCCTCCGCCTCTGTCGTGTCTGTAAGTCAACAGTGTAACGCAACTTTCAAATTTCCTTATAAATTCTCGATAACATTTTCCTAATCATGAATTTAGCGTACAACAAATCTAGACACGGTTGCAGGTTTACAAAAATTCCAAAAAACTAAAAGTCACGTACCATGTTCCTCCTCAGCCGCACTGCTGGCAGCGTCAGTGTTCCTGAACTCGGATCTGGCAGACTTGAAGCTGTCTTGAGATGAGGATCTAGAGAGAGTTCCTCCTCTAGACTTGCTTCTTCTACCCAGACTACTGTACTTGTCCTCTTTACTTGCTCCTGTACAGGGGTGAATGGAATTATACTCTGATCTGGTTATTACAACACTTGTTCAAACTGTGACACCATAGCTTTGTAACTTAAAACCTTGAAATGCAATGATTCTATGCTTTAAAATGAACCAGAAGAAACGACAATTCAGATAGTTTTAAAATGATATATATTTACCATTAGATCGTACTATGAATTTATGGATCATTATTAGAGAAGTAACATCTAAAACAGTTATTCAGCTCTTTTACCTGTACTCGTTGGAGACTGATGAGGTAAGCTCTGCTTGGACGCCCTCCTGGTCGCTTCATCTTCTGCTGACTCGTACTGGTTTGCTTCTGAATAACAAGGACGGGGTTATTTTACAGTTCACTTTTATATCATTGGGCTAGTCTTAGTGGAAAGTTAAATCTTGTTATAAAACAAGAATTAATACTCAGATATAAACACGACTCTGTGCAGTGATTTGTGTTAGCCATTATTTTGAAATGATTTACCGTGAAATGTTCCAATAAAGAAGTTGAATGTTGAGTTATGATTACAAATGATGGATACTAACGTTCCAAGTGATGAGAGGGAACGTTATCAAATGAAACAGTCTTGGTGATGGTGATGGATGATTTTGATAGAGTGGATGGAGGGAGAATGGTGTATTGTGAATCTGGGAGCGTATCCAGTTCACTTTCAGAGTCTACTGAAATTAAAGGTGAATTATATAATATGAGTTTAAACGGTGAGCAGTGTCGAAAAAAAATCTTTTAAGCGTGTATCGAAAAAACTGACTGTCTGATTATAAATAATTAATCACCACGTCCCATAACTTGCAGTATTAGAATTTAGAACTTTTTAGTTCGAAAATAAACAGACTTGGATGTCGTGTTACACTAAGAAGTTTGTAATCGAATTTTCCTGAACCCCATAGCAAATCTATTACGATTTATGATTATAATTTTTTTTAAAGTAATTACAACACTACAAATCTATTACATTTATTGAGTATTATGTATCGTGATGGAAATATTTTAAGCAGATAATAGCCTGTCCAAACCGAGGCTACATAACATGAAGACTTTGTTGTAACTTGTATGAAAAGGATTAATACATTAATCTTCGCGTTCACTGTCAAGGCTGAACATAAAGCGACATTTGAGAAAAGTATAGTATAATAAGTTAACAGCTTTGTCGAATGAACCTTGAGCACCTTTCTCGGTTACTAAATACTGACTGACATTCCTTGGTAGAAATATCTTTTATACCATTTAATTGCTACGTAGACCTTACTAAGGGGCTCAAACCTCGTGGTTCCTCTCCACCTATCAGGAACTAAGGACAAGATCACCCAGCATTATACTGCTGAGTGTGTAACGGTATTGTGCTTATGAAGGGAGCTTGTGAAGTGAGGAACTTTAAAAAGTAGCGTAACCAGTAGTATTAGTATACCAAGTACATTATACTGTATATTATATAGTATATTATATAGCAATAGTATACCAATAGCATTAGGAGATTAAAGATCTAGACGCACACGTACCCCTTCCCCGTGAGTCTGCTTCCTGCTTCATGTAATGATATTGTGCTATGTGAAGGTAGCTTGTGACATGTTATGTTATGTGAGGAATTTCAAAACATCCTGCCTTTTTTAGAACGGTTACGTCTCGGACTTTTATCGAATGTCCCTTTTTAATTAAGAAAATGAAAACCTATCCAACTTTCAATAAGTTAAAAGTTTGGTTAAAGAGTCTCAAGCTGTGCTCTCGCTTACTAACGACGAGCTGACTAACTTTCCACGTTCTAAATCTCTTTATATCATTGTCCTGGAAAGTGGAATGTGGACATTATGGGGCTTATGACCAGATTGTCGCCCCAGCCCGCAATCCTGCTGAGTGTAATGATATTATGAAGGTAGCTTGGATCCTTAAAACGCATAAGAATCACCAATATCAATAGGAGATTAAAGATCTAGACTCACACCCCGCCCCCTCTCACACTGTCCTCTCTCACTGTTCTGCTTTGTCAAGAAAACCTGGGCCTAGTTAAACAATAAACAGCTTGAGCAACAATTCTTGAGCTTGCTAAAAAAGCTTGACTATTTTCGTCTTGGAGCAAATAGCAAATACTCCCCAAAACGATTGATGCCCTTTTTATAACTCAACTATTTGTTCCGCGAAAATGTATTCATTGATGGTAATGAAAACGTTTTATTCAGGTTAAATTAATAAGAGTAAAAGGAACTATATCCGTCTATCTGTTAATTTAGTCCATGTGCATTGTGCATGTACTCCAACGGGGCATATTGAGAACTAAAATTATTTTGTTGCAGGATGAATATGAATCTTTCAATCAAATTGTGTATTGTGCAATTGTTACTCGCTTTTCTTGTGGTCACTCTATCACAGTTAACAGGTGAGCTAGTCGTCTTATGATTAAATGCGATATTTTGTATCTATTAAAGTATTAATAATTAATATCATTAATAATTAGAAACTTCGATTGAGAGTAACGTCAAATTGGAAGTAAAATGTATCTATCTGATATTGGTTATAAAATATTATCGTTTTAGAGCCAAAGTCAGAGATAGCAGAAATAACTGTAACAACAGTGACACAAGGAGGCGCTATCCAGACCAACGAAGAGGCAGCAAATGCAGTGGATAAGGACCTGTCCACAGAAGCTGTATCTACCACTGCTGATGGAGCAGGCTGGTTGAAATTAGAGTTTGGTCAAACCTATTTCATTCACAAGGTCGTTATTTACTACAGATTCTACACTGATTGGTATGACCCAGATAACTGGTGTGTACAAAGTGAAAAACGTTTCAAAACCTGTGTGGATGATCATCAAAGTACAGATGTGTCAGTGTACCAGGGAGAAGTGAAACAGAAGTCTTGTGGAACACTCCAACTGACATACGGACTGAAACAGGAAGATCAGATCTACACACTAATCTGTAACAGTAAAAAGGGCGACTCTGTGAAACTCAGTAAGACAACAGGAAAAGTGGTGGTATTCGAGGTTGTTGTGGTCGGAACAGGTATTTCAATAAAATTACTTGTAAATTGAATGCTAGAAACTCTTCTCATAGTATTGCACATAACATCGTTTCCGCAATCATTCTCAAAGGTGTGTAAAAAGAGTCAATTAACAGTAACTTCCTAGTAGAAACAAGCAATTTGGCATTTAGTAATTTTATAATTTCATATTTCAGTCCGGAGACGAGAAATATTCGAAATAACTCCAACAGGAGTCACACAAGGAAGCACTTCAGATGAAAGTTATGCAGCAAATGCAGTTGATAAGGATCTCTTGACAGTAGCAAGAACTGACCCTAATAAAGGAGCAGGCTGGTTGAAGCTAGAGTTTGATAGAACCTATTTATTTCACAAGGTCGTTATCTTCTGCAGGTTCTACACTGATTGGTATATCAATGGATTGTGTGCACAAAGTGAAGATCAGTTCAAGTCCTGTTTGAACAAATATAACAATGTGGATGTGTCAGTGTACCAGGGAGAAGTGAAACAGAAGTCATGTGGAACACTCCGACAAACATACGGACTGAAGCAGGAAGATCAGATCTACACACTGCTCTGTAACATCGAAGGGGACTCTATAAAACTTAGTAGAGAATCTGCATTTCTGTCGGTGAATGAAATCATTATAGTCACAGGTAATTACTTTTGGTCTCTTTCGTGGATCGCGCAGTTGAGCAAGCTAGCATTGCTATATTTTGGAAAACAATACTACATAATTTACGTCCCAGAGCATAGATAGCAGGCGACAACTTAATTGTAGGGTTATTTTGCATGTAATCCTCTTTTACGCGACTGATTATGATGCAGCGAACAAAATTTACATACTCAATCAACCATTAACTTAGATATCAAATCAATAAAAGATCTTATTGGCGGAGCAAAAATGCAATCATTCAACCATGCCATTAACTTATATATCAAGTCGATATAATCGCTCAGGCTAATAAAATTGATGAAAATAAACTATAAAGAACGTGCTGAATCCCTTTTAATTGAGAATAGCTTTTTACTTTAAGATAACCCTCTTTTATCACAGACCACATAAATAAACTCAATTCACTAATTTAAATTGACCGATGTATATCATAAGAATTTTCACTGTTTCGAACTTAAACGCACCTAATATATCAGTGAGTATTCTTCAGACCCTGTGTCGCTGTTCTAAATTTAAGTCAAGAGATAAGAGTTATTTAAACATTTGTAATAGTACTATCTAAATTTGCTAATGGCGTTATCATATTTATACAATATACATGTGTGCATACATTTATATTTGATTGTAATTAAAGATTTAGTGCCGAGTAATGCCTCCGGGTAGTGCTCCTCGATCAATCAATCAATCAAATAAATAGTTAATTCATCCTGTCTTAACTTTGCTTGAACGATAAACTGCCAGTTTTTCAAGTACATCGAAATTTCTGCCTTCTCTTCTTCTCGTTGTTCTCCAATAGAGCAAGCGAAGGTAAGAAAGTCATGTCCCTACACGAGAGACACAGATAAGCAAGCGGAATGGTGTACGGGAAGTACCTGCTGAACGCATCATCTGCCACCTGCCTTCGAATAACATCTGATGGTGACCCCGTCGGAAGATGCTCCTTGTAGTCACTTACAAGTTTCAGTAGGTCTATGAAGGAATGCGGATTATAACGGTTTTTTGGGTGACCAATCAGTTCTTTTAACACTCTTTTATTGAATAGTTTGTTCCAGGGAAACATGCTCTCACCTGCGACACACCGAACTTTGGACTCAATTCGTTTCCTAAAACTGCCACTACCAGAGTGTGCCTCCAATTTGACGATCTCATCATAGGCATTCTTAACATAGGTCAACCTGGAGTCCGCAATCTCAGCAACTCCACGCAGACTGACGTCCAACAAGAAGGGGTGCTTTTCCAGCAGATCACCGCTCGTAATCCTTGTAAAGGGATTCTGACTGAGGGACTCCTGTATAAGCAGTTCTAACAATATCCCGTCCACATAGTCTACACATGAGGGTCCGTGAGTGATCATGAACTTGAGGACCATTCCCAAGGAGAACATGTCCATCATTGTAGTGGCAGTGGTGCCACAGTTTGCCACAAGTTCCGGTGCCATCCACTTCAATACATCGTGATCATCTGAGAGTGGTTTTTTAAATCGAAAACACCAGAAATTATGTTCAGGTACCTGTCTGTTATCTGTGTACCAAAAGTCGGTAAGTATAAAACGTGACGGGTTAGCCAGGGGAGGTTTTACTAAGATGTTAGTTGGTTTGAGGTTTCTGTGCACTATTGACCTGCTGTGTAGATAGTGTAAACCCCTGACTATTTCTTTGACTGCGTTTTTGAACACAGGTATATTTACAACCCGGTTGAAGCCCAGTTGTGGCACGAAATGTTCAAGAGTGTGCTCGCAGAAATCCTGAATGATAAAGGTACTCGAGAAAAAGAAGTTCGATCGCTCACATATGTAAATGTAACTCGCAACGTTTGGATGCTCCAAACTTCGCAAAATCTCCCAATCTACCTTTTCTGACACAATTTTGGAGTTAATTTTTTTCACCAGCACACGCTTTGGCTTTTCTTTGAACTTCTTCATGAAGACAGCCCCAAATAAGGAGGTAGACACCCCATAGACCCCTTCAAACACTACTGTAGACAACGGTCCCGTACCAAGCTGATTAGAATAGTTGGTCACATAGTTGATGTTGATCTGGTGGGGCATCCTTCATGAGTCACTAGAGGATGAAACACAGTTTATCAAAGGAAACATTGTCAGATGCAGAAAATAGCAAAATAGTGACCATCACCCGAGTGATGTATAAGACAATACACTACGATAACGGTTGCAACATAACCTGTAACACTGCAACGTATTGTTCTGACAGTAGGTGAATGTACTTTTCTGGTACCTGCACGGTACGGTCCCACATGGAGTTGCGGGACATGTTCCTGGCTAGGATCCGACCGGTTATTTTTTCATAATTCAAAATTATGAAACAATCGTCTCGGCTATCGGGAGTTGGATATTACGATTCGATGCAGAGGCTACATGTAAATTGTACATGCGGTAATATTTTGTAAATAGTGTGATCCCGCATCTACCCACAACTTTTTTATGTGCGGCAAACTTGGAGAAAATACTCTTTTTTCCAATTGCAGAACTTATTTATTTCGCACCATTCGGCGTTATCCGCACTTTCGTTTTTTTAAACGAAATTGGCGAACCTTTTGACACAATTCTCCACAGTTTTGTTTTTCAATCTAAAAAGTTCTCATATTTTTGCCCTGCTGCATGCAATGACATGAGATCGATAATCGATATGATATAACTACTAATTGATATTACAAGTAAAAAACAAGAGATAAACGTGGCTGCCAACGAACAGCTCATCAATGCTGATCGCAATCCCCAACAGATTCAAATTGTATCAATTTAGTCACGACTAGATGTTTTAGTTATAAACAAATGTATCAGAAATTCTATGTGTGTAATTCTGTAATATATCAGCTGTCATTTTTGTGAAATATTGTCCTTGAGCGTTCTATTGTCTTAAACTGAACAATCGTGTGATAGTACAATACAACGTTATTATATACAGTTACAGATTAGCCTGTCTAATCTGTACTAATAATCCCAATAAATCTGTGGGTGTCTGTGTACGTGTGCAATTTTCTAACAGTTTAATCAAGAAAACGGTAAGAGTTATACGACTGGTGTTTTCGGTATAGTTTCGACAAAATTTTGACGAAGCCAATAAGCAAATTTTTAAAAATCGGCCGGTGGTAAGTGGTTTAAATTTAATCGATGGTTTTGTACCCCAAATGTGATACTAAAAGACTAAAGTGCCTCACTTTTTCTCCCCCTCTCGCACACTCTCGCACACTCTCTCTCTCTCTCTCTCTCTCTCTCTCTCTCTCTCTCTCTCTCTCTCTCTCTCTCTCTCTCTCTCTCCCCCATTTAAGCATTTACAGCTCCCTTAATTACTGCTTTGTGCATAATTAGGTAATTATGTGGCAGTGGAGACTGGAGACTATTAAGTATTACTATTGGATAAGTATTACGTGTTGGGCGCTCAGAATTAAATTTACTCTAATGCAGCCGGTTTCGACTGAGCGAGTTCATACTTTTGCACTGTTTATACTTTTGCAATTCAACTGCGATAGTGAAGTCCCGGCCGAAGGCACGGGTTACACTAGTAGAAGAATAATCTTCAAACTTTGCCGCTCCAATCTCCATCCTTTCAATTGATAATTAACACGATCTGCCCCTTTGTCTAATGTCCATGTTATGCAAAATATGTACAAGTACTACAGTACCAGAGAGTGAGAGAGAGTGGTAAAGGAATTTCACATGGAAATTATATAGTTTGTAGTTAAAGTATCTTTTTGTACTTTACAACCCCGTACAAATGCTGCAAATCGTTAATCAATAATTATAATCTCTTGTTATAGATCACGATATTATGTATTTCGATAATTGAAAGTTTTCGTTATCTTTAATGTAACTATATTATCTAAATATAAATTGATAAAAAGTGTAATTAATAAAATATGTTCAATAATGTGTGTTTATAATTATGGTACATTGTTATTTATTATATTTATATTTTAGGCTGTAACCTTATTAATTCAATAAAATAAACCTAGCATGCCTTGGTTGCAGCATCGCTTCACTTATAGGTGCATACTGCATATAGAGCCCGATGTAATTGCTATGACCAGTTTACTGGTCAACTGGTGTTTCAGTTTCCCTAATTTTGTTTACACTCGGTTACTTGCCAAGGCATGAAAGGTCATTCGGCGAAATTTTCTTTGAAATAAAATTATGTATTTGTGTAACAATTTGAAAGTTTATTGATAAAAAAGTTAACACCTGTTAATCAGACAATACTTTGAACTATCATTGTGAAATCAGGGCGATGTTGAGAGAGGAAGAAAACGATGGCAATATTGTTGTTAAAGCCAATCATAAGATTAAAAGAATATTATAATATAATAGAGATAAATCGTGTAAAACTAATTACAACGCTAAAAATCATGCCTTAAGAAAAGTTTAGTGTGCAGACAACAAAAAATGGTGTGCAGCTAGGATTCATATCAGTTTGTCCACAAAAAATGTGGATGTTCAGTTAGCATTGCTCTTGCGCAGGCAACAGGGTTCTGGTTACCAGGTTAAAGTTTTTTCCATCCATGCTTCAAATCTATTACATTAATTGAGGTGATACTCCCTTTTTGATGGCCGTAAAAAGCAGAAACTAGTCGAGCCACAAGCGGGTCGCATTGAGATACGACGTTTTCATGTCTACATGACTACCATCAATCAAAAAATATACATCGTAAATTAAAAGAATATACATCGTATCGTCCCTTTCGAGGTGCAATATGTAAATTGTGTCATAGTTATATTTATTGAATTAATCCTAAAAACAAAACTGTCCAGCATTATAAAACCAGATTTCCAAATTTTAAAATCTGAAACAAAAAATTCCCACACCTACATTATATACATTGTGAAAATGTTGACTGTGAACAGACACATTTTCAGAGATTTCATCCACGGTGTTATAGTTCCACCATTGAACGTTCTGAAGATTTGTGACTTTGCACTTATTACTTAATGAACCCACAAGTTACTTAAAATTATATCTCTCTCAAATTATTGGTGAGTTATGTATAAGAGAGCCAGTATAAACAAGTTTTTCAATTTATCTTAGTTCCAAGAAGAGGTTTTCCAAGTTTCAGAACTTTCAGAAAGTGGGGACATCCGAGAGCATGAACTTCGATGAGATTCGGTGTCGGTGCTCCTAGATAAGTTTTCAACACTGTTTTCAAAAGTCCTCTCCGCAAACACCGTCAAAGGTAGAAAAGAAGGATCAAGCCGACAGTCTATACAAATATAAACTAAAGGGATAACATGCGGATAACTCCTGCTGAAGGCATCAGAAGCAACTTTGTTGAGTAATTCGTTATATTTGCCGCCACCTACAGCTGACAGAAACTTCTTGGAGTACCGTATGAGTCTTATCAAGTCAAGAATCGAGTTGGGGTCGAACGGTTTTTGTGAGATTCTGTTCATTACTTGGAAAATTGTTCGGTTGAAGGAGTTAGTGGATTGAGCAGAATCGTTCCAAGGATAAATTTCGCTACCGAAAATGCCGAGAGCCTTGGAGTCAATCTGTTCTCTTAACTTGTCCCTGCCAGAGTTTAATTCAAGTTTTAAAATCCGGCTATAGCCCTCTTTTATATAAGTTAACCGAGCCTTAGCAACACCCCTAACGTTTCGTTGGTTTGATCCAATCAATAAAGGATGGAATTCTACGATATCTCTAGATACTATCCTGTGGGATGGTTTTACACGGACAGTTTCCTGAATAAGAAGCTTGAAAAGATAGTCATCCACTGCGTCCAGGGGCAGTGGTCCTTGAGACTGGAGGAACTCGAGGATCATTCCAAACGAGTACATGTCCATCATGGGGGTAGCGGACTTTTCGTTGTTTCCGCTTATCAGCTCAGGGGCCATCCAACGCAGAATTTCAGGGTTATCCTCCTCTGCAACAGACGAACAACAGAAACAGCAATTGCTCTTCTTAGGGTGGCGTTTGCAGTTGGAATACCAGAAATCAGTGAGAACAAACCCAGCGGGTAACGCTAATGGAGGCTTTACGAGAACATTAGAGGGCTTCAAGTTCCTGTGTACAATGGGATTAGGGGTCTGTCCGTGAAGGTAATTTAAACCCTCAGCAATGTCTTTAACAGCACTTTTAATGACTTGACCTGTCAGCCAGTTAAAATTTAATAGCTGTGCTAGATGATTGAGAGTGTATTCGCAGAAATTCTGAGCAATGAAAACCCTTGAAGAACAAAGACGGGCATCCTCACGAACGAAAATGTACGTGGCCACATTTGGGTGGTCCAGGCGCTGGAATCTCCACCAATCAACTTCAGCTGAGACAATTTTAGCATTTATCTTCTTGATCAAGATACGTTTGAGCTCGTGTTTTGAAAGATCGTCTCGTTTAACACTTTTGTTCGGATCTAGGCCATATAATCCGTCGTAAACTGAGGTCAGAAGGGGCCCTGTGCCTAGCTTCTTCGTGAACTCCATTACATAGTCTACCTTCAACTTCCTCATTTTCGTTAACCTACACTTTACGAAAGGTTTATGGTAAGAATAGATGAAAAACTGTCAGAAAGATCAGCCACGAAAAAGTCTAAATGAAAAAACTGGAGAGTCAAGATAAGTTGGTATAGTAATAGTTAATAATAATAGTTAATAGTACTAGATGTTTACAGTAGTATAATTTGAACAGATATTTCAAATAGGGTTGGTCATTTGAACAAATAATTTCCACACCCGAATGACAAACAATGTGCTCAGCTGAGAACGAACTACACTAACGGAATCATTTATTAACAAAGAAAAAAACCAGCTCTTTGTTCCGTCGTGACTTTTCATCTCCACAACATCAAACATTAACAGTCTATCGTTATTGTCGATGTGATACAAGCTCGCTCCCTTTTACACGTAAACGTTATGCTAATGATATTTTGATGCGGTGATCTGCCAGCTAGTACAGACGACTGAGCTATTGTTCAGGGACCCAAGTGTTGTATTACATGACACATCAGATGTGGTTACGTTCTCCTGGATAACGTGTCCTCTAGTTACTTGCCGGGGACGAGGTTTAGGTTTCATAAAACACACTTTCAGATTAGTTTCGAGCTCTCTCACATTTGGAAACAGTCGTGGTTGCCTTGAGATGTCAGTTCAAGAAGGGTTGGAAGCAAGACGAGGGTTGGAAGCAAGATACACAACAAACTTCCCCGAAAATAAACTTTTATTAATTATAATGATAATAAACGGTGTTTAAAGCACTATTGTTAAATATTAAGTGACACTTATACTCAGTAGTGTGAAAAGATCTACACTCAGTTTGTTTTATAAAGACGCGCTTTATAAAGACAATACCTTCAAATGAACAAAGATTAAAAACGGCAAGGCTTCAAAATTGACATATTAAAGACGCCACAACAGGTCTGAAAATAGATAGGATGTAATAAAGCACATTTCACACTCTGACCTTACTTCTACCAGCAAATTTAAAGACGGGTTTTGATGAAATAAAGACGGCGAAGCCTTCAAAAAGTTCGCCAAAGTTAACCGTCTTTATATAACGAACTGAGTGTATTTTGAGGCCCAAATACTAAGATTCAAATAAGATGTAAGACCGAACAAACACAACTACCAGTTTTAACTTAAAGTTTTGTTTTTATTAACTCTCAAAACTGCACTGTGACATACTTTATATCAGTAAATATACCCATTAAACTGATTACATCCTAGAAATCGAGTTTCTCCAAATCATATTTAATTGTACAAAATTGAATGAAAATGTTTTTAAACAAATTTTTAACATATCCACTGTATAACTATAACACATTTTAACTGATGGTGGTAGATTAATATGAAGATTAATATCTAGATGATAGTTTCAATGATAAGAGTGGGGGACTCAGGTCCCCACTTGACTTGACTTAAGGCGGGTAGTGTTCCCGAGATCCATTGACAACAGTTCTCCATAGCTTTCTGTCCTCCATCAGGCTCCCAGCGTGCTATTATCAGGGGTGGTGTTTCTTGTGACGACGACCACCTCCTCGTCTCCGCAAGCTGGGTCCACCACCACCTCTACTAGACGCCATTAGAAACACACCACTATCCTCACGTTCCAACTCCGCAGATACAGGTCCGGCAACTTGTGATCCTGCCATACATCTCTTCTCTATTTCTTCTGCACATATGCTTCTATTGAAGATAGGTGACGGTACAAATGCACTGTCCAAACTACAGTCAAGACAGATATATAGGAAGGGTATGATATAAGGAAAGTTCTTGCTGATAGCATCGTCTTCAATCTCATCTAGCAGGTCAAGATTATCTTCACCGGTAAGAGGGTGCTTCCTAAAGTTCCTTACCATTCTGAGCAAGTCAAGAAAAGAATTATCATTGTACGGCCGCTTGGTGTGTTTGTTCATTTCAGTGTACATTCTATGACTAAAGGAACCATGTTCATCTGAACCGCTCCACGGGAAAATGAGACTACCGTTGACAGTAATAGAGCGGATCTTGGATTCCATCAACTGGATCATATCAACCCTATCTGACTCATTTCCTATCAGCTTTATAATTCTATCATAACCCTCTCTGATGTAATCAATCCTGATGTCAGCAGTGACAGTAACATTTTTGTGAGCAGGTACGATAACTAGGGGGTGTTTCTCCAGCACAGCTCGACTTGTTATCCTGCTGGAGGGTGTTAGACGCACTGTCTCTTGGATCAAAAGGCGGAACAGAAAACTGTCCACTTTGCAAAGTGGTAGGGGACCTTGGCAAAAGAGATACTCCAGTATTCGTCCGAACGAATACATGTCCATCATTGGGGAGGTGGTTTTGGAGTCGTCGTTTAGGAGTTCTGGTGCCATCCACTGTACGATCTCCGTGTTGTCAGGAACTTGCGTTTTGAAGCAACAGCATGCACTGTTATTCTTGGGGACAGCCCTTACGTTTGTGTACCAAAAGTCGGTTATAATGAAACGAGATGGGTTATCCAGTGGTGGTTTTATCAAGATATTAGATGGTTTCAGGTTCCTGTGGACTATTGATTTACCATGCAGATAGGTCAATCCTGCAGCTATTTCCTTGACAGCGTTCTTGACGACGCCACTGCTCAACCAGTTGGACTGGAAGAGGGATCCTAGCTGTTGGAGGGTGTTTTGACAGTAATCCTGCACGATGTAGGTTTGCGAGGAAAACAAGCGGGACTTTTGTGAAATAAATGTGTAAGAGGCAACATTTGGGTGGTCTAAATATCTCAGAGTTTCCCAATCTACTTTATTTGATAAAATCCGGGAGTTAATCTTTTTAATGAGCACTTTTTTGGAGCCACTTTTGGAAAGTCCCTGAAATTGAAGTGGAGCGTATGTACCTTCGTAGACGACTGTCATTAGCGGCCCGGTAGCTACTTCTGCAACTATGTCAACGATGTAGTCGATCTTTATCTGATTACGCATACTGAAGCTACAGTTACCAAAGTGAAAGTTATTAGAATAGTTATATTTGCAAATAATACTCACAACGGAAAAGTTATGTTATTCTTACTGTAATAGTGAATTAAAATCAGCACCGAATACAAGGGGTAATATAAAACGTAAACGATTCGACTACGAAATTCTCAGAAATCCATGATACGGAATACCATGTGGCGCCTTATAAAATATATATAAAATATTATCAATGTTATTGTATGGAACGTTTCTCCATGTTCAAACGGGTCAACAAGCGACAGCAACAATATTTGAAAAGAAAAGCAACACCCCGCCAAACTTTCCATGTGTGTAACCGCACATGGATCGATGTTTTGTCCACACTAATTTCAAATATAATAAAGAAGAAACACAATTAGACTTTAATCGATTAGATGTTTCAGGGGAATAAAAACTATAAAGATTGATAGTTGTATGGCGTGTAGGTTAACAGGTTAACGACCAATTGTGATGATTAATCTAGTGTTCTTTACCACATTGTTAATATTTACATTGCTACTAACAAAAACTAAGCGTATTCTGGGTACTGGATAATGATCACAACACTTTATATTTGTGCTAGAGAGGTTTGATGAGGAAAATTAGCTAAAAGCATCAAATAAATGACCGAGAGTTCAAACTGGTCGCTTTAAAAACACATTTATATATTTTTCAGAGTTTACATAATTCCACAATTTGTGGCTTTAATAACGTCTGAGATACACATTCTCCAAAATATAAGATGACCAACTAACCTAGACTCTCAGTGGATCCCTTGATAGCAGGAGAGACAGCCTCTACCATAGGAGCAAACTCAGTGGTGACTGTGATGCTGGGGTTGGAGGACCCCACCTCGTCTTCTACCAGAGCATGCTCTTCTTCTCCGTCCTCCTCTACTTCGTCCTGTGAGTGGATTATAAACTTTACTACGTTAATACACTAAGAGTGACTCCAGGAAACATATTGTCGTCGCACCTTTAGGAATCATGTTCATAACAGAATGTTAGAATGTTGATTGTCGATAGTTAGAATGTTAGAATGTTTATTGTTGATTACTCCATACCTGAGTATCTATTTTAAGGGCTGGTTCGTGTTGGCTGACTGAATGCTCTGATCCCACAATATCACTTCCTCTACTTTTCCTCTTAGAACTCAGCCGAGATATACTGTAGGGGAATATCTTATCAGTTTCTGTCATCACTCAGAAATTTAGGTAGACCATACAAAATTAGAAATATATTGTCCCTTTAGAGTTCAAGGATTTTATATTCCTAAATTCTAGAAGCACACATACTTCCTCTTGATGCTGAAGTTTTTGAGTAGATCATTGTAATGAGAGAGTGTTTTCTGCTTGTCCCTCTTCCTGGCTCCTGATCGCTGGGGGAAGGTGGTGAACCATTCTCCTGAATCTCTACCTTTAGTCTTCTTTTTACCTGTAGGCGGCTTCTTCGGCTTACAATCTGAAATTAATCCAAGGAGAATATTACATCACGAGTAAAAACTCTTATAAATTATAAAGTCCTGTTTAAAACATCACCGATTGTTCATAATAAACACCAGGTAACAAACCTGCAGGAGATAAGCCCCCGAATCCCTGACTGTGTAGGAGCTCGCTGACATGTTTCCTCTTGTCACTCTGTCTGGAGGAGATGGAACTTCCAGGAGAGGTCCTACTAGAACCATCTGTACCCACCACACTTGCTCCTGACATAACAGGTGTTAAACTATTTGTGGGCGTCAACTAGTGACGTTAGTGATGAGAGGGAGTGAGAACTTAATAATATGGGTCCATATACTCCTCTGTTTACGCTTAGTTAAAGTTCATTCACATCTGCTACATCCAAGAAGTAAGCTAAGATTTAGAAACTCTAACTTACCTCTACCAAGTTTCCACGGAGTGTTACTATTAGGAGAGGCACTCTGACAGAAGTCTGGAGGAACTACAACAGGGTCAAAGTAAAAGCCGTTAACTTCAATGAGAGTGGTGTTGTTGAAGGTAACCCCTCCTACACATCCACAACCTTTGTACTCTTCAGGCATCCATAGGAACAGGAGGCACTGGTTACTGAAAGGGAGCAGTTATGTGACTGACTTGGTTAACTGAGATTTCATTTTAACCTTCTGTTGATGGATGATATCAAAGTAACAGCCGGTTAATACCCAGGCTATAGCCGGTTAATATCCAAGTTATAGCTCAGAGGCAACAAAATCGCACTATTGAGTATTGACCTATCACGGCACTTTTTTGCACCATCGGCCGTTATTCGTTCGATCAGATTTGTCATTTGTGTACTTCAATTTGGTACATATCACTGTGTACAACGAGATAAGATCTACATGCCCATAACTATGGCTTGGTTAGGATCACACGTTTTTTTTCTTGACATAGCGTTAAAAACATCGGAAAGTAGGATTACCTTTTTAAAATCAGGAAAAACGTTATAGACAGTTCGTTATTATTATCATTATCATATAGCAAGTTGCATTGATATTTAGTTTTTTAAAGAGGTTGAATCTTGGCAAATGAACAACTTATCAAGCTGGATCGCAATCCCTCAACAGATTGAAATTGAGTCAATTCATTTTAGTCACGCTAGGGGAGGGGGGGGGCCAACGCCCCAAAAGGCCCCGATTTCTAGGGCCCTTTTTGGATTTTCGATATGTGTAGGGCCTTTTGGGGCCCTAGAATTAACTTCAATTAACTTAATGGCGAGTTGTGACATTCTCACCGACCTCACTGATTGGTCACTGTTCGAAAATTAAGTCTAAACTGCGAGACGGTAGAATAGCTTCTCTTCAAGTTTGCTGCTACCGCGTAGTTAGCCTTTGCGTGTGTACTTGTACATTCCTATACAAGTACACTATGGAGGATGATCGTAAGGTGACCCAATCTCTGGACCAAATTCAAGGATTCGAGTATGATGAACAGACAAAATTGAAGGACAGTGTTACTAAGTGGTTCATTGCGCTGGGAAAAGAACTGAAAATCGACGACAGAGATATTTGTGGAGATATGGACAGAGAAATATTTATGGCTCCAACTGTCTATAAAAAGCATCTGGCACTTCGGCTTGTGGAAGCAATAGACCTCGTTCAGCGGCATGAATGCCAGATGGGTAAAATGGAGGAGATCATATATTTCTTGAAGACGGAAGCGTTAGAAGACAAGGATAAGGTGATCAGGCTGCAGGGCCAGCTGCAGGTGCAGAAGGACAAAGAACTACAGTTCTTTAAGACGTCGGTTAAGGAGACAGTGAAAACAACGGTGGAGTCAGGGATTAAGAGCTACAGTGCAGATGTACAACAGAACAGTGCAAGTGGTACGGTCTGCAACAGTAACATCCTGGAGAAGGTGATGAAGAGTGTGGCTGCAGAGGAGGACAGGAGCAAGAACCTGATTGTGTTTGGGTTGAAAGAAGAAGAGGGAGAACAGCTTCCAGCGCTAGTAACCGCAGTTTTGGAGGAGATTGGGGAGAAACCTCACTTCGAAGCTACTAGAGTCGGCAGGAAGAGGCCAGGTAGTACGACTATCCGACCGGTCAAGATCACTGTCCCAAGCTCAACAGCGGTTCAACAGATTCTGATGAAAACAGGGAGACTGAGGCTAGTTGAGACCCACAAAAATGTATGGATCTGTCCAGATAGATCTAGCGAAGAACGAGCAACGAGGAAACATCTGGTTACTGACCTGAAGAAGAAGAGGGCTGAACAGACTCATCTCGACCACTACATCCGGTACGGGAAAGTCTGTAGCCGTGATAAGGAACCACCATGAAGCAATTCATGTCTCTCGGACACTGATCAGTATTTGAATGAGTATTGTGTATCTTAATAGTTTTCGGACGTTATCTGTATTTGAGAGACAATTTTATAATTTATATACTCTATTTCTTGATTGTTTCACACTTCATATTTCATAATTTGTTTCACACTTCATATTTCATAATTTTATTACTAGGTGGAGGTGACGTTATTGAGACTTTGGGCGGCCATAAACCTCGTGTTTTAAAAGTTGTCCTCTGTACTTGTTTCACTGACCCACGCTTTATAGCATTTATACATTTCGGCCCATTTTATATGTTTGTTCGATTTGCTGTACATTTGTATATTTGCTATTTTGTAAAAGTTTCAAATCAAATCATCAAGTTTGATAATGTGTGTAATCAGTGTAGCTTGTGTTGCAAATATCGAGCTCTCTTATCTTTTGTAAATTTGCAATAAGTTCAGTTTGCTGTTACCGCGTAGTTTACCTTTGCGTGTGTACTTGTACATTACTATACAAGTACACTATGGGGGATGACCCAACTTTGACCCGATCCCAGGAGTTGATTAAGGAGTTCAACTATGATCAACAGGAAGATGTGGAAGGCTGTGTTGCACGCTGGTCCGATCAGTTAGAAAAAGACCTGCATATAGACTACCGTGAAATCGACTACGATAGTCGTGAAAAGATCAAGACAAAGGATAAACAGACTCTGTCTGGCTGGATTGTGGATGCAGTGGACCTTGTTCGTCGGCAGAGTAGTCAGATGTATCTCTTGAAGGAGATCATCGAGTGCTTCAAGACGGAAGCACTAGCAGACAAAGAAAAGGTGATCAGACTGCAGGGCCAGCTGCTGATGCAGAAGGACGAACAACTACAGTTGCTTAAGACGTCTGTTGAGGAGACAGTCCAAACAACGGTGGAGTCAGGGATTCAGAACTATAGTGCAGCTGTTCAACAGAACAGTGCAAGTGGTACGGTCTGCAACAGTAAAATCCTGAAGAAGGTGATGAAGAGTGTGGCTGCAGAGGAGGACAGGAGCAAGAACCTGATCGTGTTTGGGCTGAAAGAAGAGGAGGAAGAACAGCTTCCAGCGCTAGTTACCGCAGTTTTGGAGGAGATCGGGGAGAAACCTCACTTCGAAGCGACTAGAGTCGGTTGGAAGAGGCCAGGTAGTACGGCTATCCGACCAGTCAAGATCACCGTCCCAAGCTCAACAGCGGTTCATCAGATTCTGATTAGGCGAATTGTTCAGCTTATAATTGCAGTGATTTTTACCAAATTTGTCGCACATAAAAAAGTTTTGGGTAGGTGCGGAATCGCGTTATTAACAAAATATTACTGCACCTACATGTTGTCTCTGTAACAGCCAGGTTATATCCAGATTATACCCGGATAAAAGCCACCGTCCATCATATGGTTAATATCGAAACTAGAATCCTTATTTAAACTCACATTTTATCGTGACACTTGAGGAATTCTCTCTGTTCCTCCTTGTACTGACAGGGATCCCCAAGTCTCTTGTTAACATCAAACATGATGGGAGGCAGGGAGAGCACTCCTGCTTCCAGCCACTGGGACTTGTTTTCTAATTCTACCTTGTCTTCTTCGTGAGGTAACCTGGTGTCACGTGTCAGGTTTATACTTTGTAGACAAGTTCAGCTCGAACATATTACATCCTTGGTATAAAATAAACAGTACAACTATCTCAGTTCACTTATTATATTACTCTTTAAAGAAAGTTAAAAGGAGCGTTTACCTGACGTATTGTGTAACATCAGCCCCCTGCACACACAACGTAACACCCAAAGTAGTGGTCTCGTCATGCGCGTTACACAGCGCCACACGTATAGACTTAGTAGCGATGCTGCATGCGCAACCCGCCTCTACCACGTACAGATCAGTGCGCGCTATCGACACTTTTATCATCAGGTACTTTAGATCGTCTGTTTTCAGTTTCTTCTGCTGACTCGTTTTTAACCTGTTGAGACTGTGTGTTAGATTCCTCTTATCATGTCATGTTGACATTTTTAATATTTACTGTTTTGTTATACATAATAAGATAATATTACGGATTAGCATATTTTTGTGCAGAAAAGCTGGAAATATGCCAATATACATGTATATGACATGATGTCTGAATAAGTACAATATGGCCCAAAATGAAACTAACAATAAATTTAAAGAAAACAACAAAAGTCTAAAAAGAAAGCACAAACTTGAAGTTATGATACTCTTTAATAGCAGAAGATCCATCCGTCTGCACGGTCTCCTGTACGTGGTGGGACGCGCTGTGCACTCTCTCTATATTTATTTGGTGTTCTGTTATTGGCATCTCGTTCTCACGGTCCAAACTCTGGAGAATTTACTTTGTTTTAATCGTTCTAAAAATATACAAGTAGGCGGAGTGATCTCTTAAGAAGTTAACTAACCTAACACAAATTACTGATTTATTCAACTCTTTCACTGAAACTACAGACGAAAATTCGCAAGATTTAAATTGCAAGATTAAACATATCCTTGTGTTAAAAACTGCCAACACCTAACCTGCCACAGGAATATCTCCAGCCAGTGGACGAGTTGTTGAATGTGGGGGACGGTTAGTTTGCCTACCAAGGCTCCTGTCGTTACTTCGACCAGAAAACCGTACTCTAGGAAATCAAACGGGTTCTTTGGGTTGTTTATTCCTGAAAACAAATTGAGATATCAATTGTTGAAATTGATGTGACTTGGATGGGAAAAGGATCTATCACTTTCTAATAAGCCTAGATTGTAATTAAATAAAGATAAGTTCAAATAACATTATTTCATATATAATCTGAAAGTGGATATTAAAACTAAAAGTACGAACCAACACCACTATACAGCCCACACATGAGGACGCTAACTCCCTGTAACTGCAGGAAGCCATGTGCCAGATGCATGTCCAGAGTGGAGCGTTTAAAAGAGTCGCTGAAGAGGAATGTGATCGGGGAGATTGTAAGCTCCATCTTGGCCTCCTGGCGTGTCTTTACCAGTTCAAACACTATACCGTCTATCTGGAGCAGGGGGTTTTAATAGAGATGATATCAGTGAACTCACTGACTACATGATCGTAGTAAGGGTTCGTGGTCGTAAGGAAGCGGATTCAATAGTGCTTTTACAATTTAGAGGCACCGATAAAGAGGAAATATTGCTGAGTAGTCTTATCCCCGGGAATTAAAATACTAGGATCATAAAAGTTGCCCAACAACCTATGTATTATTATTAACAATACCTGTGCTATAGGAAGCTTTATCTGCACGTTAGGCTCGTCACAATGTCTGGGGAACTCTCCCAGGATATCTTTAACAATAACCTTACACGTGACATCTAGATCGTAGATAGGGCACTAAAGAGAGAGGGACAGTTACAGTTTTATATTTGCATTTATGAGTCTATCAACTGTAGGTATTTTAGCGACACAGTATTTCAAATTAGGGAAGAACTTGATATCGATGTATCAGAGATTCGAGCAATGATGGTATTTTTAGATTTGGAAATAATCTGTAACATAAACAATTTAATTCAGATCTAACAAGCTTTAAAAATTAAAGATGATTTGTAATTTTAAACGAAGGAATTCTAAAAGATCTTAAATCTGTTAGCTTACCTCCTTGGTAGGCCTCTTGACCCGGAGGTTCTTGTTCTTATCAATAAGGGCTCTGTTGTACAAGTACGCTAGTGGTGTACACTTGTCATCATAACCAAAGTAGTTGTCTTTGAAGAACCAGAGATGACGGAAGAAGACACCGTGGAGGCGGATAACTGAAGGTCCCAACATCACCTGTAGTTTACGGGAGTTACCCAGTTAATTCCCACTTATAATGGGACTTATATAGCTCTTATAGCTGGAAGTAGTTAACAAATTAATAATCTCTGCATTCTTTATCGTAAAATTATAAAACTCATCCAAGTCAGCAAGAAAGTAAATAGTTAACATACCTCAAAAAGTAAATAATTAACATACCTCAAAAAGTAAATAATTAACATACCTCAAAAAGTAAATAGTTAACATACCTCAAAAAGTAAATAGTTAACATACCTCAGCAAGTAAATAGTTAACATACCTCAAAAAGTAAATAGTTAACATACCTCAAAAAGTAAATAGTTGACATACCTCAAAAAGTAAATAGTTAACATACCTCGACCCCGAGATGGTTAGTTTTGTCCTCAGAAGCGAAATTGTAGTTGTAGCCGGGTCTCTCGTAAGGTAGAGCCGAGTTACTGAGGAATGTGAAGCGAAGGAACAAGTCCTGAAGTGACCAGCACTCCTCCCATCCCTCCAAATCATGTGCAGTCTAAGGGGGAGTATGTGTTAGTGGACAAGTTGTGCACTGTGGAGTGGGAGGGGATGGCAAGGGGGCCGGGGCGTTTATTTACTGGACAATGGCCGAGTAAGCAATAATCGTGATCATATATTAAGGGGAATCCCAAGCTATTTTAGTGAACAAGGACCCAGTAAACTTGATCTTATATTAAGATCCTTCCCAAGCTATGACAAGCTATGTACTGACCACGTTTTTGTCTTTGTTTGAGCTCCCAGTTTCCTCCCCTACTCTGTCAACGTGGGCTCGATCCAGCCAAGCTGGCACTTTGCCCATATTAAACTGCTTCAAACTGTCTCGTAGAGTATGGTACTTCGGCAACCAGATAGATCCAGTTATATCTTCAGCCTGAGAGAGTTTTTCAAGGTTACGAAATTGCCAATAAAATAGGAGGATTTTCTAATTTTTATGTTTTTAGGTATAATTTTGCATCTTTAATCTCTACAGATCGCTCATAGAAAATATTCAAATTGTTACGTTTCGTATCACTCACGTTGAAATCAAATCTGACTTCTGTAGTTGCAGGTTGATAGTTGGTCCATGGTAGTTCGAAGTGAACATCCAGCATCTCACAGTGCAGACCAAAAAATACTGAAAAATAATCGGGTCATTCAGTTGTTATTTACATTACTCATGCTACTCGTAACCACTCACTCTATAGCTCATAGTGATAGTGGACAAGTGGCTTAATAATTCACGTGCTCGTCTTGCTACTAGGGCTTGTCGATATAATTTGCACAACGAGTGTTTGTATCTAACATCTTCCATAAGTTTCATTCTAAGTTGTATACTAGTACAACCAGCCTTGGATCGACTGACCTAAACAACGATCTTATTAAAATCTACCCACCAGTTTCTGAGTTTTCTATCCTATTCTGAATGCAATCCACCCAATTGTGCTGGGAGACAGGCAGGACAATTAGAGCATCAGTAAACTTGAAGTCAAACCTCCACACATACGGCACAAAAGTGAGTAGATCAGGCTGAATTACTGGACTCCAATCATCTGAAATTATCGTGCGGTTACAATAGAACTTAATTCTAAGCATAGTCTAACCAGTCAACAAAGAGGCCATAGGAAGTACCTTAAATATATTGCAGTATTGTACATCATCAATTTAAATCTTAAAATAACTAATGGTGCTGGACACCCCACTAATTGAGAAAATGTAGGCCACAACCCAATAGGGCCGCTTACCCAGAAGGTCGGTGAGAAAGGCGATGAGGTCGAATACGAAGTGTACAGTGGGTCTACTGACACTGAAGAAGTCACACTCCCAGGACTGCCGGTGATGCCATACACGAGGGTACTGGAACTGGAATATAGCCTGAAATACGTGCATTTATAGTGATCAGAAATACGTGCTTTTATAGTGGCAGGAGTACGTGCTTAGGGCAGGACACTATGTCCGGAAATAGACTTTTGATTGAGAGTTTTACCACCTATCTTGTTAAGTTTTAGATCAGACTAAAATCAAAACTCATCTTACTCAGTATAGAGCTCACTCCTCGTCCAACCATACTAATAATATAACACTAACGTGAACTTCGTCAGCCTCCAGGAAGGGTCTGTAATCCATGCTAGTCTGACACTCCACTTTGTAGAGATCAGCCACTATCTGAGTAGTGAAGCCCTGAGGGCTGACTGTCCAGGGGATCTGCATCTGTACTCTACTGCCATTCGCTATGTCCAGGTTTATTGAGGAGGTCGCCTGGTGGTATGTATGGCTGGTCAAACTATTGAGGTTAAATTAGGTTTTACTATTGAGCCTTGAGGTTAAACGAGGATTTATTATTGAGGTTAAACGAGGTTTAACAATTGAGGTGAGATGATTGTGCGCTTAAAATATGCAATGAATCACACCCACCTCCTCTCTGAAGAACAGGATTGTGAGTGTAGCTTTAGCCTCGAAGTCTATAATCACATTTAGATGCTGATGTCGCCGGAGATCTCCGACCTTCAGGGGTTTTGATACCTGAAACGGGGTATGTTAAATGTTGTGAGTTGTAATTTTTGTAGTTTATTAAAATATCTGGTCTGATATAAATAGGTGTTTTAAAACGTATGAAAATTTTTGCAGTCGGAGACAGCTGCTCATGTTGAAAAAAATTGAAACCAAAGTAACGGCTGATTCTACAATCTACAAATAATCCGGAATCCGGATAAAAACTGTGCGATGCATTCAATATTTCAAGTCTGTTCAAGATGACCGAACCTCGGCTACTTTATAGTCGTAAGGGAAGAAGAACTTGTAGAGGATATCTCGTTGCCGATCTAACCATGGTCCGTAGTGAATGTGAGTTTCTCTCATGAACTTCAGGGTCATTTCCCACTCAGGGGAACTCTCTGCACTTCTCTGCAGTTTTGTTACACGGCCTGAATAGGTTATAGAGTAAATATTTAGATATACATAAGTTTTCATTAACATACATTGTTCAAGGTTTTGAACATACTATTCATTCGCTTCTTTCTCTATCGTCAGAACGTCACGAGTTTAATTTCATTACAGAACCTTTCGAAACAATAAAACAAAGAGAGAAGACGAGGGGTTTACAGCTGACCAAGCATGTCCTGAATGTACTAAATTACTAACCATGCATGTCCTGAATGTACTAAATTACTAACCAGGCATGTCCTGAATGTACTAAATAACTAACCAGGCATGTCCTGAATGTACTAAATAACTAACCAGGCATGTCCTGAATGAACTAAATAACTAACCAGGCATGTCCTGAATGTACTAAGTAACTAACCAGGCATGTCCTGAATGTACTAAATAACTAACCAGGCATGTCCTGAATGTACTAAATTACTAACCAGGCATGTCCTGAATGTACTAAATAACTAACCAGGCATGTCCTGAATGTACTAAATTACTAACCAGGCATGTCCTGAATGAACTAAATAACTAACCAGGCATGTCCTGAATGTACTAAGTAACTAACCAGGCATGTCCTGAATGTACTAAGTAACTAACCAGGCATGTCCTGAATGTACTAAATTACTAACCAGGCATGTCCTGAATGTACTAAATGACTAACCAGGCATGTCCTGAATGTACTAAATTACTAACCAGGCATGTCCTGAATGTACTAAATAACTAACCAGGCATGTCCTGAATGTATTGAATCCTGACTTCTCTGGATCTGAGAAGAGGTACCCCTGCTTCTGGCTGGGAGGGTGGAGTCTCGTACTGACCTGGTAATTTAGGAGCTGATTATTTAACAAACAGAACATGATAACAAGATATTGCTCTGGTATGCTGTTTAACAGTAGTTTAGAAATGTTATCTGTCCGAAGTTTATGATTACCTTTAAATTCAGGAGATCTGTTGAGGGTAATTCTAATTTTGTTTATCTTACTCCGTATCATGTGCATATAAGGATCTAGCTGCTGTTTCTTCTGAAGGGTTAAATACGGTCATTAAGTTGTAAATCTGGCGAAACGAGATAACATGTCCAGATAAAGCGATGGCTTCGGAAGGAGTAATGAAATACTGAGCTTACTGATGAAGGTGTGGAGTATATCGCTGTTGCTGTCTCGATATCGACAAACATCACCGTTTCTGTCAGCTTGTTTCCGACCACGAACTTTCCCTGAATGTAGAACTTTGTATAATGTTCAGACAATTTTGCACACCAAATAAATAATCAGTAATGACTTTGTCAAATGATTCCCAAGTGTATTCAAATCCCCATTATCATTTTATCCCTGTAATAACAATTTTGCAAACCTTCTGAACCTCTACTACCAGAACAGGTATGAGGTTTCTGAGACCCCATTTGTCCGGTGTGTTGTCTTCAACCACTGGCTCCCTGTTTTAATGGATAATTAGTATTAATACTAACAATCATTATTAAAATAGCAATTTATTAAAATAGCAAGTGTAAAGTTAGATACACCCAGTTTGTAAGATTGAACTTGAAGTAATCTCACGTTGTATTGGAGTCTGGATCAGGTAATCTATCTTCAGGCATTCCCACGTCCAACTCGGACTTGGCCACTTTCTCCAGATCATCGTACAAGCTAGTCCTGCAGAGTTGTTTTATCATTAGTAACGAGGGGTTACATTTCGCAACAGCTGTGCGTGTTGTCCGATGATGCGTTTATTGCTAAAATATCTACATTAGCTCACTTTACCGAGGCCGCATGTTTACAGATTTAATTACACGTTCACAGATATTAAAACAGCCATTGTTTGATGATAATATGACGTCTGTTTGACACACAGTGAGCAACTCATGGTGTCACAATACCTGTTGTATATGTGCACTTCCAGACCGTGGAGAGTTAGGAGAGCTCGACTCTGGAAGATTATGTGGTACAGCGACCACGTCTGGGACTCTGAAATATTTGGGATCAAGTTCTGTGCGGGAATTTGTGATTAACAACGGAAAATATGTGCACATTGTTCGCGTGAGAGTGGATGCCGCCGAAAATTTGTACGGGCGTTTATTTTCGGGGTTAAGTTTACGGCACCCACTTCTGCAGCTTGTTAGAAAACAAGTGGTCCATGGTGCAAGCGAATAACGAGACATGGCAGCGTTCCAAAAAAGGAATAAACGTCCAAAAGTGAGACTTATAGTCACGTGACATTTGCTTTGATGTGTCACGTGACGTTACGCGCGCATTTATAAAGCGCGCAACGCGCGTACAATAATTTCTAAAAGTACTTAGCGCGTGTCAACAATGTCGTTTTAGTCGGGGACCGAATAGAATGTCACACATTACAAGGATGGGCGCTTGTTGGACTGCTGATCTTCACTCAAGAAAAGACACTTAATCTGGCAGACAGTTCAATACACCAGCTTTCAGCAGTTGATTATAAATTTGAGCAGATTGAGAGTTCAGTGATTTGCGTGAACACAAAAGCTGCGTAACAGTGATTGTAGCAAAAAAACACAGGGAGTCACGATCTACAAACCCGGCTTTCTTCCTTCTGAGTCGTTTTCAGGTACACCTGAAGCAGCTGACTGACGCAAATATTTCACATTCTGTCACAAACTCCTAGATTTCTTTTAAATATTACATGTACGAATACTTCCCGATGAAGAATAACGATCCTAATTGAAATTCGATCGCGTGTGTTTGGGAATCGTTATCTTAGATAACGACTGCTATGTTACTATGCCAGCTACTGAACTATATGTTATGGCCGTATAGAGCAGATTGTATAAGTTGCCGATTCACTGTCACAAAAACAGGGTGGGCCACAAGTCAGTGTGCAAACGTTCGGGCTTATAATGTTTGAGACTTGTAACTTCAGATAGCTTACTGTTACTACTCATTCGATGAATCGGGGGAATAAATGGGAATGAGCTAAGGATACAAGGATACAAAAATGATAATTACATTTACTGAATTAATAATAGCGGTAATCCTGAAATAATTAACACATCACAAGCTAATGGGGTTGCTAGAGTTAGAGCTTTCAATGTTTGAGGACAAGTGTCATTCGCATTACAATTTGCCTCGATCCAAGCATCTAAAATATCTAAGAATTGCGAACATGAACCATTCCTCGAATGATTGATGATACAGGGTGGGCCAAAAGTCAGTACCCATACGTTGGCCTTAATAGCTCAGTCACTGAGTGCCCAATTGAACTAATTCTTTCTGGTATGACTTACTACCAACACTGGTTCGAGGAATTTGTCAAATCGAAACATATTCGTGTTCATTTATTTCAAATGAAGGTTCATTTTCGCATTTAGTTGATAGTTTGGATAGTCGGATCGAGCCAAATTTTATTAAATAGTGTTTGGCCATTTAAATTACGTTTGTCCTGAAAAAATGAGAGTTCTAGCTTCTCAGATGACCGAGATATGACGCATAACGAGTTTGTTCATTACTTCATTACGTGTGATCAGGTGATTGGGTTAAAGCTAGATCCGCATTATGGGAGTCGTGCAGAGAGCCCAATTACGGTGTCGTAATTGGGTAATCATTGAGTACTCAATCAATTTTGTTAACGAGATAAACAAATTGCTTGATAACTTCGTAATTTTAAATCCGTTTCGCACCATCTTTTCAGATTATATTCCGAATTAAATGACCTATTGTAATATGTTACAACGGAGTCTCTAACATGTTCACAAACACCAGTATAAGCAATTCAATGTTGATTGGGTGTGGCCTCCAAAAATCGAATTTTAGAATTTTGGTGACGGAATCCTCGAACAAGTAGGTACAGAATACCATCTGCAAAGCAACAACTCTCAAATATAAAACACGGCGGTGGTATAAGACCCAACGTATGGGTACTGATTTATGGCCCACCCTGTATAGGTATATGAAATCATCAAGCATTTGAATAGGAAAAGAATTTATTGAGAATTGCTACAATGTCCTGATATCATATCGATTCGTTATAATATCAGGACATTAATTCTCTGATCATGTATCACTTCAGAGGTGATTCACCTCTACATTAGAGGTTTAAGAATTTTAAACTTCATGACCTCAAATGTAATTCGATACTCAAATTCGATTTTTTGAGCCGTCTAGGAATTTACACCAAGTTTCTTCGACATAAAATGCCGCGGTTTTGCTTTGAGGACATACTTGAACATCTAAGTAACAAAGCACAATACATTCCATGTATCGTGATTATAAATAAACTTGTGGGAAACTAAAAGTTCAATGAGGTGAGCTAGATTTCCACTCAACTCAAAGTATAGAGCTCTCAGATAATCACATATTTACATGACATACCTCTGCTTATGTCGTCAGGGGAAAGTCTTGTGAACCATTTAAAGATAAAGGCTCCATCGACACTCCTGCGAGATAAGAGTAATATTATGTAATGAGTTGACGAGAGATACTGTACATAATTTTGACAGTAAATGTGATTCAAATGACGAAATTTTTACAAATCGTCAGAGAGACTTACCTCAAGGCAAAATCTTTAGTGATGTAACGTAATTCTCTGAACATGATCTTGCCACCAAGTATTGATACACTGATGGAACCTGTGTAATAACACACGTCAAGACTAAAAGTACAGAATTGGCAGACAAAAGCTCGAAATTACGATATAAAATTGTAATAGAAGTACAATAAAAGTTTGCATTTTAAAGGCAGCTTTTCGCAGCTTTATTTATATCACTTTAATACATAAATTTTAAATTCAATCATTATTTCGTTGACAGTAATATTTTATTTGCGAGTGTTATGAAAAAAAAATGTACATAATAGGTGAGATGGTGAGATCCAGATGCACCAAGAATTTGAACTAAAATGACATACCGAATTTAACCTCAGCATCTTTGATGTATCCAAGTTGACGAAGTATCCAAGTACACAAGAGACCCTGTATTCGGGAGTTATAAAATGCAATGTAAGCGAGCCATATACTGGAGATGAGAAGGGCTATTATAAGTGTTGGAGTCACCATTATAGGATCCTAACACGTGACATCACGTGACATCAACATAGTTTCTTTCCCGCCAATAAGAGGTCTTCTCTGTTGATGTGGTTCTATTTCATCGTTACATTCTTGGAATAATGTTGTTAGGTTAACTATTACAAGAAGTTGTTAGTGTAGTGTAATGAAGGTTAGATACATAATCAGTACAGAAAAAAATGGTATTTTTGAAATTTGTTAAAGAAGAAGTAAAACACAGTGGTAAGAGATTAAAATTCGGTGAATAAAGTTATAAAATAAAAGTAAATGTCGATGAAAATAAACTACAATAATAATCAAATAAAAACCATAACTTATTAACATGTGCTGCCAATTAAATTAGTCATCAAATTTGTGTGTACAATGTATAAAACTGTGTTTTGATCTTAACTGGATGCTCCTGCTGCTATCAATGAAGGCATGACATCCTCAGGAGTCTCCGTCATTTCATCGATCCCGTATAAATCTGAGACACTAAAATTACCAAAACAATCCTCCGCATCCTCCCCAGTCTTCAAGAACAAAGCTAAAGCTTCAGCATGCTCACTCCTAAAATGTTCTTTAAGCTTGTAAATAGTCCTGAACCTAATTAAACACGTTTTACACGTGTTAATATCAATAGTAGAGCAGTCATTGTCTCTCCTGTGTTTAGCCAGGCCGTGTTGTGTCCTAAAATCCACCCCACACCGGGGACACGAATACAGTCCCTTGTACTGTTGGTGGTACATGTGATAGTGGCGCTTTAACACCACTTTGTAGGGCGTGGTAAAACTACAATCAGCACACCCAAACAGACTCTTAACCTCAGTGTGCACCACTGACATGTGTCTTTTGAGGTCCTGCTTACGGTAGTATGATTTGTTGCAAACTGTACAATCGTACAGTAAGCGGGATGGTTCGGTGCCTTTAGCGGCTCCTCCTGAACACTGTAGTTCGTGATGGACAAGGTTGTCGTGACGTTTTATCTCTTTACCACATTTTTGGCAAATGTAACCTGAGGTGCTGGTGAGAGTGTGGATGTTGCGCATGTGCCGCTTTAAGTTGTCTGGTCTGGAGAAGGTTTGGGAACATAGCTCACATTTTGATACTGGTTTTGCTTTTTTACCTCCTGAAATTTAAAGGATGGTTAAATTCAAACAGTGGAAATTACACGGCAACAGCCGCTACAATTTTATAGAAGTTACTGTCAGGACATGATGTAAAATTCAGATGATTTAGTTTATGAAATAAAGGCAGAAATAACTTTACTCTAATAAACGTGGACCTTTTTCACAGAGACCATATAATATGGCTATTTGGTGTATCAATCTGGCTGTTGGTGAATATAACAACATCTGTCTTAAAGAAAGTTCGTGGAATTCAGCAAAATTCGGCATGTATCTTTTTGATGGTATAATATGCAAAAGACAATCAATGACGATCTAAATAATTAATAGACGTTACATGCTTCCTAAAGTATAAGTTGACAGTTCTACTTCCTATGCTCGGCGTGTTGTAACATACAGGGTGGCCTAGAAGTATCTACCCACACGCAACCCTTTAATAACTCACGTTATTCGTGTCAGAAATGCACACAAATTTCAGAGAATATAGATATGGGTCAAAATTAGAATTCCTGAAAGTTTCGTAAAATTTTATTCATTAAAAAGGGTGTGGCACGCCACTCCCTCTTTTTCACTATTGTCACCATAAAGTGAAAATGCTTTCAGCTAGAAACTCTAAAAGTTTCTAGACACATTTGGTTTGATAATTGAAGTGCTTTCCCAAAATTTCAAGTTGATTGTTTACAACTAAGCCAAGTTATGACCATTTCAAGATCTTGCAGATACGTGATCTGGCACTTAATCAGTGAGTCAGCGATATCTTCACTCAATCAATGGCCTGATTGGTTAGAGACTGCCTATAGGACAGCAACCGAAGCGCTATATAACGAGAATTTCGTTGATTTTAAGGAAAGTGACAATAGTGAAAAAGAGGAAGTGGCGTGCCACACCCTTTTTAATGAATGAGATTGTACGAAACTTTCAGGAAATCTAAGTTTGACCCATATCTATATTCTACATGAAATTTTTGTGCAATTCTATTACGAATTACGTGAGTTATTAAAGGGTTGCGTGTGGGCAGTTACTTATGGGCCACCCTGTACTATAGAGGTCATACATAAACTCATACTCAGATTGTGGGATTATCTCATGATTTTAAGTACTCGTTTGGTATTCATAAAGTTAAGTAATTACTAGCCTAAGTAAATTCTTTAGAGTAAAACAAACATTTAACTTTTTTCGGGAATTCAGATAGGCTGACAGAGTCACAGAAAGGAGAAATCACGAAAGTAAGCTTAATTTAATAATCCTCACTCCATCACCACTCAATCACATGATACAATTCCAGTTCTACTCTCCCACAAGCTGCTCAACAAACAATTATCTAAAGATCAAGTTGATAAGTGTGAGACTGATATTATCTCTGAGATGTTCATAGGACTAAATGCACTCTCTCAGAAGTTCACAGCCCCTATCAAGATTCTAAAAAAAGTGCGATGAGATTGGATTTTGAGACTAAAAGTGCGATTTTCACGTGTCACGTGCAGTGGCGAAATGTACTCCCCCCACCCCCCCCCCCCCCCCTACCCACCCTGCAAGATTTCTTGCCCCACAAATTATTCTCTATTTAAAAAGATTTCAGATTTCGCGATTCCCTTTGTGAGCGAAATTGTAAGTATGTCGCTTTATGTCGCTCGAAAATTTACGTGCGTATTTTTATGAAGTATATAGAGTTACATATTGTAAATCTGTTATGCCCATTGTAGCACAATGGTTTAGCGCGCGATCGCTTAGCAGTTGACTCCGGTTGGAACCTCGTCGACGGTCATTTTTTTGGCAATTATTAATTATTTTACTAAAATTATCATCAGAGCACCTTGTAATATACTTTATCCGATAAATTATACTGTTCGTACTTCAGCTAGAGAAGACTGGCATTTAAGGATTTGTCCGGGGAAGGCCTCGTTTGCACTAGAACATGTCAATTGTCAAATTATGGTAAACGGATTTATCTGGTAATGTTTGTTTTGTTTTAAGGCTAGAATTTAGAATGGAATCAATGTGATGAGGATCCAGAGTTAATTACCTGTTAGGATTAATAAGTCAGTTCTACAGTTGAAAAGACACTTTTTCAAACTTTTAATGAAGAAATATTCACTATGCCTAATAGGCATTGCCTATGGCAGTATTAAGAATACTCTGAGAAAGATTGAGTCGACTTTAGCCAGGAACAGTACCTTGAGATTTCGACCATTACCAGACCTCCTTTAATGGTAACCATGGTAACTATAGTAACCACTGTTAATCTTGATCTTATAAACCGATTAATATCGACAACAACTAGTATCCTTTAAGACTTAGACAGTACAGAAAAGTAAGCCGTCAGAGTAACACAACCAGTAATAATTCAAAACAATCAATACCAAAAGTACAATGACCATAAAAAGTCGGCTTGATGATAAAGACGAAGGGACCAGCAAGATGAGGAATATTATTATGAAAATGTAAGCGCGCGACCGGATATGTAGTGCTGAAAGAGGGTGCCGAAATCTCGTGGTTAAACTTGCGATATTGGGGTGAGATTTATACTAAACTAACTAACTTGGTAACTTGGTAAGGTTTATCCTCGTAGCAGGAAGGGTCATCAGATGTCTGACCACCGTGATGGCGTGTAGTCTACCAAGGAATTCGACCAGCTGCACGTATAACCGGAAACCGGAGGGTTATCCGGTATCAAAGCAAGAAACTTAGACAAACTGACTTTGAAGCTGGCAAACGTTTTCTCGGCTTTCACTTCACTCGGCACCTTATTCCACAGTTTGGATCCTTTTACTGCGAACGAGCTATCATACAGTGTCTGGTTTCTCATCGAACTCGACTTTGATAGAGAAGGAACAACTGCTTTAGTGCCATATCTGGATGTTTCCACAAACTCGATGCTACAGCTATTTGGAACAACGTTATGGTACGTTTTCCACATCACCAAGATGATGTATCTCTCCCTTCTCCGTTGCAGGGACATTAACTTCAAATGAGCTAGCCTCTCCCAGTAGTTTAAGCTGTATAGACCACCAATGCGGCTTGTAAAGGTACGCTGGACCCCCTCCAAAAGCTGAATCTCTGTCGTCTTGACTGGGTCCCACAGCGGACAACAGTACTCCAATAAGCTTCTGACTAGAGACTTGTAGAGGGTCATCATTATAACCACTTTATCCCGTGTCTTAAACACACTGAACACCCAAGACAGTTTACTTCTAGCTTTGGTGACCATATCCCCGACGTGTTTAGACCAGCTCAGATCGCTTGACACTTTTACACCAAGGTCTCTGACGTTTTCTACGGGATAAAGAGTGACGTCACTAGAAACCTTGTAGAGGAGACTTTCTACGTAGAAGGGAAGTTCACTTGATAAGTTCCTCTTATTGTGTAGGTGGTTTAGGAGTTCGAACTTCTGCTCGTGTAACTTCATGTTGTTACATAGGGACCAATCTATAATGCTGTAAAGATCAGTCTGAAGAAGTTGGCAGTCTTCAAGGCAGCTAATTTGCTTGGAAACCCTAGTATCGTCTGCAAAGAAGCTCACTCTAGAATGCTTAACCACGTCCTCTAGGTCGAACAACAGGAAGAACAGTGGACCTAAAACACTGCCCTGAGGCACCCCGCTTAACACCTTAGCGCTGTCTGAATGCACACCGTTTCAGCTTAAGAAGAAGTAGATCCAAGTCGACTTTGTCAAAAGCTTTCGCAAAGTCGAGGTAGATTGAATCGGTGTCATTTCCTTTCGTGAAACCTTCGTAAATGTCGTCAAAGTGCTCCAACATTTGGGTGAGACAGCTTCTATTTGACCTGAATCCGTGCTGTTTGTCCGATAACAGATCATTAGAATCAAGGTACTGGGTCATGTGCTTTCTGACGACCCTTTCATACACCTTCACTACGTGAGAAGTCAGCGTCACAGGTCTATAGTTTACAGCTTCACATCTGCTACCTTTCTTGAAGAGAGGAGTGACATATCCGGTCTTGTAGTAGCTTGGGACGATGCCAGACGACATAGATTCTGTCCAGATGAGATAGATAGGGACCGCTAAGCTAGAGGTACATCTTTTCAGCAGGATGGAGGGGATGCCATCGGGTCCCGGTGCAGAGTCAAGCTTTAGTTCCGATATAGCGTCCTTTACGTGGTCGAGAGTGAGGACAGGTTCTTTATCTCGACAAGTAATGGGCGGCACCGCAAATTCAGGCATGGATTTGTAGGGGCAGTTAGGGTCACTATAGACTGAGCAAAACTGAGTCTGGATCTCGTCAAAACTCGTCAAAATCTCGCACTAATTGCGCGCGGCAAAGTTGTTATACTTTAACCACGTGATCTCACACCGCACTAAGTTCCGAATTTACAAAGTCTTAAGCAAATTTTTGTGTCGCTTAAATCTTTTAAATTACATTTTTCTATTTTCTCACACATTCTTTTGTTAATTTTTTTTCTATGTTTATTTTAAGATTTTGTGCGATGAGCCTGTCTCGCAATCTCACATGAATCTTGACCTGGGGTTCACAGGGCATGTTAAAAGATTGCCATTGTATATACAATCTAACTTTCAACCTTCTATCACAAATTCCACGATAACACCAGGTCCAAGTTATAAAACGCCACATATTTTAGTTTTACAGGCTTGCAAATACTTTTGTTTCGTAAATAGGAACATACCTTGACCATTTTACATGCTAAATTGACTACTCGCATTGAGTTTAACTTCCTATTGTACATTCTTCGGACCATCTATTCTTGTATTGGAATTTCGATCTCAAACAATCGATCATTTACTTAGATTAAAGTCGTACTCAAGGTTGAGTTTAGTCGGAGTATGAGTTCTTACTTAACGGTTTGTACTCTAGTTTTATGAAAATACCAAAGCTGAGACTCAGGAAAACCTAAGTATTTACTCGTCAGTAACAACAAATACTTGGATCTTATGCATGACCCCTATGGAGCAAAACACAATTTCTACACAATATACAGTTTTAATATTGTAGCCGTTTAAATGTCTCTTTTCGTATTGTCATGTAAATTCTCTGCTTGTCATTTAGTACTGACCACAATATACAGTGAATACCTAATGCTCTTGTATTTCTGAATATTCAAACCAACCTAAATACAATAACATACAATAAATTCAAAGTTTCACCTTCGATTTGAAGTGAGGTCTGGTATGTTTTAGGGGAGTGGACTTTCTCTTTGTCAGCGCTCGTCACATCACAGCTCACCTCATTTTCTGTTCTTTTTGGTGGTGGTGGAAAATTGTGTGCTTCATGTAAACTGTAAGGTGATGCAGCACTCGTATTGGATGCAACAGTTGAAGGTATGTTGGAGATACATTCAACAAGGCCCGGCACCACATTCGGCACATTTTGAGAGACACATGCAGCTAAGCCGGGTTCATGATATGAAAAGTGTGGCGGATATGTTACATCGCTTGCCATGAACTCAAGAAAACTTGGTGGTTTGGCCATCTCATGTGCCGATGCGCAAGCAGTGTGGTAGTTTTCTTCAACGTATTGTTGGTGGGGAAATGAAAGTACATTTGTGAATTCTGGTCTTTGCGCAAAGAACACGGGAACCAGTAAGGAAACTGCACTAGGATCATTGAAAGAATAGCGCATGTCTGACTCATTCATGAAGTGAGTAGGTTGCATATCACTTCCATTCATCATCTTGTTTTGATGTTGCAACGCCTCTGCTTGAACATTGACTGAATGACTAGGTCCATGTGACAAGGGAAATTCATTTCCATTCATTTTCAGTCCTGAAATAATATAATGTGATTTAAATATTAGAGACATGAATTGGTACTACATCTACTAGGCTATAATTACTGCTAGGTTATAATTTGTTCAATTTTGCTAACCAAAGTTTATGTAAACATTTTGAAATTTTTGGAGCAGCAAAATTAAGTGTGGTAGCTATCATACAACTGTATGGTTCACATGTAACAGAAGCCAGATTTTAGGAATTTTAGACCTCTTTCCCCCTCTGAATCCTGAAGCCACTCTAAACATAGTTACTATGTAGAGACTACACTAGTATAAGTTTTTCCAAAACCCCTTCCCTTACTTAATTTGTAAAATTGGGGTTTTTACTTTTGAGTCCCAGTCGGATCACATGGTTACGTACTCTTTCCACATTACTAATACCCAATTAGGGGTTATGGTTCACAAGCTCTAAAGTAAATGGTAGATAGGGGAAGTAACAATCTTGACAAGTTGTCAGCTTAAAAGTGGAACATCAGGGTTCCATTTTTAAGCTGCTCAAGGAATCGTATGATATAAAACTAGACTAATCAGGGTTTACAGTAAATCGTAGCACAGTAAATTGAGTTGTATCTTACTGTATTGAAATGATTATCAATAAACTTGCAATATTCATATGTTTAACAGACTCATGGTATCACGCTCAAGGTCACCTATGTGACCCACAAGAGGATAGCATGAAGATGCTCAGTCTGCTTCTGGGGTGTGTCAACCCTTAATGAGAGGATGTTGGAAATCTTTGTGAGGTAAGGTGACCAATACAATTGAATGAGGGGGAATTAATAAATGCCAAACAACAATAATCAAAGATTAAAGTACGAGAATAGACATTAGGTCACTCAGTTTGGTTCAATTCTTCAGGTGAAAATAAGGCACTGAGTGGGTGTTGCGAAGTTGACAATAGTATTTGTATGTTTTATGTCAAAGATGTCGTTGAAAGAGAGTTCATAATTGTGAAAATATTGCCCTTGCAGTTTTGCTTTCGAGACAGAGAGTCATGCTTCATCATCAACCAGAGTCCCAACTTCCACCATGCCCTCTGATAGGGATGATCCTATATAAAACCAACCCAATCTCAAATATTGGGAGAAACATTTGAAAATCAACCTTGGCCTTGTGGCTCCAAATTTTACTTGACTTTACTTTATATATCCCAGGCGTTTTCCTTTAAAAAAATTTTCCTTATATACACATCAAAAAATACTTTGTCCAGTAGAGACCAAAAACATCTAGCCTAACTCTAACTTTCAGGTGCTATCTATTGGTACTAATTTGCTTTCGACTGGTCAAATACCAGGTTCAGTTTTGACACCACAACATACTTTCTGAACCAAATATGACAGTCTTTAGTTTAGCGCTCGATTTTCATAATACTCTGTAAAATATGCGCGGCGGGCATTAAATTTTAATTTCATTTCAAAATCATTTTCTAACCATAATTATATCGAATGCATTTAAATTCATATTTTTAATAATATATATGAACAAATTTTCCATGGCATAGTGCCAAAGTACAACAAAATTGCGTTGATTAAGAATCTAGATCTCAAACGTTTATAAAAAATTTTAATTCTTAAATTTTTTAACGCGAACGTAAATTTTGTTAATTATATGCCAAAACAAAAAATTAACCATGTACTAGAAAAAAATATTTGAATCAATTATCATATCATCCCAAAATTACTTTTAATTATTTTTTTAAACAAAATAATTGGAAAAATTTAACAAATTTTAAAAATTTTTCCTCTGAAAAATCTTTTTTAAACTTTAAAATTTTTGTGCGCACTTTATTTTAGTATTTTGACTTCATGCCATGTATTTAATACAATTTATACGGCCAGAAAACGATTTTTAAACGAAACTAAAATTTGAGATATGCCGCGCATACTTTCACCAATTTACACAGTATTCAGTAGTATAAAAATCGAGCGCTGTCCAAAATCAGTGTTTAAAAACAATAAGCCTGGTCCCGAGGTAAAATGAACAGACACTTAACACACAGCAAGGCTTAAGGAGTAATCAGTATGTTGTGCACCGGGAACAATAATTTTTACAGATTAGTAAAAATGCTACAACGCTCTGCAAAGCCACGCCTATACCTACTGGTTGTGAATCACTGCTGTGGATTTGTGGATCCCCTAACTAGAGTTCACATAGATACCTGTTAGGGCTGCAGTTCTTGCCAAGAAACACATGCTGCATCGGGCGCGGCATGGGAGAACACTATCAAATTCAACATCTCTAGTGATTGCACTCAGCAAGTTTGTATGGCTACACGAAGTCACCCCCATGCTCTAATCGTGTTTTAGATGGCCATGTGCCTAAACGTAAGTTAAATGTGCGTTCCCCATGCATTCATTGTGCATTGAATGTGTGTTTACTGTACATTTACCAAGTATTTAGTGTTTTTACTATGCATTTACCATGTGTTAAGCAAGCAGTATCCAGATAGCCGACCCCTGTTCGTGAACAGGGGTACGGGTCGGCTATCTGGCCTAACCGTGCCTTACGTGTCTGTTAACCGTATGTTATGTGCCCATCGACAGATTACCAAATGGCCCAATGTAAGTCAAAACATTATAGTGTTGATCTATTTATATACTACAGTACCTTTGAATTATGCAGTTTTTTAACTAACCATGTTCATTAATATCACAAAGTTGAGTAGTTCCATGTACTGTGAAAAATGAAAGGGTGCAAACAACAGTGGCATAATTAAGGGCCCTGCTGACCCTGCTAAACGGGGGGCGCCATCTTAGGGGGGGCGCCAAATCATTGTTTGAATGTGGGACAATTTTGAAAAACTTAACCGAGGTACTAGCAAAACTGCGCGTTTTGCTCTAGGAACACACTTTTTTAGAGATTTTACCGGCGTATCCTCTAAAATCACCTAAGTATTTGTCCAATTTTAGGGAGGGGGGCCAAAAGGGGAAAGAGCGCCAACAGGGGGCACTCTTTTGGCAGGGGGGGGGGGGGGCGCCAACAGGCAACGTTACGCCACTGGCAACAGACCTCTAATTCAGTGTATTTAATCAGTTAAATTTTTTCCGTTCACACCCTTTTGTAAAAAGGCAATAGTGAAAGGTTACGAATGGAGTTTTTTGCAGAAAAACGTGGATTTTGGAGATCGGGGTAGGTATGTCTGAGTATGTCGTGTTCCTTCCTTCCGTTCGTTACCATGCAACAAAAAAGCTGCGCGCGTGCGCGGGGATTGCTTGCGGAGATGTGATGTATAGATAGCCTTTGGTCAATGAATGTATGTATACTATGTAATGTATAATATTAGGTTATAAGCCCAATTTGTACGTGGCACGTGTAGTGTTTTGATGTGTACACGAGTATAGTTTACTTTTGCTTACAGTTTCTTGAATTACAGATACAAGTTAAGTTCTACGGCAATTGAATTGAATTTCAAGTGTTTCCCGTATTTAATGCATAATTTATCAGTATTATTATTATGAGGTGAGCTGATTGGAGCTTATACTTAAAGTTATAGTGAATGGAAATCTAGCGTCCGCCAAAAAAAAACAATGGGCGCAATTCTTGTTACATTTCATGCTTTCAGTTTAGAGCAATATGTTTTATTGTTTAAACATCCATTTATACCTCATGCATTTGAGAAAAGTAACAATGTACTGTCCTAACAGGGAATGGCTAAAAGAAGAAAAGAGCATGAAGGCTGTTCGTATGACAATCCTAAGCGTTCAAAAGTGCTAAATGAGACAGTAACATCTGAATCAGAGACAATTTTGTATGTTCCTGACACTCCTCTTGATAAGATTAAAGAGAAAAAACATCTCAATGTAAAGGCAGACGCCATAAATGGGGAGAAGTTACAATTTTCAGAAAGTGATGAAGACGAATTCTCTGATTCTGACATTGATTTAGGAGATTTGGATGTTGAAGGTATTCAATCAACATATGATAGTTATTCTCGATATGCTCGGTATCAAGTTATGCATGTTGATGACAATGGAAGCACAAAAACTGTCCAGTGCCAATGTACTTCCACCAAAGACTCAGTTACTGTGACAGTGTCAGGAGAGTGGTACTACAGTGAAATAATTCCAGGAAACTTCTTACACATCATTGACACAAAACCTAATTCAAAACAGGTAACATTACCTACTTTAATGAGTTGTGTTGAAAACTCTTAACTTGTTAAATATCAATGTGGAATATCCGTTTCACTGCATTAAATGCATCTTATTCCAAATTTATTTAATATTAAACAGTAAATCTTAAAATTCGTTTGCCGTCAAAATATTGACTAATTATCAGATAGAGATAACCAATGAGAACTCTAACATGATGATTCTACATCCAGACATACTGATATCCCCAACTACCATATCAAGCAGTGTCCGGTGTGCTCGTCAGGCAGTCCTAGGAGAGGTTAGTTACAAAATATGGTCTTATCTGGAACATTGAATTTTTTCTACATTAATCTTCCCAATCCAATAAATTGTAGACAACGACGTTTTCAAAAGCACTGGTTTTGTTGCTGACTGTTTGATTTACTTAAATTAAATTTTCTTGGTTGTCTGCAAAATCGTTGACAGGTCTTCAAGCCTACAGTGGGCTACTCCTCCAACGAGGTAATGTTGCTGGGAACAATTAACCATGCTTTGTTTGATGCTGCAGTTGGGAGTCAGCAGTTTAACCCTGTCTTTCTGCGCAAAGAACTCAAGTCTATCATCGAGCAGGATGATATTATTGATTCTTTGTCATGCATGGATGGCGATAAAGATGAAATTCTGAAGAAACTGATTCCTTCTATAGATCTGATATGCAAGTGGGGCAATAAGTTTTGTAAAGGAGCAGGAGATGTTGTGTCTTATGGACAGAAAGGAAAGGAAGTGACTAAAATTGAAAAGGTAGTTATTCCTACAGGAAGGTAGTAATTCTTGTTATTCTGTAAAGGAAGTGCGATGTGTGATTTTTCAATGATACGTTTTAAATGAAAGCTTTTAAATTCCTGTCAACTGAATCATATTTTTATATGCCATATTATCTCCATAGGTTTTAGATATTGAAGAAAACATTTGGTCTCCAAAATACGGTTGCAAGGGAAAGGTTGATGCCACAGTTCGTATTCATGCCCAATCTAAAACTAAGATATCCCCGGTAGAAGTGAAATCAGGAAGTAGCAGAAATGCTTTAGGAAGTGTTGATCACAGGGCCCAGGTCATCCTTTACACAATGATGCTGGAAGAGAGGTACAAAAATAGCATAGACTCAGGTATCCTCTACTACATAAAGGGACAGCAAACTATCGGTGTTCCTTCATCGGTTGTTGAGCGTCGAGCCCTGATAGTTAAACGAAATGAAATTGCTAGTGCCATGCAGAGTATCCTTTATCGGCAGGAAATGAAGCTACCAGAGCTTGTCAATGACAAAATGACCTGTAAATGGTGTAATCACCAGCTGAGTTGCTCTTTGGCATTCAAATCTTTTGAAGGGAAGGACTCTGCTACTCACCCAGTCCCCGAAATACTCCAAAACAACACCTCCACACTCAATGACGCTCATATTGAGTATTTTACCAAGTTTTCTAAGCTTTGTCTCCAAGAAGCTCGATCTTCCAATAAATCAGCCAAAATGCCCTGGGATGATTCCTGTAAAAAATACAGCAGGTTAACTCTCAACTCAGTATCAGAGAAACATGGATTTTATCACATGTTCACCTTCCCATCACCCATAAAAACAAGATCGAGCTTCATCCGTCTAGGTGACTACATAATAATTAGCAAAGCAGATGGTTCAGCGTTTAATATCTGCGCAGGATTCGTAACAGAGCTCTCCACCACAACAGTTGAAGTGTACTCCAATGACACGAACATAGAGAAGAGTCCCCACCACCGTGCAGGTCCCTCCTACTGCATCACACCCCACCAGTCACTATCAGGCCTCCACACCAGTCTAGGAAATGTCACCTCCTTCATGGGTCCTAATCAGAGAGCAGACAAATGGAGGAGACTGATTGTGGGTGAGAGTGCTCCAAAGTTCTCTTCAGTTGCGTTCTCGTTCGCTCAAGAAGCAAGTATCAGTAAGGAATACTCGTCTGATGAGCTGCTGATGTCGCTGAATCCGGATCAGAAGACGGCGGTGGAGAGGGCTGTTGCTGCGGAGGATTACCTCTGTATTCTTGGGATGCCTGGCACAGGTATTTGTAATGCTAAATACCTCACATTAGATTTAACTGAAATATCTGAGATTGTTTCATCGATCATTAGCCACTTATAACTAATTATATAAATAATTTCAATATATTTTGATTTAAGATTGAACTATGACGCTGTTAAGACCCCTGCATTCCCAGGTAAGACGTCTACAATATCATGTTTGATACAGTTACTGGTAGCTAGAGGACACACTGTACTGCTGACAGCTTACACTCACTCTGCTGTTGATAACTTAGTTCTCAAACTTCCACAGTCTCTGGATATCGTCAGGTGCGTAACGTTGTGACACTGTAACACTGTGACATTATAATACTGAACTGAAACACTGTAACACTGTTAGTGTCACATTGTGATCGACAATCTTCCAGTTCCGTTAGAAGACAGGGCCAAATGGAGCATACGATAGAATATTTCACTGTAGGACTGTGCTCTGTTCTACTCCTATGTCAGTTAAAAAGCTGTTGATGTTGTCTTACCCAGGGAATAGTTGGAATTGTGCCAGGTCGACACTTAGCTCTGTTTAAAGGTGTTTGTAGCACCTCGCACTACGCTCTCAGTTACAAATGGCACAGTTACACGTACCATATTCCTTAGTCACACCTAACAGTTCTACTGTTTGTAACAAAGCGTTACAATGCCTTGCAACGCCGCAAATATTAGCACAAAATTCCTGAAGCTGTGATTTTCAGCGTTGCCTTTTTACACAAACTTAAGTAATCGAGTTTGAGCTGTTAAAACTTTTTTGTGCTCTTGGCTTGGAATGTTAAACCTTCTAAAAATAGCTCGGCTACATAAAAGTGTTTAGATTGATAGTGTGTAGCGTACTTCGGATCAACAATGTGCTAACACATAAAATATTCTAACATTCTAAAACACAATTCTATGCGCAATCACATCTTAAACTAATAATAAATGTATTTAAACTTCTTGATCGCTTCAAATCACGTCAATATATATTATATACAATTGTCAGGTAAATTCTCCACATTCTCCACATTCTCCGCATTACCAGGTTAGGAGCGCCAGGTCGGATACACGCTGGTAACAAAAACAGATCATCCCAAGTGCTTACAGCACACATCAGAGATCCTAAGTTACTGAGGGAGTTCTACGACACTAAAGGTAACTAGTAATTATTAATTAATGGTCTGTTAATCTTAATCAATGGGACATCGTATTGTGGCTTTTGAATTTACGATTTCGATAAATAAAATCTCTGACTTTTAATAACATTCAACACTGTTTACCGTGAAAGTTAACATGTAACATTTTTGTTGTTAACGCATTTTGTTGGTTAACTATATAATAATTTCACAAACTAATAATAGATTAGCTAAATTTGTCAGCGGTTGTGGCTACTACATGTCTTGGATTGCGTCACAGTGTGTTTGAATACAAGAAGTTCGATTACTGTATCATTGATGAGGCTTCTCAGATCACGGAGCCCATCTGTTTGGGACCTATTCTACTCGCTGACAGGTTAGTCGGGTTCATTGTTATAATTTATTCTAGGTATTATCAGTGATTATTGCTAATTTGGTGAGTGAGTTAGTCGATTGGTTGATTTCCCAATTTGAGTTGAGCTTTTGTTCTGTAATAGACTGTTGATCAAAATATGATTGATAAATTCACTCAGTTATAATTCATTTTGACCCTGAAAAAATACAGGTCTTCAAACTAACAAGAATAGAATATGAAATTAAATTATCATGCTAACATTTAGAATTAAATTTTTACAACAAACAAATACAATTTCTACATCTTTGTACAGAAAACGACACTAATCCAAACCAATCACATAACTTCAGGAGAATGATATAAAATATAAGATAATAGAGAATACCATGACAACCCCACACATTCCTGAAATAACTATGGTTACTCTAGCCTCCCTCCCCATCTCCTCTGTACCGCCACTCTTACTAAACAAAGGAGCCTTCTCACTTTCATACAGCTCGTTAGTAAAGGGGTTAAACTCAATATGCTCCTCCTCCACTCCTCTACCATTCAACAGTTTCATCTCCATGCTACTCTTATCTAGTAGCCCTAGTCTCTCCATTGCGCGCACTGTCTCCTTGTTCCAGTCTGTGCGCTGGATCACGTACCATATCACTACCAGCGCAATACCTGATCCTATAGCGAGTGAGATCCAGGCTGCAGAACCTGATGAGGACAGCTTGGTGGTGAGGAGATAAGAAGATAAGAGTCCTATCCCACACAAGGACACGATGTAGATGAGAGCACCTATTGCCTGTTTACCCATACCACGCAACACACCTGACATGCTAACCTGAGTACAGTCCAGTACCAGGTACACACAGTACACGGGTATTAGCTGCTGCATTATCTCCTGTACATCTGTGTGGTGGAGAGGAGGTAGGCTACCTGGTCTCGGAGTAGGATGGTGATCAAAGCAAAGGTTAACCCACATACCAGACAAAACCATGAGAAATACGTGACGTCACGTTTAGCTTTCACTGCATCCTGCATGCCTAGATCTTTACCTGTTATGATAGCACCAGCTATAGTAAACCCGTGGTAGAGATGGAAGTAAAACTGGTGGTACTGGAGGAGCTGCAGGAATGCGTCGTAGTGGTCCAGATCACTTTTAGAAAGTATCATGATGGTCATCTCCACAAAGATGCTCTCCGCAACGACCATAGCAATGCCCGGAGCGCCTAGTTTCAGCAGCGCAGGCCACCCTCTGAACATGTTATAGTTAAGGTTACTGGTAACTTCCTGCAGAGCCCCGTACTTCTTTACAATGTACACAGTAGACACTGTCCCCGCTATCTCCGCTATTATCAGGGCTATCATGGCTCCCAGCAGCTCTAGGTTCAGGACGAACAGGAGAATGATACCCAGGATTATCTGGAATATAACGGACACTAGCCGTACTACCACTATCTCCGCTACGTAGCCCAGTATGATGGCGTAACGTGTCATGGCTACATCAATACTAAAGACTGGGAGAACTAGGGAGTAGACTTGTAACATTTCCCCTGCTAGCTGATCTACTTCTGGTTTGGAGGATGTCACCACGTCAAATATCTTCTCCGAGTAAAACCAAGCGATTGTGATCAAACTTGAAATGACGAAGCAGAGAGCGATGGTCCGTGCAGTTATGAGCCCGAGACATATCCGCTTACCTGCTCCTGCAGCTTGGGAGCCCATGCACTCCATGGCCGTGACAAGGCCCAGGATAAAGCTGAACCCGATGTAATTGCACGTGCTCATAGCTAGACTCGCAGCACTTTGCTGTGTGGTCGAGTTCAAATGTCCGCACATCATACCAGTTATAACAGTGGGAATGTGAGCCAGGAAACCCACAATAGCAAGTGGAACAGTCATCTTGACCAGGTCCAGGTATCTGGTGGCATCGTTAGCTATCTTCTTAGACCGGGGCTGGTCCTTGTAGGAAGGAAGAGTGACATTGTCAGTAGCTAGCTGACTAACCCCACGTGTAGCGTCTAGCTGGATGGGCGCACTGTCGTGGATTGGGCACTCTAGAGAGTATACTGCTAGCTCTGTGCTGTGGGAGAGTTAGTGTCAGATGTAATTATATAATTAGTTAGATTAGTCAGATGTAATTAGTAAGTGTGGGAGATAATAGTCAGATTATAATCTAATTATCTTAATTATCACTAGATCTGTTAATTTGATTGGCAGTTCATTTGATTGGATGATTGTCATGGTGTACGAATTGGGGTTAATTAAAAGGCAGTTAATTACTCCTTCACTCAGCTCCGAGTAATAGTGTTAGATAATAAGAATATCACAGCAATCAACAGGGCCAGGGGGGAGGGGACCTTTCCCTCCTCATGTTGAGGTTCATTGGCTGAAGAGATCTGAAAAAGGTCACACCTTGGTAGTCACTAGTCATACATGGAGCGTTAATCTGGAGTGTGTCAGCAGTGTGAGTCAGATGAGTAATGTGTGAGTCAGATGAGGAAGGAGTGAGCTGTATAAGATGAGGTTGACAGTGAAGGAGGACGGCAGGTGTTATCACATTGCCAGTGTAACAACGACATCTCGTACAAGTCACACTTTCTCTAGCAGAGATATAAATAGAGCTCAGTTGTGTGTGTTTGCATTAGCTTGTTTGTTGTTGTGTTTAAAGAGTGGATTTAAAGTTAAAGTGCAAGATATTTTAATATATTTAAAGTTATGTATCCTAAGCCAGAGATTGTCTTGAGATTTAATGACAGTGACGAAAAGGTGCCGAGTTTGATACCCTGTAAATTGTTATAAGTTTGATAACTTCAGTTATTTTTATACTGTCAGCTCTTGCTCATATCACCCTTTTCCTCAACTCCTAAAATTTCAGCAAAAAGATGTAAGCGAGATTGTTAAGAGTTTGATAAAGTTAACGTGTCCCACTCTAACTTTCCAATGTCGTGGTAGGAGCGGAGAAGGACATGAGACCTTAGCTTGGTACCCAGAACCTGTCCTTCCAGACCTTGATGCTGAGTTTACAGACCTAGAGCTGGGGCTAGGACCCCGTAAATCTCAGGACACTGTGTCTCTGGGGTCTGCCCTGGAGAGGATGTCTGTATCTCCTACTACTGAGAGTGCTATGAGTGGGGTCAGTGGGCACAGTGACAAGGCTATGAGTGGGGTCAGTGGGCACAGTGACAAGGGTGTGGAGGAGGACTGCTCTCTGCATGCTTCCTTCCTAACTGAAGCTGCTTCTCTGTTCAATGAAATGGGTAGAAAGCTGAGCAGTATCAGTGATTCAATGAGTGATCACAGTAGCAAGATAAGTGATCACAGCTGCAAGATGAGTGATCACAGTAGCGGAGGGCTGGGTGATGAGAGCAGTGGAATGAGCGAAGTGAGCCAACCACACTCTAGTTACACCACCAGCTCGGGTGTGGTGGTGTTAAGTCAGGAGAATGGTTCTCCGGAGGACTGGGATAAGGATACCAGAGAAGTTGTATACGAACCTGCTGCTGGACCTGCTGTTCAACCTGCTGTTCAACCTGCTGTTCAACCTGCTGCTGAACCTGCTGCTGAACCTGCTGCTGAACCTGCTGTTCAACCTACTGTTCAACCTGCTGTTAATATTCAGGTACTTCTGATGGGTGTGAGGTTTTTATATTAGTCTCCATAGAACTTAGGAATATATTAGGATTGTGCGGTCTTGCACAACAGTCTTAACAAATTCCCTGTTTCGTAGGCGCAAGAGAGACCTGAGATAATTGATTCAAGATTAGTTGCCAGTCTGCCTCAAGGTAGCGTCTCTATTGAAACACAAGGAAATGTTCACGAAAGACCGGAGCTGACCGTGGTCATACACCTCTCCAATCCAGCGAGAGATCACTTGGGATGGAAAGCGGAGGAGGAGGAAAGGAGGAAGCGTATGCCACTGAAGAACCTGCTAGTCTCTGAGAACCAAGCTATGAGGTGTGATACACCAGAAGATATCAACTTTGCTGCTAAAGCTGATCAGGGCCAGGAGAGGATGAAGAGGAAGTCAGGGAATCCTCCACGATTATTAAAATAAAGGTATAATTATTGGAACCCTTAGTTCAGAACTCTATATCTTAGAACATAGAACTGTTATAATTAGCTCTGGGAATTTTATCTTTCTGTTAAGTGATTCTATTAGGATAAAATTTAGCTCTTATTGGCTGAGAACTTAAAATAGGTTAATCATCGCTGTAAACTTGTAAAACAAGAATCGCGTAACATTTTCTTAAAATTTAAGATTAAGTTGTAATTTTAGTTTATATTAATCTTAGATGTTTTGCTATGTTAAGCACTTTGTTGATTTTGTAAAGCAAATTCTTGTAGAATGTACGTTTTTATGTTTTTAAAACCGTAGTACTGTCCCACGAATTCGTGCGCCAGATTTTAGAAAATTATAGAGAGATTGCCAAAGTTACAGATAAGGCTATACATCTGGGGCACGATATCATGGGACAAGAGGTTGTGGGACAGGCTGAATTGAACCCCAGTTAATGGGATTTTAGCAGTTCTGCCCCACATTCCACAACCTGGCAACCTCTCGATCATATTATCATTTAATCTCACTATATTTAACATTTCTACAATATGGGACACGAAATCATTGGATCAAGAGGTTGTGGGGCAGAACTGCTTAAATCCCATTAACTGGGGTTCAATTCAGCCTGTCCCACAACCTCTTGTCCCATGCTCTCGTGCCCCAGATGTATAAAGATGTTGTTAGTTTGCACCATTTTGTATTAGATTATGATGGTTTTTATACTTTTCTGAGACAAATTGTATATTGTTCTTTTAACTAAATTCGAATATTCAAAAGTTGCCCTTTTCTATTTGCTACTGAACGTTGAAATACGATTACGGCCTAGGTGAGGTTGTTCTTATTTAATAAAAATAATTAAAACTATAAACTATGCTAGAACAACTACACTAACAAATATACTAACAATTAAACTAACAGTTAAACTAACAACTATACTAAAGGAATTAACAATAAGCTGTTAATAACATGCTTTAGAGAGCGCACAATTTAGTAAGTGATCAAACAATTAGTAAATTATCAAATCAGCTGATTAACAATCACTATTCTGCTGACCTACCTAGTCTTATCAAGCTCTCTAATAGTACACGTGCAGATGTCTGTAGAGAATATGGACCGTGGGCTGGGTTCAGGGACCTCTTCCTCCTTCGTCATCCTAATTCCTATTATAATAGTGAACTGTTAATTGGTACTATCAGTTATCAGGCTAGTTTCTCTCTATACTTGGAGAGCTGGCTTACTAGTTACCGTTGAGCTATCTCATCACTTCAACTCTAATAAAGATCATTTTGTAGCAGAACATAAAATACCAGCGTTCAAACAATATCATTGAACGTTAAACCCATCAGCGGTCTGTTATCACTAGATTATATAATGCAGATTGGAGTTCATTACATTCACTGGTTGGGCACTATTACGATTTGCGACTAAAATAACAGAAAAGCTCTGATAAAGTGAGAAAGTGACAATGAGCTCAGTGAATACTCTGACAGAGTACGGACCACACCACAAAGTTACTGCATCTCATGAAAAACAATGAGTAAGCGTAATTAAAGCAACCTCATCAGTCATCAGCATCCGAACAAGTACAACACGGCGTCCAGTACTTCAGAACCCCTTACTTCTGACACAAGAGTGTTACGTAACAGCGTAACAACGTAACAACGTAACAACGTAACAGCGTAATAACGTAACAGCGTAACAACGTAACAGCGTAACATCATAACACACACAGATAATATTAAAAATGATTAAGAAACAGGACCACATAAACCCCACAACTAGTGAGAACAAAAGCACCACACACTGTGTCATGTGGGGAGATGATGCACTGTGAACTGTGCGCTGTAAGCACTAACCGTACTAGTGTACTACTGTGTGTGTGTGTGTGTGTGTGTGTGTATTGTGAGTGCTGTGTGTGTGGAAATAACGCAGTGTGTCTCAACATTCCAGCTCATCATGTAAACTTGTGAATTACAAGGGAATGTTATTATATTATTCAAATACATATATATGTTGTTATTCAAATATTGTATTATTTGTTAACCTGTTGTTTTAATTTGTATTATATTATTTTACCAAAACCCATAATCATGGGTAGAGTGGACCGCTGCCAGTGTCTCTCTTTCCCAAACAAAAGGAAATGATATTAATTTGATTGACCGTTCTCAAATGCAAAATGATACCGAGAATGAAATCGGTCGCTCGCTTTTCACATTCATTCACGGCTTACGAATTGTATATATTAGTTTCGATTGATTACATCAATCAGATGCTGTAAAAATCTCTTTGGGTTGCGTTCGGGTCGATACCTAGTATTTCGGGGTAAGGGACAAGGGTGGTAGTTATAACTTATTGAATAAGCTGAAGTCTATTGAATCTTTATTGCCGAGTACAGCTGCCTTTGGGCAGTTCTTCTTAATCTATTACAATTGTAAATGAATGGGAAAAGCGAGCGACCGATTTCATTCTCGGTATCATTTTGCATTTGAGAACGGTCAATCAAATTAATATCATTTCCTTTTGTTTGGGAAAGAGAGACACTGGCAGCGGTCCACTCTACCCATGATTATGGGTTTTGGTAAAATATCATCTCTTTTTGATTATAATGTCAGGGTACTTTATAAAGTCGAAATATAAACTGATATCTTCATTAATAAGGAGGAAGTTTCAACGATTTCGAAATTTTTCCTTTAAAAACATTTCCTTGTGTTTAGTTAAGCATATCGGTCGATCACTGACTAAATATGCCACTTAATACTCATTCAAGTTGGCATTAAATTCATATATAATGACATTAAACTGTCGTGGCAAAGCAGAATTTGTTGAAAATCACGAATGAGCAAAATTCTCACCTTTCGCACGTGCAAACTTTGAGCGGACGTTGCGTGCGCATCCAATATTGAATCGCCGTAAATTTTTGCATGTAATTGTTTTATATATAGTTTGATAAGCATGCAAAGTTTCAAAGTATTTCAAGAAGAACTGTAATCACAACGGCACTCTAAAGTTGACAGAAAATGACGAAAACAGCAATTTTTAGTGATTTTAGCAATTTTCTATCAATTTGGGCGTGTCCCCACGTGTGCAACTTTTCGATTTTCAACTTTAAAACTAGCCTAATGCACAATTTATACCTATAGGAAGCAGAACTGAGCTCAACAACCCAAGGCATGGCCCAACACCAGAGAATACTAAATCGCAAAATTGACGTTTTCATAAAATAATTCTTCAAAAAAGCACAAACTTCAATGACGAATATTTTTATGAAGGAGCAAGCTAGAAAAACTTTCCGGTAGATTTTCAGAATGCTTGAACAATTATCTAAGGTGAAAATTTCCTCAGATTTTGAATTAAATTACTCCTTAATGGTGTAAAATTAATTTTAAAAGTTATTACTTTGTCAAAAATCAAGTTTTAAAAACGGTAAACTTGATGACGTCATCAAGGGGTGTTTATGACGTCAAATAATTTTTTTATACAATGTAAACTAAAGTGTAAACAATTATTTGCAAGACCTGTGGTCGGAAATGGCTGTATCTTTTATACTTTTGAATCTATGGACACTTAAATACAGGTTACAATTGACTGGCAAAGCGTCTATCCCTGATATATATATATATATGTATGTATATATCACGACAGTCTATCGTAAAACAGGGGTTCTAGAAAACCCACTTCCCGATGCTCCTGAAACCTGAAACTTATTTTGCAGTCGATTTGGTCAACGTCTAGACGCCCTGAAAAATTTCAGATCTCTAACTCAATTTTAATATGGTTTTTAAGGCACCTGAATATGGCGATTTTGGGTTTTTTACCGAATTTCGTATAACAGTGCTGGCGAGTATTTTATGCAAATTTCTTAAAAATCTCAACATAACTATTTTTTATTCCTGTCATCTTTGACATCAAATTAGAATGTTTTGAACTAAAAATAAATCTGCTGAACGACTTCCGATGAGTGTTAATGCCTGAAAAACTCCTGCCGGAGGCGGCGGCCTTCGGCCGCCGCCTTCGGCCGGAGTGCACGCTTCGCGTGCACAAAAGAGGCTTGTAACGTGTACCAAAGGGGGTATAATAGTAAAGGGGGTATAATATTAAAGGGGTACAATAGTAAAGGAGGTACATAGTATACCCCCAATAAAGACACCGCTCGTGCTTGCCAGCACTGTGATTATATATTATGATCTCCAGAGAACGAGATGATATGTGATGTTATATTGTGTATATCTAGCGTAGTTAGTGTAGTTGAGATATGGGACACGTACAGTAAGTGTAGATTGAGGGTAGAACCGGGCTAGAGATAAGAAATGTGCCCCAGAAGGGAAGGGCTTGTGGGTAAGCGCCCAATTGCCGAAATATTATTTCCATAATTCCAGGGTTGATCAGAAGATCAGACAAGTTTATACCATACAATTAATTCTACTTCGAAGGTTTGTTAGAGAGTTAGAGCTGAACTTGGCTACCTCGATGAAGTAGGATCTTGCACTTGAAGCTTTAATTGTTTCGGAGTTGGTTATCAGATAATTCAATAATCAACACTACTTAATCACAATGCTGGATCCACTCCTAGCTGGGATAGGGAGGATTTCTAACTATACAAGGGGGAGAAGTAAAATAGTTACAACGAACAACTCAATACCCCAACATAGATACATCACCTGTTATCAGGAGAAAATACAATGATAATATGCATTCTTTTTAACAGCTGACATTTTGGCGCAGATCTTGAGTCATAAGATTTTAGGGGTGCGCGCAATTTCCTTTCTTAGTTGTCGAAGTTATAATAACGGCCGTGTCTGATAATACTTGTCATGATTGTAACAATGTATTGTTTTTGTATATTAGAGCTTTAGCCACAGGTAGGTTGGTCTGCAACAAACACGACCAATAAAGTGGTCAGAATAGGATGTTGTGGTCAGAATAGGATTTTGCTATATAGAGCAATAATAGGCTATGTATGTTAAATCTAACTGTGAGTAGGAGTACTGAGCACTAACAAAGTAACATTAATTATCATCAGTGTTAGAATGTGTATCTTGTAAAATAGTGTAACTGTGTTTTTAAGGAAACACTGCCAACTTTAAATTCAAAATAACAATCTACAATTAATTACCAGCAGAGTAGGCTCTAGTCTTATAATAATAAATTTCAGGTTTATATTAGTACATGATAATTATGATAATTATGATAACTAATTACAGGTGTATACTAGTACAATGTACATGATAATTATGATAATTATAATAATTATGATAACTAATTACAGGTGTATACTAGTTGGGGACCATCACCAGCTCCCTCCTCTAGTACAGAGCAAGTCAGCTTTACAGAACGGATTGGGTGTCAGGTACAGCTAACTTTATTAAATTTAAATTTACAGAGCCTCATAGTGCAATATTAAGTTTTATAATAAGTTGTTTATCGAATAATCGTTTTATCAATAACTTAACTTACATAATATTATTATGTTAATACATCTAAAATTATAAACCCTCAGTTTGTTCAAGCGACTGTGTGACAAGAACCCAGAAGCGGCGGTATGTGAACTAGGTATACAGTACCGAATGTGTTCTGATATCATGTTGTTAGCTAACACGCTGGTGTACAATAACAAGCTGCAGTGTGCTAATGAGAGTGTAGCTAGATCCATGTTGAAGGCTGGCAAGTTGGATCAAGTTCCTGATTTCATCAGAAAGTTAGTTCCTTCACTTTACTTCTTTAGTTTAGTATTGGTGGAGTTGTGCTGCCTTATTGCAGCGAGTAAAGATGTAAAATGTCCAGATCAAGATTCAAATATATATTATCGTAGCTACTAACAAACGTTAAATAATTTAAATCCGGCTTGTCAGTTGAGCTCACTTTGACAAACTAAAACAACTTTTTTGTCGTATCTATAGGAACTTTTTTGTCGATCTGCTCTTGTTAATACCCCCGGCCCCCGGCCCCACCCCCCCCCCCCCCCCTCTCATACAAGAATACTTTCTGTCAGGGCACTGTTACCAGCCACTAAAGTACTGTTTCTGGACACGTCCCAGTTTGGACCCCTCTCCTACGAGACAGCTACCTCAACCTCTATATCTAATGTACTGGAGTCTCACCTTGTGAACCTCATCTGTCAGAGCCTGGTCAAGGCGGGTAGGTGAAATCACGTGACTCATAATAAAGAGGAGCAATGTGCTGAGTTATGCGTAGTTGTCTTAGATAAATAACAGTTGTCTTGATATCCGCTTCCAAATGTCATCAAGAAATGATGAAATTAGCTTGTTTTAGTTATACATCTCAGTAATTAAAATTAAATTCTCTGTCTCATTACTTGGAGTGATAATGACTTTAAAGCGGTGTAAAACTAACAAATCCAAGAACTCAAACACATACTACAGTAAATCCCCCATTTACCGCGGCCATTTCCTTTCCCCAAACTCCGCGGTAAATCGGGGTTTTACTGTATTTTATTCCCAATCTCCTCTCCAGGAGTCCCAGATAAAGATATCGGAGTGCTGACACCTTACAACGGACAACTAGATACTCTGAGCGAGATAATATCCAGTGATATAGAACTGTTAACAGCCGACCGGTTCCAGGGCAGAGATAAACCTTGTATCATCATGTCTTTAACCAGGTTCCTAATAGGTCCAACAAGTTTCTGTCACGTGACAAAAGTTAAATGTCACGTGTCAAGATAGATTAGTTGTGCTTCTTGTGTATTGGTTAATTGATAAGTTTCTTTCTACTTTTAAAAGATATGGATACTGTTGGGGAGGTGATCCATTATATTTGTTTTGACACGTGACAGTGATTTTGGGTTTGGATTGTTTAATCGCTGTCACTTGTCAATAAATATGGTTCAACTCCCCACTACTTTCCAGATCTACTAATCCAGGACTTGGGTCTTTATCCATTTGAACTTAGTTGATTCAAAATGAAGCGAATAGCGATATAGCAGGTAGAATCGAACCAAATTCCACATTGTGTGCTCAATTTACAATCTCTCTTTAGCTCAGTTTCCGCATTACATATTTCACAATTTCACTGATTTATTTGATTTTATCATTAGTTTGCACTATATAACCAACTTTTATCTCCTTCTCTAACCTACAGAAGTAACAAAGACAATGTAGTTGGTTCCCTTCTATCCGATCTCAACAGGCTGAATGTTTCCTTAACTCGGGCTAAATCTAAACTAATTATGGTTGGAAACATTGAAACGTTATCAGCAGGTGACATCCTCTCTTCTTTAATCGATATACTGAAGAGAAAGTCATGGGTTTATGAAATACCAAGAGGTGATCATGAGATGATTGTGAATGGAATCGGTGGTAAATCGAAGGTTGGTGAATGAGGATGAGTATTGAGGGTTGCCATGTTGGTTTTTTTTTCAAATCTATCGGTTCAGTTCAATTTTCGAATTGCAGATTAATTTATGAAATTTGTAAGTATTTATAAGATCAATTATTCTAAGATCGATTTTTAAATTTCTTCATTTCAGTATATTACTTGCAAGATGGATAAAGAATACATTGAATGTTTTTAAATTTATTGACCACTATATTTTTAAATCTATTTGTATTTTCGGATTTTTTTGATAGGTTTAATTGGATATATTGAAAAAATATAACTGAAGCCGTTTTTAGAAGATCTAACTACGTCAAAGCTTGAAAGTAGTTAAATATCTACTTGTTTCAAAGGCTGATATAGAGTGCGTGTCGAACTAGGGTACCATATTTAAAGGAATCTTACAGTTTTTCAGGTTCCTTTTCAGCATTATTATATCACATTGTGAATTATTTGAATTAATAATAATCTTTTATAATACCTATTAATATATCTAACAATATTAATTGTGAGATTTACCAATAATAACTGAAGTTTCACTGCGCAGTATCTTGAATTTGGTCTCATCTATAAATATAAGAGTCTACAGCTTTTGAAGGTTGGAACGCGCGCTGTAAAATTATCAATCTAATTGACGCACACGCGCGTTTTTATGAATTTTCATACATGCGGCGCAACAATGAATTACAAATTTTCCCATGTTTAAGGAATTTTATGATCTGACTATGGCGTGTTTGTTTCCAATGTTTATACAAGTGATAAGTTTATATAAGTCATAAGCGTTATGAGCTGATCTTGGGGCGACCTTCAAAGGCCGTAAATTCATCTTACATCTTGAGTCAATCATTCAGTCTCTTAGAAATATTACCTGCCTTTCTGTTGTATACATCAGTCTATTCAATAAACTCCAAGACAATTTGTAGCATTAAAAATAGTGTATGTTGAGAACCGTACCTACCAATTGTATAAACATGTTAATTCAATTGCAGTTTGTACACTTTCCAGTGAACCATATCCGCTTCGCTTTTGTCATTGTTCGTAAATGAACTGTCTTAAATCAAAATGTCGTTAGCGTTGATGTCGTACGTCACTCTGAACAATTTCACAAGATTTACAGCGAAATTCAGTCAGTATTTGTGCTACCTAATTACTGTGCCGATGATTAGTTATGACCAAATCTGAGTTATTTCATCACTTATGTCTAATTGCTTGGGAGCTTTCCAATACATGATTGCCGATATGTGTAAACTAACTATTTCATTAGATGTTCAAATTGCAAATGTACCGCACAAACTCTTTAACATTATAATGCATCTTTATTCTCGGTAATTTAGCAGTTTCGTCGGCAAATGTATTTGGCGAGTCTGCGACAATAGTACACACGCAAATTTTGCAATTGCTTTCCTCCTAACATTATACAATAGAGTCTTGTAAACAATAAACATCTGTGTGTTGCAAACATTTCTATTTGACATAATGGATTAGTTGGGGTTTATTTCAATTTTCACAATCACATGAGGACCCAAGTTTCGTGCTGGTTGTTCGTAAACCATCTGTTCTGTACGGAACCTAAAATGTGTTCATTTTCCGGTCCCGTATATTCTTTTACTTATTATTCGTTGGTCACTTATCATTTGATAACTTGTTATATCGCAAACATATCAAAATTCAGTAAAGCCTCGTGGTCCTCGTGACTGTAAATTTAGGTGGCTCGTATGCTGTTAGTTATTATGTAAGTTCATTTAGAGATAAAAGATAAAAAGCCTATACAAATTTTGTCATGACGTCGACAGGATAAAAATGTGATTAAATATCCATTATTTTCCCGTTATCTCAATTTAATCTAACCCTTTCATATTTTCTTCTATAAATTTGGGCGGATCTCCAGGAAGATAATAATCTACAGAACTGCGTGCCAAAATAAAAAGAAAAGATTAACCTTTTGTTTGTTTGATAGGCTGGAATATGTTGGACCGGGGAGCAGTAAGCAAGTTATTGTCTGGTGAGAATATCAAGTGTAGGGATGTGGAGGATGTCACTAACAAGATATGCAACATGAAACAAGATGGCTACTCCACTCTTCAGGTTAGATAGCTGAGTAGGTATACTTATAGTTTAAATGGTCCCGTATCATTAGTTATTTTCTACCGTCGTTGCAATCTTGTTAGACCAAAATACATGTACACTGGTTTTACGTTGTTCACTATCGATCATGTTATTTCATAAAACATATCTATTTTGTAACAATACTTTCTGAAACTGTTAACAGTTCACTGTTTCAGGTGCTGGCAGATTTCGACTACACGATCTCCCACTGCCGTTTTGAGAAGGAGAGGATGAGTAGCTCGTTTGGGGCCCTGGAGAGATACTCAGGGATGTCTGAGGAGTTCAGAACCAAGACAAGGGCTCTCTATGATCACTTCTACCCTCTAGAAGTGGATCCTACTATTCCCGCCGAGGAGAAGATCGGGCTGATGACTGAGTGGTTAGTTTAATTGGTTAATTAATTAATTAGTTTAATTGCTGTGATATTTTGATTTTACTTGAAGCTATGTCATATTATGACATAAATTTGATTAGATCCTTTTATGGCCTCTCATAAATAAAAGCCATGCCTTTCATTGCTTAAACGCTATTCCTAAATTATGCTGTTTTATCTCAAATTGAAGCCGTGTTATTGACCACAAGACCTGTGTCTACGAATCATGTCGAAGCATTCCACGGGCGAAAGGCGATACGGATAATGTAGTATCGCCGTGTTGTAAAAGCACCGTTTCACAACCCTGGCTAACAAATTAAACTCCAGGTTTACGAATTCAGCTGGTTGTATAATCTCGGAAGGGGTGACAAAAGAGACGGTGGCAAGCGCGGCGGACTCTTCCAAAGTTAAACTCCGGGGCAAGTTTGATGTGTTCGTGGAGTCCTTACAAAGGGAGGAGGTACCACTGCTGGTTTTCAGTGCTGGGGTTGGACAAATCATCGAGCGGGTTAGTTTATTTGAAACCCAAGGAAACATTCTATCAAGCCTTTATATAGAAGTGGGAAGGCACTAATTACTAATTACTAATTACTAATTACTAATTACTAATTACTAGTGCAATGATAATGCAAATAAAACTTTAGACGTACTGATTATAAGTAGGAACATAATTACAAATAATTGATTTAATATCGTTCACAAAGCCGTTGACCTATCCCTGCAAAGAAAATTGCCGAGTGGAATTATTCAAACTGTACTTGCTTAAAGTCAAACTCATCACGCAAAAAACATACAATTTTGTATAAAAATGCCTTAAAAGCTTAAAAAACACATCTATAAAACTACATTTATACTATAATACAGCTTTTTGGGGAAAAGTCATTATAGCAATTTAGTAAACTTCAAAATAAACTTTGATTGAAATCATCATGTCAACAGCTAGTTCAGAAAAAGCACAAACATGAACATTGACTGCTCCTTCACCAAAACAAGTAAACAATCGCCACGGAAACAAGACTCAGAGTATACGCTATCTTGCTCTCTCCGTTGTTGTTACACAAGTCAACGGCACATGTTGTTTTGTTACAGTATTCTTCTTCGATCCCAAAGAAATTACAAACAGCATCCTCGCCATCACACGTCTGGTAGTAAACTGTTCCTGTTTCGTTCACGGCACTGGGCAAATATGTAGTTAAGTTGCTAGAAAAATAGGCAGCGTTGCTAAGGACTTAAATCTGCGTTAGCGTTAATAATGAATTTGGGAAATAAAACAGTTAGCGTTATTTGAAAGACTGCCAAAGCGATTATCTGAAAAATCGATCACAAAAATACACTTGTCACTTGACCTGTCAATGATTCAATTGTTAGGTGAAAGTCCACACGTGACCACAACTAAAGTCCACACGTGACTAAATAACTTACCCAGTATCTTTAATGGTCACACACTTCTCCTCACACTTGGTCTTATTACACACTTCCTTCACAACGTCCCCCTCTAGCTCATAGATCTTGTACTCTGTTGTTACTTTTGTACTTGGCGGGACCTTGGAGTTATGGTTTTGAAGGTAACGGGAGAGTATGATTCATTAATTCATTATTACATTGATTTGTTTTTTAGACGAACACACTGGGGGTCGTTCACATATTACGTAATCAGCCGAGGGAAAGGGGTTTCCAAATGATTACGCTAGTGTAATTTTGACACAATAGCTATGTGTAAATTACGGAGGAGGGCGAGGGGTTAAAAATAATCCAAAACGTGATTACGTAATATGTGAACGACCCCTATCCTAGAAAATCCTTCATATGATATTATAATCCCTGGACCTGCTTAGCGATATAACAAACCTCTAGTCTGCAGTTGTAACACTGTATAGCAGCCGCTGCTGAAACTAACATCACTGCCATGAGGCACACTTTAACATCCATACCTCCCTGTAATAGTAGTTAATAGTTAATAGTATCAGATAGAGTCAAACCTCCTCTATACCGGGCTCTTCGAGGGAAACTAAAAGTGCCAGGTATAGAAAAAGAGAGGTTAGCATGATCCCATTATTGGACTAGTATCTGAAGCCTCTCAAATAACCTGGCAATCACAAGTACGAGAGTTGATCAGCTGTAATAATATACAACCGCACTTTTGGTATATATACTGAATATGCAGTATGTACATTGTACGTATTGTGTCGTAAAGCGATGAAATACAGCTCGATATGACATATTATTATTACCACTAAATGCGATGTGAGAACTTAAAATTACTTTCAAACATGGGCTAATTGAAGCCCAGTACCCGGTCTAATAAAGAGGCGCGGTAGAGAGGGGTTTTACTGTACTACCATCACAGTTCACATTTCAACATAGACAGGGTGGCCCGAAACTAAGACCTTATAGTTTATACTTTGCTAGTGACATACTCTTAGTACTCTTACATACCCCCCCCCCTCCCCCCCAGGTATCTGTGTATCTGAGCGTGCTTGGAATGTCGGATATTTGTAAACCCAGTGTTCACAGTGTGGACCAAACCACCTAATTTGTTCAATTTTACGACTGTACTTTAGAGGAGGAGGGGGGGCCAACAGGGGGGCGCTTTTCAGCGGGCAGGCGCCAAAATGCAACGTTACGCCCACACTGTATGACGAAATGTTGACTATATGGTTTTCTTGTTATATTATATTAACAAGAAAACCATACAGTATGGTTATATATATATGTTATATTGGGTTCTACGTAGTATTTTAATGCTGATGTAACAGTTTGCTTACAAGTCCCTATGTAATCTGTATTGAATAACCAATGTCGCCTCCTGGAAACTGTACATTGTCTTGTTTACACACCATCACTCATAAGTCATATCAATTACATTTAAACTGAATTAGAAATAAATGTAAGTTGAATGTGCGGAATGTTGGTACCTATATGTGAGATGGAGGGGGGGGGGGGGGGGGGGGGGGCTATACAAAGCTGTCCAAAAACCTTGAGCTGCAACAAATGTAGAATGTTGTGTAAATACGATAAGAACGACCGAACTTAAAATACTTAGAACACCAACAACACGAAATAGAATTGAGGGAAATTACACTCTATATCATGGTATACAAGTACAGTGTAAATTGTCACATCTCTTATAAAATCTAAAACTATAAGACTGAAAAAGTGAGAATTAAACGTGGCTGCATTAAAACAAGAAATAACACTTAAGCTATTAAGTTACACTTTGTTGTAATCCATTTAAATATTACGTAATAGTGGTGTGTCACACAAGAGCGTAGGACTCGTAAGACTAACCCCCCTACAGCTAGTATACTAGTATAGTGCCTTGGCACAGAGTGGCTTAGGGTTAATGAAAATGAGATAAGCACCTCAGGCCATCCCAACACCGGGAGTGACCCAGCCTTGTATCTTGTTATCTTGGGTGTGGTTACACAAAGCGAATGGATGTGAAGTGGGCAGAAGGGAGAAGGAGGAGCCAGGAGGGGAGCAGGAGGAGGCAGGAGGCAGGGAGGAGGCAGGAGGAGCAGGAGGAGCAGAGGAGGAGCAGGGAGGAGGAAGGAGGACGGAGAGAGGAGCAGGAGGAGGAGACAGGAGGGAGGAGGGCAGGAGGAGCAGGAGAGGACAGGAGGAGCAGGAGGAGCCGGAGGAGCAGGAGGAGCAGGAGGGGAAGTTTAAACAGCCAATAATATAAGAATGACGCAAATATTATACTTATGATAAATTATACCACCTTATATTCTGTGAAATGTACTGATCAGTAAAACTACTTTACATTATAATGCGCATGTAAAGAACCAGTACAAGGGAGAGAAAGTGAAGGAATGAACGCACTTGAATAAACACTTGATAATTAACTGTATTTACAATACACACCCGTGTAGTTGTGTAACTAACGTGTTATAAATGAGACACAATCTAATCAACCAACAAAAATCTGATATTTGAGCCTGTGCTTACTTTGAGAGTGGACTGATCGATCCTTAACTATCCTGATTGCTTGCATGCGAACTGAAACTAATGTTATCAATCAACACGGAATGTTATTAAATATGAAGAAATAATACTTGATATTTTACAAAACTGAGTATTAAATACGATGCTGGAAGTATAAACTGCTTGCTGACGAAGTGATGTTATTCTAAGTCTACAAAGGGACTGTAGCTGTGTAGGGTAATGTAATTATCGTGAGTTACATACTTAGCATAGCATGAATATTATGTTATATTGATCAGTGTAACACCAGCCTCAGTAAATATGTAAGGGGGAGATGAGGAGAGATGTGGCTTTCGCTCACTTAGTGCCGCTGCTGAGCTCTCTATCACCTGTTTACTTTTAGTGTATATCGTGCTCCAACCGCTCACTGTACCGCTTACTCTACCGCTTACTCTACCGCTTACTGTAACCAACAGAGAAGAGAGTACACAATACATCAAAGGTGACAACATTTACGATGTACTAAACGATAATGACCTGTTTGAACTTTGAGCGACCTCATAATATGTGAAACGAAAACAGAAGAATATTATCGAATTACAATGACTTAAGGTGTGAATTTGAGACAAAGAACAACAGCATATCCACGAAATGAGAGAACACAACTGTAAGCTGTAAAAGTATGTAGAGTTAACCTGGTTTACTGACTAAATAATTATCTAATATGTGATCACAATAACGATTATACCAAGAGAAGGCACCTCGACGAATAGCGGGGTTCTTGTGACATCTGTAAACTTTAATGCGCGCTGCTTATAAGCGAGTTGGATTCCGAAAGTCCAAAGTGAAAGAGAAAGTCTAGTAAAAGTGATTCCGTTGAAATATTTGTACGTACTAATTGCGAGATGTTAGGTAGTATATCAAGCATCAAAGAAATCTAATTAAATAACCCATGACTTAATGGATAATACTCACCTACCCGGGTTAGATAGCTGAACATATCCAGATCACAAGGTTTTGCTTTTGCTTATCTCTACCAGTAACTCGTGATGGTGTTTTTGTTTCCATTTTCCAGCACTTACCTCCTGCTCAAATTGCCTCGTGCTCAAATTGCTGATAACAAGTTATGTTGATTTCCTATCAATATAAGTTACACCAAAACTTCCCTCCCACACAAATCTCGCCTTTTCAAATTAAAAATATTGGCCTATATGGGATTAACTGGGTCACGGTCCACGGTCGATTTAAAATGAGCGAACAGGGAGCTTAAATTGAAACATATTATGAAGTTTAAACTAACACTCCTATAGGTACTCTCAAACGCTGAAATCTCAACGAAAAACGTCAAAATGATAGCCAACATGCTGGAATTCAACTCCGAGAACACCGCCGTGCAATTCCGCCCCCCACTTATCACCACCGGGAACAAATCCAAAGTGGCCGCTCAGGAGAAAGAGTACTTCAACTCTAACATAAACCGAGTTAATAGCATTCTTCTGGGGGACAACATTGAGGACATACAGATGGCAGCGTGTGTCAGGAACTACTCTAGAAACGTTTTAACTATTGGCTTTTTAAACGATAGAGTAGAGGACAGGTTGGATTTGTACAAATCTAAGTTTGATATGGTTATGTTAAACGACCCTGATTTTACTGATATCCTCCATCTGTTTGAGTGTTTGCAGTGAGATTAGCTACGTATCTGGGATTATTTTATTAGCATGTATTATAGAGGGGGGGCCCCCTATAGAGTTACTGTATATTTGATGCAATTTTGCTTTGCCATGATTAAGATCTTAATGAATGGTTACAGTTTATATAACCGTTAAACTAGGAAGACCAAGTGAGTCTGATTTGTAGCAGTCATTCCATAATCCATATTGATATATTATGTTGTCCTGGTTGCAGCCTGGAGCCATCGCTTAGGAAGTAATAAATTTCTTGAATACTTACCTGAAAGTTGATGATGACCTATTTATTGGTTAGGTGTCGTTCACATATTACATAATCACATAGGGGACGGGAGGGGGTTTCTGAATGATTACGCTAGTGTAATTTTAACACAATAGCTACGCGTGATATGTGAACGGCCTCTTATTTGGTTCAAAATAAATTGGACACCTTTTGCGATCATAGGCTGATTACCGTCTGGATTATCGCCAATATAAAGTTGGTCTTCATTGTTTAATGTTTATAGATTTTTTATTTCTTAATTAATAATTTAGTTATACTTGCTCGCCAAATATCTAAATTGGTTCAACTTAACGAAGAATAATCGCAGCTGTAGTCTGTACCAAGCAGACCTAATTGGGAACATAATTTAAACTAATATTGGTTATGATAAAACATTTAACGGTTATTACCACTTGCACTTGTTAAGTTAACGAGGTTTAACGTTATTCGTTCATGGCAAATGGTAATGGGTTAGTATGAAAACTTCGAAAACAATGATTTTTGTTTGTGCCGCCAAGTTTCCTAGGGAATAAATATAAATGATAATTATGGAGTTGATTCAATTTTCAACATTACATGTCCCACTTACGGTTCGACAAGTTTATGCTTTGTTGTTTGTCAGTTTTATCCATTTATCGTTGTTTTATCGTTGGAATTGTAACCCAATTGTAATTGAAACATCCGCTTGTAATTTGGCATTCAAACTTAAAACATTTATACATACCTGGACTCGTCTTTTCAATGTAATACTAATATATACTTATAGTCTATGTAATAACAGCCATGAGTTGGCACAGAATTTTTTGTCTCTGATTTTGATAAATTTGGTACCAAAAGTTGCCTCTAAGTGTGAATAATGCAAATTCACCGTGTAGTAAAATAACGTCGAGCTATATGTGGGCCTCCTGTGCATTACAAGAATGTACAAAGGACGAAAAATGGGTAATTTATTGCTTAAAATGCCTATAACTCCTAAAATATTGAATATTTTGAAATAATTATTACAGTATCGTAATGAGCTTAGTCTGTAGTCAGACGCAACTTTTGGTACCAAAATTATAATATTTGAAGCACCAAATTTTTCAAAAATTTGTTCAAAATTTCACGCCCTTGTGTTCAGATTGAAAAATTTTGAAAATAATTTTCCTTTAAATTTTTAAATATTAGAACTAAAAGTTTCGTCTCGATGAGCTGATTACGATGCCAGGCCATAATAATTATGTGATAATAACTGAAAATGTGAAAGTTATAGCATATAGGCCAAAAACTAAAAATTTGCGCGAAAAAAGCACGCGCGGCGAACAAGCGCCGTGTCGGTGTAGCATTTTTAGCAAAAATTGCTACACGGTGGATTTATTTTATTCACATTTTTAGACAAATTTTGGTACCAAATTTATCGAAATCGGAGAAAAAAAAGTTCTGTGCTCGCGCTTGGCGCTTATTACACTGACTAATAATAACTTTAATTGACGATGTCAATTCATGGCAGCTCGGCGCGGCACAGTAGCGCATCTCGCCGATCTAGCACAGTAACGCATCGCGCTACAAATAATAACTATAAGTGTACAATATAAAGTTAGAGCCATGATTTGTGATTCATGAACTTAGAATGAAGTTCAAAGCCGAACCTTTTTTTATAATTCAAACACATGACTGAGCAGATCGTATAAATTATGGAAATATTATGGTTTCTCTATCCAGAGCCCTTGCGCTTGCAGTAGCGCGCGCCCGCCTCACGGCGGTTTTCTTGACTTGTGAAACAAGCCCGCCCGCAGTGGCGCAAATGGCGAAAGCACCATAAATATTATGGTACAACTACAACCAAGTCAAAATTCATGAGACTCTTGACTTGAGTGTACCATTTTTATGTACTTCCGTACGTGCACTGTACAGTCCGATAAAAGCTTCGCAAAGCTGAACAAGGAATAAAATAAAATTTTAATGTGCTTCTCGCGCTGATGCTAAATTTCGCATCAAAAGATTTAAAAAATAATGAATGATTAGTTATTTTTGAAAAGGGCAAATGTTATATATTAGTCCAATTGCGCACAATCAAGCCGCAAATCAAACTTGTGGTTTCAATTGTCAATACCGTAGGCAGTAAACCATTGACGCAACAGTGAACCGCGCGTGCCGACTGTAGGATTCGGTATTTTAGCGCAAATTTCGGATTCACATATGACATAGCTTAGCCATGAATCTTCAGCGGTCGCGCGCTATTGCTTGTAGGTTTATAACCTACCAGGACGCGCGCCGAGTTTTGTAGCGCGATGCACTACTGGGTCGCGCTCGTTCACATATCCATGTGTCTACGCGTACTGCAAGCGGTCGCGCGCTACTGCAAGCGAGAGGGCTCTGGTTAGAGCAATCGCGCGCGCATCCATTAATGTTTCTCGCAACCACTTATGCAGATCGGCGAAATGCGAAGGATTGACATCGTGAATCAAGCCGAGTTGGTATGGACTCGTCGACGGTCTTAATTGACGATGTCAATTCATTGCAGTTCGGCGCGACACAGTAGCTTGACCATTGTTAATGGTCTGGCCCGGCGCGTGCTACTTCGAAGAAATTTAGACTAGGAGTAACATCCTTCAACACAGGAGCGCATCTCACCGATTTAGCGAGAAGTTGTAGGTTTACAACCTACCAGGACGCGCGCCGAGTTGGACTCGTCGACGGTCCTAATAATTGTTGATTCACGATGTCAATCCTTCGCATCACACCAAATGCCTGGCTGTTCCAGGACTTGTATTGACAATATCCACACCAATGTAGTAGACCAATCCCTTATTTCTGGTGTGATATCTGATAATATCTCCCACCATCACCCTGTATTCACTCTTGTTGAGCTTCCCCCTAACTCTGTGCCTAAACCTAATTCACCAGACAAAATTACCATACACTACGACTATAGTAATGCTAACCTAGAGAAGCTCTGTCTTGAAATAGAAAACGATATAGATAGGTTCCAGCACAGCTGTGACACATTTGACTCTTTCATGCAGTTATTTCAAGAAAAGATAGATTTGTCTTGCAAACTTCTTACTCCTAGAACCACTAAACGCAACAGCATAACTAACCCTTGGATTACCCAGGGGCTAATTAATTCCATAGACAAGAAAGCTAGGTTGTATTTCGAATGGAAGAAGACTTGTACATTAAAACTACCTGACGGGGATCAAAACAAGCACATCTGCTACAAGGAATTCGACAAGTTTCTCAAAAACTCAATAAATATGGCAAAAGCTATGTGCTATACTAGAAAATTCGAGAAGTACAGCATGAACTCAAAAAAAAAAAAAAAAAAAAAAAAAAAACCTGGGAAGTTATCACTGAACTCCGTGGTAAGAATATGTCTAGATGTAAGGACGATTTTGTCATAGATGGCCAGAGAATTACTTGCAGACGAATAATTGCTAACAAATTTTGTGAATACTTTACATCTCTTGCAAGCAATCTCAATAGAAATGTATTGTCGAACAATAGTATTTCTCTGGAACCAGTAGAATCATTTGCTCAATTCATGTCTAATTCAGTATCTGACTCCATATACCTGGAAGAAACTAATAAAGATGAGATTATCGAGGTCATCAAAGATTTTCAAAATGGCAAGGCAAGTGACATACCTATAATCGTTGTAAAAAAATCGGCAAAGCTCATCGCTGGTACCTTGGCTAGGCTTTACAACATATGTATACAAAAAGGAACATTCCCAAGTATTTTTAAAACTGGTAAAGTTATTCCTATTTACAAGAAAGACAATAATATATATATAATATATATATAAGGAATGTATTGAAAATTATCGGCCTGTATCAATATTACCTTTATTTGGAAAAATTTTTGAGAAGGTCATTTACAAACGGCTCTATAATTTCTTCACATCTAAAGGTGTACTAACAGACTCGCAGTTTGGATTTAGAAAAGGCCATTCTACCGCCCATGCTCTACACAAATCTATAGACTCTGTTACAAAGTCCCTGGCTAGCAATAAACATGTCCTAGGCATATTCATTGACTTGAGCAAAGCCTTTGACACCCTTGATCACAATATTCTTCTAAGCAAGCTAAATTCCTATGGTATTAGGGGCACAGCACTAACTTTACTAAAAAGCTACTTGACTAACAGAAAGCAGTATGTGATGTATAACGATGTACCATCAGAAACAATGGATGTGGAATTCGGGGTTCCTCAAGGATCAATTCTAGGGCCATTACTCTTCCTACTGTATATGAACGATATAGTAAACTGTTTTTCAGACAGTGAAGTGAAATTTGTACTTTATGCTGATGACACTAATATCTTCATATCAGGACCGTCTAGAGAAGCAACATACAAAAAAGCCAACTTAGTGCTTAAACATGTCTCGATTTATATGAAATGTAATCTACTTCATATCAACATGTCAAAATGCTGCTACATCCATTTTAAACCTGCCTCTGAATATGATGACACTTGTGCACGGACTAGACCATTTGCTACCCTGCTAGATGAATCTAGATCAATATTCATCAATGGTAAGGTTATCACTAAAGTCAAGGATACCAAATTCTTAGGTGTCGTTATAGATAGTAAGCTAAACTGGACTGCCCACATGCACTACATCCGTAAAAAACTGAGGTCCATGACTGGTGCAATCTGTAGAATTCGGCACTCGATACCTGCTGAACTATATTTAAAAATATATAATGCTCTATTTGAATCACATCTAAGTTATGGTATAAGTGTTTGGGGAGTTGTCCTCAAAGAACGGTCAAATGATAGTCTTTTTATCACACAGAAGCACTGTATAAGAATCCTTTTTGGTGATCTCGACTCATATCTAGATAAACAATCAACATGTGCAAGAACTAGACCATATGGCATGCAAATACTAGGCCATAAACATTTTGAAAAGGAGCATACGAAACCCATTTTTAATAGGTTAAAAATTCTTACGGCTCAAAACTTGTACAA